TCTTCGAACACTCCAGACGAGATATTTTTAATAAATTATACGATCAAATTGAAATGCGATATCGAACATCGACGTGAATCTACAAACCCGAGACGTCAAAGATCATCAGGGAGCGAGAAAACTGTATCGCACATTTCAATGAACTATCTTCATATATATCTAATTTCTTCAGCAGCCCAGTGGTTTCCAACAAGCACGCTTGAGACACTTATCAGCATTCCAAGTAGCACTTGCGAACAAATGAAATTAAAAAAAAGTTATTTCTTAAAAGAAAATATTCGAGATAATCTTATTAATTGTAGTAATGTGTTTAAGAAGGGTCATATTTCTTCTCAAAAAACTAAACCTGCTAATACGTGGTAATGTATCTAAAGAGCTTAAGAGATATAGGAAAATCCGAAAGAATATAATAATATATGCAGACTCTCTCAGAAAAAAAAGTTAAGAGGCAATAAGAAATGCATCGAAAAAATTACCAAAACCAGAGACCCAAAATTACAAACATTCTAATTAAAAACACTTTTGAATCTTCGGATAACAAAATAAAAAGACTGGAGAAAATGGTAGAAAAGGACAATGCCGAATTGTTGTGGCTGTATCCCGGAATTCTCTCCAGAAAATTGACTGACGGAATAATGTAACAGTTATCAAATGCAGTCTCGTCTGACAGATATGGCAAAAAATTGATGCCAGAGTCTATCAAATTATAACCACAGTTGGGAGGAACTTTAGCCATGATGCATCAATGATAACGCAATATTTTTAAAAAAATGATCTCTTAAGAATTTATGAAATCACTGGAAAAAAGAAGTAGGTACGACACACTAGAAGTAATCAACGAAGAATATCTGTTCGTGTAAGCTGATGATTCCAAGAAGACAGCAGAAAGGAAAAACGTCTTCGCTTTTATGTGCGGGTAGGAACTACAAAGTATTTTCAAAAACAGACATAGAAGCCGATCATCAATACATGATGTGGGAGCCGAATATTCCAACTGTGCCAAACCAAAAAAGTTTTGTGGTAAATTTAATCGAGTGAACCTCCAGGAGCAGTAATGTTTTTCGAAAACCAAGCGTAATGATGGGAGGCAGCCTTCAAAAAAAGAATTACTCACAATTACGCTTATCCGGAGATTCTCCTATCGGTTATATAAATATCATTGGTACTGAAAAACACGGAGACGTTTTTCTAGATCTGTAGTGCAGGTGTAATCCAAATAAGTATTATGTTGTACCGTGCTGTATTACAATACAATTACAATACAAGTGTGTTATCTGCAATAGACACTTCTAACAATTTAAGGAAAATTCGGTTATTGCGTTATGAACAAACGTACAACTCGGAAGAATTTGTTTTTCTATTCAATAAGCTAAGGACCTTTTAAATTGGACGATTTAGAAAAAATCATCAACTCGAACATTTCCCCACAGCAAAAAAGTTATTAAATAAGTACCGAAGTTGTTTTGCCATGAATACAAGCGAGTTAAGGGTATGTAACATGTCAGAAATATGCGTTAAATGGACCAAACTAACCAACCGGTAATGTACAGGCCATGCACCACTTCAAAAAGTACGCGAAATTGTTGACGATCTTTTGGAAAATAAAATAATAAGGGTCACTTGCAATACATGCCAGTCCAATATTACTGGTGAAAAAAAAACTGACAAAGAGGGCTGTGTGTCCAGATCAGAAAACAGCAAAAGAAAAGTTTCATTAAGACAGATTAAAAGGAAGCTAATGATTTTACTAGCTTAGACTTCGGCCTCTGGATATCACTAAATACCTTCGGCTTCGGAATTTGTCTAGAAAACCGCTTTCGTGACTCCCGACGAACAATATGAATATTTAAGAGTGCCATTTGAACTTGTCAATGCACCAGCCGCCTTTGCGATACGCGATTTAGGGCTCTCGTTTCACTTCTGTAATGGCTGCTTATTTCCAAGACATCCTTATTCCTGTAGATTATTGCAATGTAAAGTTGAATACTTAGGACGAGATAGGCAAAGATGAAACTGAAACAGCTAAACACAAGATAAAAGCAGTGGCAAAATTTCCTGCACCCAAAACCGTACATGGGATTGACCAGCTAGTTCAGAAATTCTGAGAATATGGCTTTAGTAGCTTATCCGTTGACACATTCAACAAAAAAGTATATAGCGAGTGGAAAAGAAGAAAACGGATTTCAAGAATTAAAAGAAAAACCAGGTGCACCCCCCCCCCCCAATTAACAACCACGAAGCTGAAACTGAAGTGCACACGTATGCAACCAAATGGGGCATTGGCAGAATTATGATTCAAAAACAAATCAGCTCAACCTTGAAATCGGTATTTTAGTCGTGCATTCTTACGAATTGGAAACATACTAATGACAGAGACGGATTGTAGTGCCTTGAGAACCAAGCATCCAGAAAAACCTAGTCATAAGCATTGTCGGATCGCGGTTAGTCGCACAAAAATTCGACTTCGAGATTCAGCATCGACCAGGATGTAAAATGAGTCGTGTTGATGCCCTAAGCCGAAAACCAGTTGAAAGTAGTTATGACGAAATTCGAATATTACCGGTGAACATTAATGAGGATGATTGGACTCTGAGAAAATTAACAGGAACTGCACAGTATTGAAAAGAAAAATGGGTACTCTGCACGTCGACCATCTAGTGTTAAGAACAACTCCTACGTCATCGTAGCGGTGGATGCATTCACCAAATTCACCATAATTAAGGAGGTCCCAAATACGAAAACTTCCTTAGTTATACAGTTTCTAAATGACACCATTGGAATATTCGTGGTGCCAAACAGTGTAAATTGTGACGACTTGTTGAAGATCACTGGGACAAAAGTACAAGTCGTATTCAATGGGGAATTCACACGACTATTGGCTGTGTGACTAAGAAAAGCCCTTCTTTCCTTGTTCATGAGGCATTCAAATTCGTTTTATGGCCAAAGCGTATTTAAAAGAAGCATAATTTTTATAACGTATTCATCAACACTATAGACGATATTTGAGTTATCGTTATAATTACGAGGACAATTGTTGGTGTTTTGGAAACCCTGCTTCTAGAGTATTTACTAAAATAATAAATCTCATTGTCGCTTTTCTAGGGAAGAAAGGTTTTTGGTCCTTACTTTATTTTTTAATGCGATTTATACACAATTATTTAGAAATGTTAATCATATTATCAAAGTGCAAACCTAAAAATCTAAAGACGGGATGAGACATTTACTGTGGTAATATCAGTAAAAGCATAAATATTTTACTAAAAATATAGAATAGACAACACTATTGCTATTGCTTGTAAAAACTGCATGGATAGCCAGGTTAAAAAATCGCACTGGTCCAACTTGGCAGTAGCGTGAAAGCAGAAAGATACATATACCTGCGTTGCGTTATATATTAAATCCGAAACCAACGTACATGCGAACAAAATATCACGAGTTTCTACATAGAGACGTTTTCGAAAAAAAAAAAGTGAAATTACTTTTAAAAAACTACTATAAAACTACATCTTCCAAATGTCCTCCGTTTATGGGCCGTTGATCATGAAGACGTATTTCGAGGATCAAACGATGATCTCTAAAGTTTTACTTACTAACGAAACCAAACAGGTCAAAGTGTGCTTCATGACTCTTCCATAAGTTGTAAACTTGGTCATCATTTTTTTTACTGTCGGGTAAATATAGCCTCACAAAATCGAATAAGTTGTTGATAATCACCAGGATAAAGAGATTGCACAACCTGTATTTTGTAAGCATGATATCCAAGATCCTTATGAAGGATGATGATGTGGATATTGCATGTGCAAACGTTCGATATTTTCAGGGATTTGAAGTGTTATGACACTACCACCTCTTAGAAGTCGATCCAGTAAACACGCGGAATAGGTTGATTACACAGCACGTTAAAATGCCGTCGAAATTCAAGACGAGCTTGCAGCAAACTCTTGCCATTTTGATAGTAGGCTTTAACTGGATATCCGCGTTGCTCGCCCGCCCATTATTAACTAACAAGTAGGGAATGCAAGTTTTAACGCGCCGCCAACTTTCTTCCCCACCACTTCTCCGGATCACGCAAAATCTGCTTCAAATCTGCAAGTTTCACTGGCTGACCTTCATATAATCAAAATCGAACATCACTTATGTAAAAGTTCGCTCGATCTTGTGATTATTGTTAATGTGATATATGTTTATAAATCAAAGTCAAGATCAATTATTCCCTGCTCTAAAGTCGACTATGTAGAAAAAAGGGAGTAGAAATACCGCCTGTTCCATAGAAATGTGAAAAAGTTAACCTCAGTTGCGATCAAACAACTGGTAGAATGAGTTCAAGAATATTATTATTATTATTATTATTATTATTATTATTATTATTATTATTAGTAGTAGTAGAGGATTCAATATTTTGAACATTTATTATAAAAGATTACCGGGACTGAGACAGTCGAGGGTTCACGATCGAAACTGAGCTCTCAGTCTCAATCACGCGCGACTACGAACACTGGTAAGAATAATAAAAGGACACGAGAGTACATACAGGCTGTGTTTAGAAGAGGGGGAATCCCCAATTCATCTCCTAACCAGCTGCGCACCACTAGGGGCAGCCGATTAAGAGTACTCCATGAAAGAGGTACGCTACTTCCTCGAGAGTACAGGGCTCTTTTAGAGGAGGGAGTGAAGACGTGCGGGCATAATGGATCGAAAGGTCTGAATGCAGCGCCCGGGCCATAAAGGACAGAGACGCAAGTTACAGAGAATAGGAATAGGCAACACAGGAATAATAATAATAATCAGTAGTAAGTATTATTTGAAAAATATAATAATAAGAAATGAAACGCCTAAACAATAACCAATAACCAAGGCCTGTTTTAAATACAGCTTGTCTCGAAAAAGTTATTGCATGAATTATTTATAAAAAACTAAAATCATATTGCATTTTCGACACTCTGTACATCCGAAATGCACTTTTCGCCTTGGGTTGTATGTTTTTTTTTAAGACCTCATACCTGAAAATCCGGAGACGTGGATTCAACTGGCCTAGCCACCACCATCCGCACGTGTACCCCACACTGTCGGAGCACCGAAGCGACTTGTTCGGATCCGAGCCCCCGCAAATTTACGTCACCAATCTGAAGGATATGATCGCCACTTTGTAACCGTCCGTCCTAGAATATGGAGCATAACAATTCTGTAGGGTAATACCTATACTACACCACCATAATCTGGATCAACTTCAAAGTTAATCTTCTCGCCAATTGCTGACATAAATATTTATATTGACGTTTTAAAGTGTCACCTTGCTTGCGCGTAATCAGTGCATAATTGAATATTCACTGGGTGACATGTGACATGACCTTCAAATGTAAAAATACTATGGCTTAAATCTACTGAAACTGTCCTACTGCGAATATCTGAAGAAGCTAGCGACGCAAGTAAACCTCTTTGTACGCTTGATCTGTGGCTAAAAGCGTATTTTAAAGTAAATAAAATAATCTTTTTACGCAACACCGGCCGGCGGTAAAAAAAGGAAGACACAAAATTTGCTCAATTCAATTCAATTCAATAATGCGTTTCATTAATACAGTTGAGCACAACCAAATTTACTCCAAATTGAATGAGAATTCCTAAAAACATTTTTTTTTTCATGAATTTATCGTTTTCTTTTAAAAATATTAAGTCGAAACTCCAATAGTAATAAAAATATCTCGAGACACTAAATGCATTTTGACGCTTAAGTTTTTTGGAATTGCACTAGAATTTCAATGGAATTCAATCTAAATGCAAAGCGCTGCTTATGTGATTTGTGACTAAGCATCGATGCATTGTCATAATATAATCTAAGAGATTATCATCGAATTTTTATTATAAGTTCGTTTGTTTTTTATAGTTGCATTGTTTAATTCATCAATGTTTTAATCTTTATAAAAAAATGAAATTTTTTGAGACACTCATATAGAAATCTTATTTCTGATAATACCTCGAAAATCAAAACGTCCACATTTTTTTTAAGTAAGCCACTGAACTTTACGTAAAAAGTTTTAAGGGTTTTTATCTGCATAAATAACCCAGTGATAGATAACATAAACAGGCAAGTTTTTAGTGGTACCTTGTATCTTCGAACTCAATTTAGTTAGAGTAGATATGATTCAGCAATTAAACAAAACACTAAGAACGCGAACGGGACACATATCTTAGTTTTTTTGTATTTTTCGCCATTTAGCGTATACCTTGTAGTATCAACGAAAAAACAACACATTCAACAGTTAAAATCATTAAAAGGAAAAATAATATGATTTGTAGTTAAATTGATTTTGGCTAGTCAATACAAGCGTTTTGTTTTTGTTTTTTTTTGCTTTTTATTTGCCAAATGAATAAATAGGGGAGTTTAGTAGTGGACTCAAAAAAATATTTTCACTCTTATAAGAGGCCAAAAAACTTTACATATAGAATTCAGTGAAAGGCCTAAAAGAAAAAAAGTTGGCGAACTAAGTTGCACAACTTTTTGAAATGTTTGAAATCTTTAAGCCTTCTATTTACATTTATGATTTATGTCCTAACCGAAAAAGTTGTGTAGTCGTCTCTCCGAAATCTTGCGCTGAAATATTTTCCGCCAATCCTGTCGAAATTGGCAAAAAAATTTCGAAAAAATTTGCGTTGTTATTAATTTACCAGTTAATGCATTAATTCTTTCATTAATTTATAAAATAAAGGTGTTGTCGACAAATCCGATATAATGAAGGTGCCTTCTTAGAAGACGGACCCTATGGAGGAAACAAAATGAAAATAATAACAGTTATTTTCATATTTGCAGAAATTAAAAGAAATTAAACTATTTTCAACTTTCTTTGCCTTGCATCGCAGGAACTTTGGATAAGTTCTAATATACTGGCAACACGGCGCGTAGCTGTTCTTCTTTTATCATTCTGATAAAATATTTGTACCATATCACTTCTTTAATATATGCTAAATTGACGAAACATCATTGTAATAATAATAATAACAAGTCGAATAAAATTTAAAGTATGTTAAATAATTCTAATAAGAATAACTAATTGTTCTAATGTTCCAATTAATACCGATAAAATATAGTTTACTTTACTATTACTATTAAAAAAAATTATCAAATTTTGTTTTACATGCCGTTTATAAAAAAAAAATTGAATTTCACACCGCATTTTATTATTTTATTTACCTTAGTAATCTTTAAAAACAAAAAAGTTACAGCCAATCACAATGTTATTACATGGAAACAAATGGTAACAAATTCTCACCCTGTCGGCCACCCCTCCAGGTAAAATGGTTTTAACAACCACGCCGGTGCTTCTACCGCCGATGATACCGAACGCCAAACCAGAACCGTCGTTGATCAAATCAATTATTTCAACTTGGGCCCACTCGGTGTTTAACTGCAATAAGAAAAGATTTTCTATTTTAAATAACTCAAGTTAAAAGCAATTAAAATAAGTTTTCTCAAAAATATCAAACTTTTTTTTATTTGGGGGATTAAATATACAGTGGTAAGCCTTTAAACTGTATGCCCTAGATTTTTTGCATAATTATCACAGACGTATTCCTTTTGTAGGTTCAAGCTTTGTAGAACCTCAATTAATTGCTTTTTGGTATAATCTTCTTGAAAATAAATGTCGTTATTGCACATGTACTTTTGAGGAAGGGGTTATAGTCAACTGTCTACTGTGATAACTTGCATTGTCCATTACAATGACGCTATTAGGAGGAATATTTGGAACTAGTATGTTTTTAAACTAACTTTCAAATAAATCAGCGGTGGTGTCATATAGTTATTCTTTTGCCTCTTTTTGATGGCGCGTTTGTTTTACACTTATCAGTTGAGTCAACCCAACCCTTTTCCAGGGTATCATAAGTGTCGAACCAGGTTTCATCCAAGTAAATAATTGGCCTTTGTTGTTCTCTGTAAATCCTAATTTTTTTTAGATATTCCAGTCGCCATTTCCGAATTCTAAAAGATTCAATTAAAACTTGCCTTTTGTCATTTTTTTTTTAAAACCCATGCGTTGAATACACTTCCATAAGGTAGTTCTGCCACATTTAACACCGGTTTCATGTCTTTCAAGTCTCCTAATTAAGATATCTAATGTAGGCACGTTATTTTCCTCGTATAACTGGTAAATTTCACGCCGTATTGTATCTTGATCACTTTCGTCTACACTCGAGAAAATATCAGCATCGCTTCTTATTTTCCTCCAGTTGACGTTGAAATTTTCGTCAATGTGCCGTTTCTTCTAAAGATGCTTGCTTGCAGGCACCACGTTCAATGAGAGTCAAATAAATATTTTTTATAACTTCCTTAGTCTCAATAGAATAGTATTTTCTACATTTGGGCGGGAGCATCTCCTGAGATACACTAGACTCGCACATATTTTGCACAATTCGCACACGATTCAACAAACGCTGTATTACACACGAAATAAGAATGATTACTAATAAACTTAAACTAAGTAGTATACCAAACCAAAGAATATTAAACAAAATTTCCAGTAATCTAATCTTTTTTGCATATCACAATGTTTTATAGACTCTCACTAATAACGAAAGAATTCAGAAAACAGTAGGAAAAACCTTTTCATATGTTAAAAACTTCTAAAATTAAAATCGATCGTTACCACCACTGTTTTGTTGCATGCTTCAAAATTGACGGCAGGTATCGGCGAGGAAAAGGAGGGAGATGTTGAGTTCTGGAAGGTTAGATAAAGAGGCAAATATAATGCCTTTGGTAGCCAGATGAAGAAAGATAAACTCGAAAAACAACATATTTGGTAAATTTTAGTTTTGCCTCATATTGACTACAAAAGTTCACTCAATAAACATATAAACTACATCCACCGGTGTGCGAATCATGATTTTAACGTGTGCTTTTATTTATGGTTATATGTAATGCAAATATTCAGTAATAGCTTGTTTAAACTTATTAAAATTATTAAATTTCTTTTCCATGAAGATCGCCAAGGGGCAACCAGCGACAGCCATCTGATTTTTTTCTTAGAAATTCACTTAGAAAATGTACCAAAAAAATATATGGTTTTCAAGCTAAGCTTTATTTCAATGACTTTTAACTGTTCTATTAAGGAATTAGTAGCATTAGTGGAGGTATTAGTTGTATTTATTAAATAATTTAAGGTATTAGTAGAGGAATTAGTTAAAAAAAAAAACTTTTTTTTTGGCTACAAATTTTCCTCTGAATTTACTGCATTCTTAAATATAAGGTTGTTCGGAAAGTCATTTCGTTTTTTCCCGTCAGGGGACTTAATTGCGTTTTTTTTGGAAACCAACTTCACACTTAAGCCGCATAACCATTATATGTCTTGAGAGCTGATATTGTAAGGCTTGTGTGTGAAAAAGTTCTATTAATTCTACGCAGTAGTTTTTGGTTGGTGCCCTTTTAAATATGGAGAGCAATAAGCAGCATTTTTGTCATATTTTACTTTTTTACTTCAGAAAAGGTAAAAATGCTGTCCAAGCGAGAAAAAAATTGACGGATGTGTATGGAGAAGGCGTATTAACAGTACGCCAGTGCCAGAACTGGTTTGCAAAATTTCGATCCGGCAATTTTGATGTCGAAGATACACCACGGTCTGGAAGGCCGGTCGAAGCTGACAAAGATGCGATAAAGGCATTAGTTGATGCAAATCGGCGAATAACCACACGAGAGATCGGTGAGAGATTAAATTTGTCGAATTCGACTGTTTATGGCCATTTGAAAGGCATGGGCTTAACCTCGAAGCTCGATGTGTGGGTGCCCCATGTCCTTACGGAGCGAAATTTGTGTCGTCGCGTTGACGTGTGTGATTCACTCCTCAAACGTCCAGACAATGATCCATTTTTGAAACGGATTATTACTGGGGACGAAAAATGGGTTGTATACAACAATGTTAAACGCCAGAGGTCATGGAGCAGAAAAGATGAACCGGGTCAAAGCGTGTCAAAAGCCAACATTCACCAAAAAAAGGTGATGCTCTCCGTTTGGTGGGATGTCAAAGGAATCGTTTTTTTTGAGCTTTTGCCGGACAATACAACGATTAATTCAGAAGTCTATTGTCATCAACTGGACAAATTGAATGATTCAGTTAAAGAGAAGAGGCCCGAATTAATCAACAGGAAGGGTGTAGTGTTCCACCAGGATAATGCGAGACCTCACACAAGTTTGGTCACTCGCCAAAAACTTTTACAGCTTGAATGGGACGTACCATCCCACAACATCCACCATATTCTCCAGATCTGGCGCCTTCCGACTACTATTTGTTCCGGTCCCTGCAAAACTTTTTGGATGGCAAAACCTTTACCTCAAATGAAGATGTCAAAAACCACCTGAACCAGTTTTTATGAGAGGGGAATTATGTTACTGCCAGAAAGATGGCAAAAGGTGTTGGACCAGAATGGCCAATATATAATTTAATAAAATATTTATTCATTATACGAAAACTGTCTTTCATGTTCCCCAAAAAAAACGAAATGACTTTCCGAACAACCCAATACTATGCTTATAGGGTTGTTATAAAATGCCTATTGAAAGCTAGGTGTACGCATCGTATAACTCTCTAGAACTGCTTCTCGAACTTATTACAACCTTCTTATATCTATGAACAGACCATACCTGCTTATATATGGTTTGAGGGGGGAGGAGCTAAAGGAGGGAAATCAGTCATACAAAACTATGTTCCTGCCCCTCATTTCGTGCCCCGTCCAAACAATATATAAGCAGATTGAGAGGAGAATGCGAGCCAGTTTCAGGCAAGCTTTATTGGCGAAACGTCAGCAAGTTCAATTCATCAACAACCGACGCAGGAGGAATCCAGAAGATTTGTAAATAGCAAAATTCGCTCTGTCCAATCTCAAAAGGCGAACATTTAAATTTGCTGCGACCGTACGCGCATGCACTGTAGTTTGATGTATTACGTATACGGCGTACATATACGAGTGCCCAAGAAGCAGTTACAGTTTGAGTTGTAATATTAATCGATCAATCCTTAGTCAGCGCAATAGGTTGATAGCGAGTACGTAAACTAGTACGTGCATAAGACCCACAGCGTGCTCTCTTTAAACTTAAATAACTTAAAATATAATTTGTAGTAAATTATAGTTTTCGAAGCTTGTCGTTATTCGTCTGGATTTCTTTTGATAGAGTTCGTATTCTTACTGTAATCTTATTGCACTTTTGACTGTAAATATAAAATAAATTTAATAAATCGTTTGAATATGAATTAATGAATTAATAAATAAAATAAAATTGCATTACTCTAGTTTTGCTTTTAACTTCGAAACGGTTCAAAATAGCTATGGTGTGTAAACATTTAGAGCAAGAATGAATCGTTCGCTTTAATGCCGCCATTAAATGCGAAATAAACAGTTCCGTATGGTCGAGACCCAATTTGGAAATGCCTAACTTTTTTTTTTCATTCTTCATTCCAATAGGCCATTGAAATTGCTTAACTACACACCCGTGACTAACTAAAATTTTGTTTTCTCGAGTAAGTTTCAAATTGATACAATAATTTAATTACAACAATGTAACAGACAAAAGCCTTGGAAAAAATTTTCGGCTTTAATAAATATGCCTGAGATTTTGTTACAATAAGCAGCGAAAAAATCAATTTTGACTGGTATCTGAAAGAAGAAAAGCTAAAATGATGGTTGTTGATTTCTTCGGGACAATACATACAACAAGGAAAAGTTTGATATGATGATATGATGATTGATTGAATCTGATCTAAATCGCCAGGAAAAGACCACTATTTGGCCCAGAAAGTGAGTGGCAGAGAAGCCGATTTTTAGCGAAATATGATCGAAATCGATCAGAAAAAGCTCTTAATTGTTTGTTGATATTTTCGTAATAACAAGTAGCGGCAAAGTCGATTTCGACTGGAATCTGATCGAAATCGACAAGAAAAGGCGGTTTTTTACCCGGAAAGTTAGGTTTTAAGTTGATATCTGCAAATTTGATGTACTTTTCGGTACAATATATAGCGGAGAAGAATATTTCGACTGGAATCTGATCGAAATCAAGAAGAAAAATTTTCTATTTGATCCATAAAATGATTTTTTAAGTAAATATTTGATCGTTTGATGATAATTAGTTGCAGAAAACTCGAGTTTGATGGGAATCTGATCGAAAACGAGAAGGTTCAGATAGTGAGGTTTTAAGTTGATATCCATTCCAATTCTAAAATACGTAATGTTGTGCAACAAGTTCGATAAACACCATTTTAGTTGAACGTCTTATTGTGCATATTAGAGTAGAAAAAATGACGTCAGTTAAAAATATATCTGGTCTGCGATGGCAACAATACAGCAGCCAGTTACATTATTATTCCGAATTTTGTATCAGATAAACTTTAGCGGTTTATTTTACCAAAGCCGATATAATTAGTTTTACTTGCGGTTTTTGATGGAGGTCGCTCTTATCACATTCATGTTCAGAGGAAACGACGATATTTGCTACAAAAATCTCGTTGAAATTCGCATTTACGTAGAAAACTTACCACCATGACGACGACATCGAGCCCTTAATCCAACATTTGTCTTGGATCGTTCGCGGCGGCAGCTAAAAATCGTATTTCCTTGCATAGGTCCGTGTCTTGTAGATCTGCAACAAGATATCTAACAGTATAACATGCAACCGTTTTGCTAATTAATATTAGGAATACTGCTCATTCAGAAATTTTATGTTAAACACGATAAACTAACCAAAACTAACCAAAGCAAATTCGGCAAGAGCTTAATATTGATTTAATATTAATTTTGCGATTTGTGAGGGATCAATTCGATCACTTCAGCACTTCAGGAATTTAAATCTGAATCCTTTAGCCCCACCTTTTCCCCCTCCACAGACTTCCCATCAGGAACCTTCACTGTTCATAGTTTATATGGATCAAATTAACCTAGTTAAGGTGGTCAAGGGATTTTCAATTCGAGAAATTCGTTGACGAAATGAAATTGTATTGGCCTGTTTTAAATGTTTAAATTTTGATTAGAACATTATTGGTAATATTTTACCAAAAGTAGACCACACCAAGGTCTGAAATGCTCTGATATTGTTAAGCTACTTGGTAATGTTAGAGAGTGGGCAGACTTTAAAAATATTAATCATAAAATATACATAAAATAAAAATTATTGTTTGCTTATTAACCACCACGTTGTTGACTAGTGTCAATTTGGTAGCGCGGATTTGAGACCACAATAAAGAAAGTTTTCCAAATAAACAACAAAAATGTATCTCAGGAACATTTTATAATCCAGAATCATGATAACGTTCCCTCCATGTTTTCAAATATTCAATTAGGTTTGTCTCGGATTACTCTAAACATCGTATGTCTTAATTCTGTTCAAAATTGTCCACTCTCTAGAGTAATAAGAATTGGAAATGTAACACCGCAAAATACCTTTAAAAGACTTGTTTCATTTTGATTAAATTAAGGATAAGTACTATGGATACTATACAAATTCTTCTTAAAATGGTATGTAACTTTATATAGACCGGTTGGATTCGACTGTAGTAGCCGAGTTTCTCCGAATAAATAAATAAAAGATATAGTCCGCCAGAATAATTTCTGCTCAGAAGGACAACCACCACGACTAAAGAAAAAACATAATAAAACCAATATTTAAGGAGAATTCATTTCGTACTTGGTTAGGGCAGCCTTGCTGCTTCCCTTTGTTCCCTGTTCTTGGAATTTTAGAAATGAATGTAAATAACGGAATCCAATACAGTCGATCCGAAATGCGAGAAAATCATTTTTTGAGTTTTCGTCAACAAGTCAAAGAATAGAAAAATTATACAGCAAACAAACAAACGTAACAAAAACTAAGACCACTCTTGCCAATCGATATATTTGCGACAGCATTTGCGGTTACTTCTCGCAGTGTATTATTTTTGAAAAACAGCTTTTGGACGGCCTGAGCTTTTACCGTCAACATCAGTATTGGCAGTTTCACAATATTTCTTAATTATATTAAACACAGTAGTTCTTGCTATAGTCAATTTTACTCGTAATAACACTCACGGTTTCAATTATAAATACTTAAATGACGCGTAACAATTCTCGACAAGGCACTACTTACTCGCATGTTCGATTTAAAAGCTTCTTTCGCGTCAGGCTGATAAAACTCTAGAGGCCGTGAGAAAAAGCGAAACATTTAATCAAGCAGTAATCAACATAAAATAAAAAATGTTAATTTCGTATTTATAATTAAAAAATAAATAAATAAAAGAATTTCGGTAACTGCTTATTAGGGCCGGTGCTATCGATCGACCAAATCAACGTACTGGGGTGCCGAGAAAACGCTGTCGTCTCATTCATTCGATCTGGTTGTGCAAACATAAGTCTTGCGAACTTTTATATCGCATTAGCAAGAAATAATTGATTGGATCTCCTGCATTGATATTTTCCCGTTCAAATGTTTACCATGCAGACGTGAAATAAATTGAGGTCTAAAACTCTGGATCGAATGTCGTGGAAAACATTTCAATCGTGCGAATTGGTGAGTTTTAATTAATCGAATGAATTAAGTATTAAAGGGCCCGCGTGTACGCTTTGTACCTAACATAGACTGTTATGCTCCAATAAATAGCATACCTTTAACGAATTTGATCTATCTCAGTTAATTTTGGGAATATTATTAGAACGTAACAAATGAAATCATTCGGATAATGGCCATTCAGATCCTTACAACGGCACACACACATTTTATTTTATTTTTTCCATTTTTTTTTTAGAATTTGAGTCGAATTCGTAAATTTTTTAATCACTCTCCTCTTCGATAAACATACAAGTCGGCCCACAATTGATTGTATGACATTAAAAATATTTGGAGAAGGCATATCTTGTTACATCAGGTGGCATGTAGGACCTTCTTTATGTGTATTAGTCGGAGAGTCTCCTTAATAATAAACAATCATTCATTAAATTGCTAATAAAATCATCCTGGCGTCCCACATATCGCAACATCGTGCAAACCTTCAAGAAGAATGTCAAAAAAGCAAAATGTCGACTTTTCCTTTTCCTTCCAAATTCCAAAGCTTTTTTTTATAAGTAATTTATGAGATACTTCTAAGTAACGTACAATAATCTTCATATTCGGTAAAACCTCAAAAAAATCTCAAAATGATGAATATTGTTATTAAGAGGTTTTTTTTAATCTTTATTAATGAATGTAAAACTACATTATGAATCTTTTGTGTATATAATAATATAGCTAGATAAAAAGCATACATTCGTAAATCGAAATAGCCATAGGGCCGCTTACGAAAACTATACTTAACTTTATTTACAGTCATCCAAGTTTGTTGCAGAACGCCACTGTAAACGGATAAATTGCTAATATTTAATTATCTATATTCAGTTTTGTGTTGCTATCTTATATTAATTTTATAACAAACGCCTCAATTTTCTTTATTGTAGTATATGTAGTACAGTGTATCCCATTTTTCATGGTTTTACGGTGTTCCTCCCTTATTAATAAAGATCGTGTTGCGCTTTTCATGAAATGAAAGGTCCCACAAACAGAAATGTCTAACAATGTTGGATTTTGAGAATATTTAGGAAATTTTTGCCTTCTTCATCACCCTTTGTAGGTTATGAGTAAACTTATCGAAAAGCTGAAAACTGCTCTGCATCAACAACACCGGGTGTGTTGTTTGGATAGGGTCTATTGGGTAGGATCCAGTGGCATGGCCAGTTTTCTTTTGAAACTCATCAATTTTAATAAATAAACTAAACTTGTGTGCAAATAGATAGGCATAGAGCAAAGAGATAGTCATGTTAACAAAAGTTACTAGGATTTTTTTTTTAATTTATTTATTTAATTTTATTCTCTCTCTCGTCGAGTTTCTGTTATTTCCACAGACATGGAATATATTAATAACCAAATTCTGCCGTATGAATCACCTGGGTTCGTTCGATTACATTGTTAAGGTCTACGGTAGCAGTGGAATATTACTAATAATAATCATCAACTGAATATTTTGTAAAAAAAACCAAACCGCTAAAATTGTGTACACATTTACAATAAAACCGATATGAGTTATCATATGTTATGTTTTAAAAAACATTTTGAAAAAGATTTTTTTTTAATTATAAAGCCTTAATCTCAGAATCTATCAAAAATATCGACAAGATTTAAAAACAAAAGTTGTTTTTTTATAAAATATTATAGGGTTACATATGCAGGATGTCTATATTTTCGTAGAAAAGTATTATAGCATTTTTACAATGAAGAACCGTTTTAGTGAAAATATTTCGGCTTCTGCCACTTGTGTGTGTGTGTACTCGATGATTTAGAAATTCACTCTTTTATTTATTTCTAAAATGTCGTCTCTATAAGAAAATCAACCAGAAATGTATAACAAAGGTTTTTCAAGAATGCCATCCAGGCTACCAGAAGCGTGTGATAAAAATTTAATGTCATGTCCTCCCATCTATTGGTAGATTTAAATGGTATGAGACTCGGTCCTGTGGGAAGATAACATCTCCAATAGATATAACTTGGCTGCACTTACAGTGCCTTCAATAAGGTGTAAAGGTCTCAACCCTTTGGACGACATAAAACCCACATGCCATATGAAAATTTTTGAGACAATCCTTATGGAATTTTAATTTCTTTTTTCTGAATCACACGTTATCTTTGTGTCTTTCTCTCACTTATGTTTGGTCCACACAAGTTTTGATTTGTGCCAAAGATCTCGAATCCTTTTTTGAATTTCCATCAACAAGTCAAAAAATAGAAAAACTGTACAGCAAACAAACAAACCTAACAAAAACTAAGACCGGTCTTGCTGATTGATATATTTGCGACAACATTCTCTGGACATATCCATCTCAGTTTCTGGTGCCACCGTGCGGGATACTTCTCGCAGTGTATTATTTGCTACCGACTTATATGTTCTAATTAACTGATTTCTTTAAAACAGCTTAATATTTCTTAATTATATAAAACTGAAAAGTAATTGTTGCTATAGTCAATTTTACTCGTAATAACACTCACGGCTTTAATACTTAAATGACGAGAACACTTCTTGACAATGCACTACTTACTCATATGTTTCATTTAAAAGCTTCGTTCCCTGATAGAAAATGGAACAATGAATCAAGTATAATGAAAAAATAAATAAATAAAAGAATTTCGGTAAAGTGAAATTTTATTAGCAAAATAACTGCTTCTTAGGTCCGGTGCTATCGATCGACTAAATCAACGTACAGGAGTGCCGAGAAAACGCTGTCGTTTCATTCATTCGATATGGTTGTGCAAACATAAGTCTTGCGAACTTTTATATCGCATTAGCAAGTAATAATTGGTTGGGTCTCCTGCATTGATATTTTCCCATCATATGTTTATCCTGCGGACGTGAAATAAATTTAGGTCTAAAACTCACAAAATGGACGAACTGTACCGATAACATGGTCTGGATCGAATGTCGCGAAAAACATTTCAATCCTACGAATTTACTTTGCTAGACTATTACTTTGTCCGCTTTACAAGATAAAACAGATTTATAACGAATATGAACTCGTGAGTTTTAGAGTGATTTACTAGAAACTTTTGGTGTAATGCAGGAAATAATTTAATTTTAAATAACTTGCTCGTTGCAGACGATCTAAAAATTTTTAGGTGTATAAAATTACCTGAGGACTGTAAACTGTTACAAAATGATTTGAATCTGTTGAATGAGTTCTGTTCGGTCAACAATCTAAAACTAAGTTTCAATATATATCAATCATATATGATTTTTAGTCGTTGATATTAATAACATAGTTGTCTCACCCGAAATACTGGGCGCTATAAACTTTTTGTACCTAAAGCATTATCATAATGTGGCTTATAATATAATAGTTACATTGGTCAATAAGTATCCAGAGAATCCAATAAAACTTGTTCTTTTGAGTCTGTAATGTTTGTATGGTACTATTTTCAATCCATATCATTGTACTCCATGCACTGTTGTTGGATACTTATATATTATTGTATGTTTACATAATTGTTTTTATACATACTTGTTTTAGGTCCATTATAGTAGTGTTATTCTATATATTGTGAATATTGTAAAAACTGTAAAAATTGTATAACCATTAATAAATTGAAAAATTTATATTTGGAAAAATAAAAATAAAATTTTTTTCCTACTCTTTTTTCTAAAATACCCAATTATACATAGATCAAACGTGCGTAACATGTCACTTTAGAATCTCAGTTTCATTACCTACGGCTGCGAGCCATGTACTTGGGACATTTCCAGGATATTAACGAGTTTGCGAGCGACCGGACATTTTCGGATTCATGTCACTCTTGATGAATGTATTGGTGTCGTTCTGCAAAAATGTGCAAAAAAATTAATGGTGACTCTAACGCAGTTTATCCAACTGGTTGAATAATATACTATTTCCGTTCTACATCTTTACATTTTAATTCTGATGTTTTATTTTCCAGCAGCCGCTATCAACTTTTTTTTTTCACAACGGATCTCCGCTCGTGCCAAAACATTAGTCACTTATTAATTAAAAATTTTCTTTTATATGCCTTTGTAGAATGAAGTTTACTAGCGCAGTGCCGCTGAAGACTTCAGCAGTAATGGATCATCAGGTGGATAGCCCATCGTCTTTGATGACGATCTTCCCCCCACTTTTTCACTACAATCATCTAAGTCACACAGTTTCTGCTTTAGCGTTAGATTCACTCTCGTTCATTGATGGTGCATTGTTGATCTTGAACCGCCTCCCTTATTTAAGAAACTATTAGTTTTTCCGTGCTACTCCCAAGAAATTTAATTGACAAATGCTCAAACAAATTGAATCGTCAGCCGCCTCGTCGTAAGTAACATTTTTCTTTCGAAACCATTTTTGATTTCCTTGAATCCTTACATCTCTTGAGGGCCAATTTATATTAACCCAGTGCTCATTTTTATCCAAAGGTCCCAAAAGTACAAAAAACAATTTTAGGTAGAAATGTTCTACTTTGATCCTTACGTATATATTTAGTTATTTATTTTTGTCCTTTATATGAGCTGATATCAAAAAGTAAGAAAAAAACATCTAAAGCCAGTTGCTGGAGTTCCGGTATTGATTTTTTTTTCATTTTGTTACTCTTCATAATTTATACGTTCTGTGTAATGAAAAAAGAACAGAATTGGCGACGAATAAGGAAAAAAATGAAACTTTTATTTTGGGCGAGTACAGAGAAAAAAATATCGACTGGAAGATCGTATACTAAAACTATCCATTATTCAGGAACGTAATCGGTGTTTACGTAGCGTTTATATTTATAAACCTGGTGTGGGATAACACCACCCAATTTAATACATACCTGCATGAAGCGCCATCCTCCATACGCGATGCATTATCGTTGACTTTTTCTCAGTTCACGCTCGGCGACAGTTTTATTAGTGTTTATTAATAATAGTCGCGAATTAACTCGCGTGCCGTCGACGTAAATTAACCCGACCGTTGATACTCTCGCGAACTGAAAACTGAAATCTACGGAAAAGAGAGCGTTCGGTGTGGGTTTTCCAGCGCGCAAGCTCACGTGACGGATCTCCCGTTGCACAGCCGGGAAAACGTCGAAGAAAGTCGTTTAGCTGGAGTCGAGGGATGCCGCCGGTCCAATATTATTCTCAACTTCCTCGTCGCAGATATTTATTTCGCACGATAACTCCGGAAAAACTTATCAAGAGGTCAATCTATATACCGGGTGTCCCACTAACCAAAACTATTTTTTTCAATTTTAAAACTCGAATTCTAAAACAATGACTTACGTAAACCACAGTTAAAGTGAGTACTGTTTTAAGGCTGAGGCAAATCCAAATCCTTTGTTTTTAATGTTGTTTTGCTTCAACTCTCTGCAAGGAATGTAGTGGGAGAGTATTGGAATATATTCGTAAATAAACGTCGATATCTTCAAAAACGTTTAACGCATTTGAATACACTTGGGGTCGTTAAAAAACGACGTTTCTAAGATATCAATGGTACTATGAGTGACGATTGCTTACCTTGTCACCACCCAGATAGCACACAATATCTCCAGTATTTTTTTCATAAAGTACAATTTTCACATGAAAATGGTTGTTGGGTTAATTCATAAAAACGTTTTTCCTATTTTTCAAGGCTTGTTTTCATGGTGATATAAGGTACCATCACGAGCAATTTTTGGTTGACAAAATATATTGCATTAAAATACTGTCAAACTGAAAAGTCATATTTGATTTAGTTTTTTTTTTTGGGCGCGATAATATCTATTCCCATGAAAGAGATCTTACCGATGAGAGTTTAATGAGGTTTGTATTTAATGAAATGAAATAAATAAATGCTACATACTGGCTACTGTTATACTTTTTACAAAACTTCTGGATTCCTCCTGCGTCGGTTTTTGCTGAGTCGAACTTGCTGACGTTTCGCCAATCATCCTGTTGGCTTCTTCAGAGCGTGACTCAAACTGGCTCGTATTTTACTCTGTACCTGCTTATATATATTGGAGAGACCGGACGAAAAATATCAACTAGGCTCAAAGAACACGAAAGGGCCTGGCGACTTAGACAAATAAACTCATCAGCTGTTGCCGAACACACTCATGGAACCGGACATAAAACTTTATTCGATAAAACTAAAATTCTTACATTTAATCAGTTCTTTCACCAAAGGAAAGAGTCCGCGAGTCCATAAAAATCTATAAACAATCGAACAATCTTAACACCGACTCAGGTCTCTACCTGTCACCAATATGCGAATATGGTTGTCCGTCAGTCATCCGAGACAGTGTTTATGCCCCTCATTTAGCTCCGCCCCCGTCAAACAATATATAACCAGGTACATAGTAAAATACGAGCCAGCTTCAGTCAAGCTCTGAAGAAGCCAACAGGATGATTAGCGAAACGTCAGCAAGTTAGACCCAGCAAAATTCACTGACATGGCCGCCAGAATTGACAAAAGTAAAAATTCAAGGCGCGGGAAATATCTCCGAAAACATCCGATTGCTCCAAAACCCGTTCGGTAAAATCCCAGACATCTCCGAAGTGGCTCGGATCAGTGGGAAACGAAGGAACACCACAAATGATCGAATGTTCAAATGATGGAAAATCCCGAACGACGTGCGGTCCCGTATCGGAAAGTCTCGGTGAGTCTCGCCTCGCGAGGGATCTCGATGTAGCAGACGGTCAAATGGCAAACTTTGCAATTTGGCAGTCGGTACTAGATAGGTATAATCCGAATGCGAATTAGGACAACGGTGCTTGTTTTAAAGATATAGGACGTACATCGGTTGCCAAATCCACACAGAGCACATGAATGCATCCGGTCAATTATTGTTTCCAAAAAAATATAGGTTAATTATTATCGGGGGCGTTATTACAACCACCGGCCAAGGTAAAAGTTGACGTCTATCAAATCAAATTTATAAAAATTTTATGAATGACAATGTCCACAACAAAATTCATTTTTTAGCAAAATTAGCAGGGTTTACAGCTGATGATGGAAATAAAACTGATTATAAGCTGACTGAATTCACTGTGCAATTTGTTCTAGTCAGTTGCGAGTGAGCCTTGGGACAATACACATTTATGGACCCCTACCCCTAGCCTACTTTACAAATAACATCGGGAATTTCCTATAGCCACATGAGGATCCACATAAAGGTGCACTTATGGTGATACAAAAATACTTTAAATCTACAGCATCGTGGACCTGGTTTCTGGACTCACGGCCCCAAAATATCCCTAGTGGCCCCAGCAAATCTTTTGTTCATAAATTGATGTAGCAAAAAATATTTGTACCGATTGTTCTCTTTTATGATGTAAAATTGTTCAAATGGTTGAAATGAAACAAAAATTTTAAGAACAAGCATTTTAATAATTATTCCCAAAACATAGTAGTAAAACCCTATATTTTTTATTTTTAGGACAAAGGTAACTTCTACCTTTATACACTTTATTAGGAGTTGCCAGTATTTTTTTTTAACGTCAAATATATTTATTTAAGACTATATATATATATATATATATATATATATATATATATATATATATATATATATATATATAAAACTTACATACTGAGTTGAAGGAAGTAAGGCACCTTCAGCATTTCTAAAATTATTGAAATTTATTAATACTTATATAGTTTCAGTCGTGCAGTGTAATGTACTACACATTTCTACAAATATTTTTATTACTAATAACTTCTTTACCTTGTCGGCAAGTCTATTGCCTATATTCTACTGTTACAAACCACCCCCCGCCCGAAACCGAACGCCGTTCGGGATTTTCGATCATTTGAACATTCGTTCATTTGCTACCATCTCGGAAAAGAAACTGACGTGGTAAAGTGAAGCTTCTCGCATGCTAGATCGGTGTGTAATCAGGTATTTCACGGACGGGAATAGAAAAAACATTTTAGACCGAGTTATTTTGCTCTTACTTGACTATCTAATGACATAAAAGTCATATCGTTGCGCTTATGCTTTTTTCAGAACGTTAATTTTTTTAAAGTTGTCAAAAAACTGCACCTGGTCGCAATGGCGTCGCCCATAGCACGATTGATAGTCTAGGGCAAGCCCTTTTTAATAACTTAAAGTTAATTAAAATGCGTTAAGCCTTTTTTGTAGATATGTACATTTACAAAAAAAATATTGGAACACCCATCACACCACTTTCCTTGGAGATATAGGATATCTAGCATTAAACACAAATAATCTCAATTTGCCTCAGCCGAATTTTAAAATTGAAAAACACAATTACGCCCCTAGTGCCTATTTTAAAAAAATGCAAATAATTTCCCGCATTTTCTCTTTGCCGATGTACTTAATAATTTTTCTTTAACTCGCTGCCCTTACTATGACTTTTAAAGAGAAAGACAAAAACTAATGTCGGTGTAAGGGAATAAATGAAAACCTTAAAAATAAACTAATATATAAAAATCAATAATTTTGTCTATTTAAATCAGATACTAAGCTAAAATAAGCTCCACGCATGTTGGACATCTTTTTTTAATAATAATATAAATTGATTAGAAAAATGATTTGGAAAATACATATATCCAAGCTACACACATTTGCGTTCTGCAAAATTGCGTTGTTGCAAACGTTAAAGTGTGTTAAATATGATGGCGCACACCTTTGTGTTACTTTTTGGTTGTTCGTTCAAAGACAACTGAATTGAAGATTTGTGCTTAAAATTCTATGGTACAGCAAAGGCATATAAAATATATTTTCCGTTTCTTACAAAAGCTATCCACACAGTTTTGTTTGTATCAATAAACGTGTTAAACGCTATCAAGCTGTTTCTGATACCAAGAACCCGCTGCTACGTAACATCCACCCTGAAACAATATGCAAAGAAAATAACTCAAAAAGACTACGGATATTATATATTACAAATTCATATAAACGAAGTGGTATCTCAAGTACTAACAAAAATATAACTTATGGTTCTTTCACTTTTAAATAACGCAAGATTAAATCGGAGTGGTCCCCATTTTTGAGAAAATACTGGTCACCTAAAAGTAAAAAAAAATAAAATTTCTCGTGAATATATCTATTAATAATAATAATAAAAAGCAATTTCGACTCAGTAAAAATCGACGCAGAAGGAATCCAGAAGCTTTGTAAAAAGAACAAATGGTAAGTCGGCAGAAAACATCACAAGCGGATTGACATTAAAGAAATACTTAAATTGTGAAATTTGACACATAAATAAACGCATAGTTATAATACAAATGTTGTTTGCTTAAACAGCTCGAAGGATCCACCACCATCTTAATATCGATTGACCATTAAACACATAATTTATTATATATATACAGTAATATTCGGTTATAACGAACCTCAAGGGATCGGCGAAAACAATTCGTTATAACGACAAATCCTGATAAATATAAAAAAAGGTGATATTTGTATTAATACATAGATATGAGGGTACATAAAATATATTTTGTAATATGGTACAACTATTCTTCAGAGTCCAATGTAAAAAAAATCTTTTACTTTAGTTTGTTTTGTTTTTGACTACTTCCACTAATTGATTACGAACACTTTGTGGAGTATTTCGGGGCTGAAGGAAATAACGGACATTATCAATATGTTAAAGTGTCTCTGATGAGGTTGGAACTGGTCGCAATTCTGTAGTCCAGGTTCTTCATCTTTCGTCTCCTCATCATCAACGTCAAACGACAATGGCATTATCCAAGCATTCAAAACTCAAAAGATTATCATCATGCCATATGAATGTATTTAAGTCCATCCAAGAAGTTAGTTTCCACCCCCCCCCCTTCCCCAATCAATAAAATCTACCATTTTCGAAAGACGTCGACGATAATGTCCACCAATAATTTTCTTTTCTCTGTTCCTGTTAAACTTTCCACCACCAGCGCAGTGATTCTTTCTTTGGAAAGTTTTCCACCATCATATATCTCGCCTTTAAATTTGTAAGATGTAAGTAAGCATGTAGAACAACCCGGTTTCATTGAATATGTCCACCCTCAATGCCTTTTCAAATTATTGGTCACTTATTCTGTAATCGTTACAACGTCTATATCAGCAGCAGACGATTCTCCAAAAAATTTTTCCTAATTACATTATGCCCTTTTTTTAAAACTTTCAATCCAGCATTTACTAAACGGTTCTTTATCTTTTACCACCTTCTATCCAAGTTCTTCAGCCTTCAATTGCAATATAGCACCGCGAAAGTTCAAATGTTTATTTCTTTTCTGAGAAAACAAACTATCTAAAAAGCCCCTAATCAACATCAAAATTCGTAGTTTTTTTTCAATTTACGTTTATATCTTTTTCAAATATTTTCAGTATTTCTTCTCTATGTTTCTAAATTGCAATCCACCTGGAAATAAAATATATTTTCACATTGTCGTGTTTATTTTCAAAGTAAGACATTTACGGGTTTTCTTGGATATTACGTAAGTCTTCAACACATTAGAGAACACAGAATTCAGTGAAACTCCAGCGGTAAACTACCGTTTTTGGTTCGTTATAAAAAAATCTTAATATCATATCAAAATTTTAGGTTCATTTTATCCGAAAGTTCGTTATAAAAGGATTCGTTTATTCGTAATACCAAAATTTCGTTAAAGGCGGACATTACTGTATATTAATTATAGTTTAGGAAAGATACATCGAAATGCGATTGTCAGTACGTGTTTGATCTTTATCCTTTTGTTCATAGTAACGCGCAAAACGCTCTTTAGCGCTGATACAAGCTTGACAAAATCCGCGCGTCCACTCATTTTCAAGTTTATGATGATATATATTCGGACACCCCCCCACACCCCGTGTCAACAAGAGATAGCGCAACGAGAAGGATCAAATGTATGTATGTATATTGATTGTTTCTCAAAAAACGGAATTTGTAATTCAAGAATGTGATTACACTAAACGGTAGCAATTCTACAAATTTAAAAATAATTGCCCAGCATTTTTTCTTGGCCCACTTGGGCATAAGTTTTTTCGCCTCAAGTTTTTACAATTACTTTTTAGTACTAACATTGCAAAATTTAAGTTTTTCTTTCTAAAAAGTATTATTTTCTTACACAACAATCTATCTTCAATCAAAAGTAGGGTAGCTTATGCACCACGATCAAGGAGTGCACCAATTTAATATACACGACCGCATTAGCTGAAGTCGCCATCGGTAATCGCACCTCATCTATTGGATGAGGTCAATCGATGGCTTTTAAAAAAAAATAAATTATTTTAAAAAATATTCATACCCACAGCGACTATGAAGGACTGTCCCTCGCGAATTAGGGCCTCTTCTCCATTATAAACGAGCAACGCTTCGCCTTTTACGACTGTGAAATTCTAAAAAATATTGCGTTAAACAATACGCAGTAGGGTTGCGATATCGAATAAGAAAAACGAATAAATTATTAAAATAAAAGAAAATCACCCATTCTTGAAGAGACCCGGTTTCACAAAACTATAAAAATTCAAGTCAAGGTCTCGAAAATATTTTCAAAATGTTACTCATACAAATATAATAATAATAAAATGTTTAATTAAATTTGGCAATATACTCACATACAAAGACGTGAACTCAAACGCACAGGGACACAAATTGAAATGAATACGAAATCGTTTGACTTCACAGAGATCTAAAAAACAAAATAAAAAAGATTTTGAAATATAAAAAGTCATAACAAGGCCCAACCAAGCAAGACCTACAGTTAAATTATTAAAAGGTAATATCAGATCGAAATTGAAAACGACATTGACGGACCGAAAGTTATTGAATGCAGTTTGTTATTAAATCCCTTCTTTGATTTCGAATGTTTACAAGACTATAGAACAGAGAATTAGAGAGAAATTTATGAGAGTAGGGAGAGTTGGAGGAAAACTGTATCACATTGTCAGTATATGTGACTCTCTAAAAATCTAAAATTCAATTCTTTTATCTTTACTAATACAAGATGTAAAAGTAATTTTCTCATGTTTCTCGAGGAATTCGGCAAGCGTTTGTTGACTGGCCGTTCCAGATAATGCAGTCATCGTCCACATATCTTTTGTAAGCTGTATGTGGAAAATAGATCATCATAGAGTTTAATTCGAGATTTTTCATAAAAATTTTACTTACAAAAAGGCAAAATCAAATTGATAGTTTTGATAGCTAGTAGTATTGATGACAACTTTTGGCAAAGGAGTTAATCAATGCACTCAGATGGTACTATCCCCCATTAAACTCTATGTGCTGCAAGGTAGCATTGTTGGCAACTTGCTTTTGTCATTTATTTAAATGACCTCCAATCTATTCTTTTAAATGAAAAGTCAGTCGTTATCAAATACACTCACGACACTAATATATTAACAACAAGCAGGGAAGGATCGAATCTACGCAATCTGCAAGACATGTACCTCTCTCTTCCTTCTCTCTTTCTCTTTACTATTATTACTTGGAACGTTTTCTTTAATATTAGGAGAGGAAATTATTTCTTTTGAAACACAGTTTTTTCACTTATTAATTCCTGAACAAAATAAAATGAACCATATGTGGTCACTTCACACTTCAAAAGATTCGACCTCGACCCTCAAACTGTGGTCTAAAACTATAAACTCTACAAAAGATAGATAAGATTTTAATTTGTGTCAGAGTGCGTTTGAGTTGACACGTTTGTGTGTGCGTTACATTGCTAAATTTGTGTAAATAATTTTCTTTTCTTAAAACTTTTTTTTATTTTATAATTATCCTTGAGACTTTGACTTAAGAGTATATTTGAATCTGATTACTTCACAATGAGCCAATTTTCTAATCAAATACTTACAATAATACATCCCACACACGTGCTCATCGGCTTCCGATTTCCTGGTGGAATTTTTAAATAACCAACCATTGCATTTTTCGAATTAACAGAAACTTCGCTGACTTCCAAATCTCCTTCTTTGCGAAAATTTTCGGGTTCTCTTAAAATACATTTCGCCTGCGATACGATATAATTACTGCAATTGCTTCGCACTAAATCCTCAAACAAATGGGATTTGCTCGTGGTACAATTTACACTCTTTTCTACAACCTTAAGCAGCCTTTCAGTTGCGATCACGGCAGCACCCTTTGATTTGCGTTTTTTTTGTATCTTATTCCCCTTTTTAGATGAAGTTTGTGTATTTTTTAGCTCATTTCTGGCTCCTTCATCTTCGGATATCGCTACAGGTATAATTTTCTCCAATTCAATCCCATCTCCAGATTTCCTATTTCCTCCAAACTGAGAATTGTTGACACTACTACAATGATCAATCATTGTGTCGGAACTGGTTTGTCTAATGTTATCTTTTAGTAAACATTTTTCTCTTTCAAGGATTAAGAAGCTCCTTTTAAAAATCAGATCTGTTGATTTGTTTGCTACTTTTAAGACCTTTTTGTAACTTTTTCGGGAAGTTTTACTCTTTTGACAGACTATAAAAGAATCATTATTTTTAAACATCCGATAAAGGAAAAATTACTCACTAATTAAAGGAGACAAAACTAAATCAGTTTTGTACCTAACAGGTCGACGAATTCTCTGAGGTCTTCCACCTTAAAGATAATAAATAAAAATTGTTAACATAATTGGTGACGATTCTAACAATTGAAAATTGTGCGATCTTGAAGGTTTATTGTGCGAGTGCCCAGCAAAGACAGTTTGCTTGAACAACACGTATGAATGTAAATACGAAATTAAACGTAAAAATCAATGATTTGACAGTAAGTATTTTACCTTTTCTTTCTAAACTAGGTATCAGATTAAAGCAGGGTAACGAACTATTCCTGAATCTTAAGGAATAGAAATGAAAATAGCCAAAAGTGGACGTGTTTCACTAAAAAGCAGAGAGGGAAAAGAAGAAACGGAGCTGAAAGGGATGACCTCACTCTACTGCTTTCTAATAATGTTAACTATGAATAATCGAAAAGTTTAAAAATTGCATTCGCCGGCAGAGATCAATTTTAAAATTTATTGAATTTTCTAGATTGTTATAGAATGGCGGCAACTTTTAAATATTTGCGAGGCATCAATGGGAAAGTATAACTTTAAGTTCTACTTTTTTGAATCCATATTGGTTCAGATTGAAAAAAAACATAGAACAGAACAAAAAGAAAACAGTTTACACACCTTCCGTTTCATTTGTGGTGACAGGTTTGCCAACCGCCTTTTTTCGCAAAGCCAACTGCTCTTTGTCTTTTCGGTTCAGACTAACTTTTGCAATATCGCTTCCCTTCGACCGCTCTTGAGGCGCACGTGGCTTAACAATGGTTGTATTCTGCATAATTTTTATCTTGTTTTTCGCACTGGATTTAATTGTGGTAGACTTTGAATTTTCCGATACAGATGGCGCCAGCGAATTATGCGATGGAGGGTCCTGATCGATATGCACATCTTCTTTAGGCGTCGAGCCAATACAACAGCTCTGGCTAGACAATAATTTTTCCGAAGTGTTTGTTTGGGTCGTTTTGGTGCCCGAATGCTTTCTCCCTGTTTTGTTTTTCGGATTGGATTTAGTTGTGGTAAATTTTGAATTTTTCGAAACGGGTGACGCTAAGGAACCATGCAATGGATTGTCCTGATCGATATGCACCTCTTCATTGGGCAGCGAACCAATAGAAGAGCTCTGGTTCGCCGATAGTTTTTTCGAAGTGTTTGTTTGGATTGTTTTGGTTTCCGAATTCGACCGCCTTTGAGGTACACATTGCATTGATGAGGCTGCATTCCGCTGCTTGTTCCGGTTGCTGTATCTGTTGACAGTTTTCTTTGCTCTGGATTGAATTTTAGTAAATTTTGAATTTTTCGAAACGGGTGACGCTAAGGAACCATGCAATGGATTGTCCTGATCGATATGCACCTCTTCATTGGGCAGCGAACCAATAGAAGAGCTCTGGTTCGCCGATAGTTTTTTCGAAGTGTTTGTTTGGATTGTTTTGGTTTCCGAATTCGACCGCCTTTGAGGTACACATTGCATTGATGAGGCTGCATTCCGCTGCTTGTTCCGGTTGCTGTATCTGTTGACAGTTTTCTTTGCTCTGGATTGAATTTTAGTAAATTTTGAACTTTTCGACACACATGAAGTATGCGTGTCCTGATAGATATGCACGTCTTCTTTCAATGGTGAATCAATACAACCGTTTTGCTTAGGCGATAGATTTTTCGAAGTGTTTCTTGGTGTTGCTTTGGTTTTCCGACAATTTATTGTAGAAGGTTTACACGAAATATTTTTGTCTATAACTACTTGAACATTGCCAGGATCTACCGATGTTGTATCACGTTTTCCCGATATGGCGTACTTCCTGGCCAGATTGACGGGCGTATCATATTCGGTTTTACGTTCTTTCGGGCTACCCGATAATAAAGAGTCTAATAGGGTTTTCCTGGTCGACTTTGTTTTCTCTTCCCACTGCGAAATAGCGAGCTTGTTCGCTTTTTGCTTAAGAGTTCTGAACTCGTCCATCTCTTCGTCAAACGAAAGGATATCCGATCCGTCACGATTTTTCGTGACATAACCTTCCACGGTATTTTCAAATGGGAAACTGAATTTTACGTTATTACTTTCGGCCCTTTTTTGCACCTGATTTGTATCATTCAGAATATCTAACTCGCTCGGGATAAAATTTAGTCTAAAGGAAGAGTCTTGTTTGGGGTACAAGTTGTCGTTATCCAAGCGCCACGGCTTATAAAATGGGGACACGCCTATATCGCTAGAGGTACTAAAATTTAAACAGGTTACTTCGTCGCCTTCAGCTAAACTTTCAAAAATATTAGGTCGGTGGGAGTAAACCAATTCAATAAGTGCCGAATCGTCCGACTCATCGGTATAAGAGCCGCTGTCTGCTTGATCGTCGCTTCCTGGTATCGTATTCCTTAGTTGCAATTGTTTTGAATTTTCTTTTTTGTTTGTGTCTTTAGTTGTTTCTCTAGTTGATTTTTTCGAACATACTCTATCCAAAACTCTCTTTTTTATGACATTACGCTGAGGTTCCATGACATCTTTGTACCAGATAGGCGATATCGATGAATTCGGCGTGGTCAAAACATTTTTGCTCCTTGTAAAATATGGAGTACTGCTGATCATCTTGTTTTCTGAGAATTTCTCAGCCAAAATGGACTTTCTAAGTTCACGAGGTTCGCTATATTCGAATAGTTTCCTCGACTGTTTCTGAAAAAAACAAATACAAAAATCAATCAAACAACCGACGATGATTAAGCAGACGTTTTTGCAGGTTCAGAATCAGATACTCAAATAACATTTTATAATAACGACCTAAAATGTATACTTAATTTTGCAAATCGTTTATATTTTTTACTTGTTATTTAGATGTGATTGTGCTACGAAATGTTATGGCTAAAATAAATGGCTTTTAAGCTCCCCCATGTAGCGCACAAGGTAACGAACCAGCTACTACAATCCTAATACAAAATTGTGGGCGAGTAGTCTTTATTAGGTTCTATGGGGAGAATTATACCAAATAAGTATTTCAAATTAAAGATAAAAGAAAAAAAAAATTAAAATGTTTCACAAAAGTTTAAATGTGAGGTAGGTAATCTCTACTCATCGCAGCCATTGCCAGATGCGGACCTTTTGGCTTCCAAATCATCCGCCTAAAAACGAATTCAGCACAATGCGTTGAATAAACAAATCGCTTGATCGCAACCTAATGATTCATAATTTGTCATCCTCCTAAATCCAGTTTTAAATATGCACATTTCACACTTTCGTCTTTTCGCAAGTATTGTGGACGATGCGGAATCGTCCTGATTTTGACAAAGTTTGAAATATCTTGTTTTATTTACTTGAAAGGATTCAACATTATTTAAAACACAGCGCTCAATCACCATTTTTAACTGAACACTGAAAACACAAAATTTTGTTTTAAGCAATAAAGTCTATATTAGTTTAATTAGCATATGAAGTCAAAACAGAAAAAGTGAATTTAGAACGTAAAAATCAATGAAATTTCAAACACAAACAAGAACAAGCATAATTAAGGTAATCATTACAAAACTCGATTCTACATAAGAACTTTTTTGTTCAGTCACTTAATAGGGAAAGTCACGCGATATAAAATTAGACTGTGCTTTACAACATACAACATGAGTTGTTTAACAATAACCATTTTAACGTGATGCAAATATCTTGACCGGCTGAGATAATGTTGCAAGTGCTGCGCATCGCCGTGTTTTTCTCCCGATACGCCAAACACAGAAGCGTAGGTAAATTATAAATTTAACTCAACATACGTTAACAAAATGGTAAAATAAAAAATGGTTCCTATTTTAATATTAGCGATATGGCTTGAAATAAATGTCTTTTTTTAATGTGACAACGATACAACGAATAAACGTCAACGCCAATGCAAAGAAGTTTTTTACCTTCAAGTTTATAATTAACTTGGCGATTTGAATTCTTGTTATGTGTATTTGCGCTACGTATTACCTATTATGGATTTGCATAAAACGTTTAAAGAGATCGGATGGGGTGCGTGATAATTTTTACACTTTTTGAGACTACCCGTATGACACAAAAATTACTTTAATGCTTATATTTCGGAAACAAACAAATTATACCAACGGCAAACCCAATCCGCAGCTAATGAAACAAACTCTTCAATAATTCACATGACTATGAGCTTTAATATATATTACGGAATAAAGAATATAAATATTAAATTATTAATCTACTTCCAACAGTAAAAGCAAAGCGACACTTTTTTTTTATTGGCTATTACAACCCGCCAGACAATGGAGAGCCTCAACAAATTAACAAGAAAACTAATAATTACCAGAGTCTTTTGTACATTTCCGGTAATATACGATGATAAATTGCAACGATACCGTAAGCAACCCTTCAAATGGCTTTACTGCATTTGTTTCACCACGTTGACGGTAATCCTATTCACGGCCTGTAGTATCGAAATAGGCAATAAGCCAAACTCGAAAAGGGAAACATTGCGGGTCGGACTGAAAATATGTCAAATGATGATAGCTTTTGTCATAATCTCGACCAGTTATTTTACCAGGCATCGATTGGCAAAGAGTATTAACGGATATCTGGAAATTGATAAGCTTATGAGGAAGGCGGGTGCACCAGTCAGATACAAGTACGTAGGTAAAGTGTGTCTCAAAGTATATCGTTTTGGCTTTTGACGACCCTCCCTCACAAAGTATTTACGGCCTTCAAACCTATTATTACTGGGTATATCCAACAACCAATCACTTACTCATAGGTAAGGGTGTTGCCTGATATCAGTGGCAACGTTAAATAACCCATTTTACCGTACGTTTCGAAAAAGCTTCTTACCAGTATTAACAATAATTTTTCGGTTGTGCCGCGTCGAAATCACTTGCGAAAAAAATTGTGAAAACTGTGTAAGGATGTTTAATGAATCCAGGATCCTTTAAATAACAAGCTTTAAAAGAAACCTGCCTACTTATAAAAACGTCAATGTCCTCGATAAAGGATATTGCTAACATTGAATGAAAGAAAAGACCTAGTGACTTTCAATCTCACCTTCCATGGAGTTATATATAAAATGGAATTTACATAACGCAAAACTGACAAAAAACAAGTGGTAATGCAAACGCACATATTGCTTACTTGGAAGTTCAGGAAATTAAAAGGTATAGATCCGAAAACACATGTATAATTTACCTAGATGAAACTTGGTGCGATACTCAGGATATAGTATCTAAAGGATGGGTTGTTTCCACACACATTGTCAGGCATAAGCACCTTTAAATAACGACAATTATTTTGAATCCAGTTACAAGAAATGGCAACCTTTGGAAGCGTTAAATTCATATGCATTTAAAAATCTATATGTGATAATTATGACGAACAGATGCAGCGTTTTACATCATCCTCCATAGCGTTGTATACTCAACCCCGTAGGACCTATGTGGTAGCAAATAATATCAAATATTACTTCTACTTTAAGTCCCAGTGTAATCAATTTAATTAAAAATTAATTAATAATACACCTGTTCAGAGCTGGAAAGATGCAATACAGCATATTTTTAAAATCGAAGATCCTTCATTTGCATACAGAATAACATAATAATCGTACTAATGTGATTTTATTATAAGTCAATAAACATCACATAATATTTAATATATTATATTTTAAGATGATATACTTTGAGACATACCATACCTAATATATGTTGCCAACATATAACTAAATGAAACATTATACACCGTATATATTCTTCTATTTTAGGATACTGAAATACATACTGATAACTAAACATAGCATAACCTTTACTTTAATAATTCTGAGCAATATTATATGCTTTTCCTTCAACGAATATTCTACCGAATGTGCTACTTACATAGCTGCTTATAACGTGACGTACATAATATCGTCACTAATTTCGACTTCGGTTTGTGCGTTAATGGCCCTCTCGCTTACGAGATTGCAAATTCTGAATTGTTCGGCATATAATATTGTTTTAAAAGGTAAGTAGAAAAAATCTCTGAGGTTTATTTATTTAAAAGAAGATAAAATTAGCGGGTAATATAATTACAAATTCATATAAGGTTACAACATGCTAATTGCCCAACCATAACACATAAGAAAAAGTTTATGTGGGCAAAGAATTGCAGTTTTGTACGAAAACCATTTTTAGTTTTTCAGCTGTTAACAGATATTTCAAAAAAATGATTTTCGGCGATTTATTTAAATAGATATTTTTATTACTACTCTAAAGGGAATAGTACATGGTAGGGATTGTTATGGGTGTTCGTGACATTGTGTATTGACTTTAATTTCCGACGGCGGTTTAAAGACGTCCGTCTTAACATTCTTCAAAATAATTTCGAACATAAATTTACCGAACTATCTATTGACAGTGTAACAGAAACACTTCTTAAAAAAAAAGATGGAAAAAGAGCACATTAAAAGAGCAACAGTTATGTCCATGCCCGGGGTTCTAATCAACTAATGATTTAAAATAAAATGATTTAAAATAAATACAAATATATGCAGACAGTATGTTTTTCTACTTCCGTCTGTAAAACACCCAATTACACGCCGATCTAGCGTGCGGAAAACGCCACTTTACCGCGTCAGTTTCGTTCCCCACGGATCCGAGCTACATCGGACATTTCCGGGATTTTACCGAACGGGTTTGGGAGCAATCGGATGTTTTCGCAGATTTTACAGCACGGTTTTTTCTTTTTCCTTAAATAAACTACTTAATGATCAATTGTAAAAGTTAAATAAACAACCGAATGTTTTAAAATTGTATTTATTCCGTTGTTTATATTACATATCCAATAACATCTAACGTACACAGTTAAAAAGAGACAAAAATTGCAAAACCGATCGGAACGATAGACGAATAGGTTTAATGGCAACTAGTAAATATTTTATTTGAATGGTACGAAATTTAGTAATCCGATAATTGTCATTATAAGGAATTCTTCTTTTACTAAAAGTTCTCTAATTATTTAAACTGACCGAATGTTCCTGACGAGGTAGATATCAGCAAGATATTTTAAGAAGCACAATAATTTGCATTGAACATACAGGAAACTAAGTTTCACATTTTTTAACCGAAGTTACACTAATAATTACTTTAATATATTATTATTATGTATAAAAAAGTTATAATATTGTTGTAACTCTTTAACTATGCAATTTTACCACAACTTTGCATACTAAATGGTTTCGTAACCCTCTATCGCTCAAAAAATTAATTCAAAAGCCATAATAAGAAGAAACCACCACACTTTTGTATGCGTAATTGTTTCAGACAATTATGATCCAATGGACAAAAAACCAAAGATTCCTATTAATCGGAGATTCCCAAAGAAAACTTTACGAACAATAAGCTTGCTGTATTATAAAATAGTGAAAGTAAGCAATATGCTAAATCAAACATTCTCTTTTCAAATCATACTGATGCTGTATAAGTCCCTAATAACGATTTTGGAAAGTATAGACTACTGTTTAAGCAATGCAACTGGAATAACAATTTGGACTGATCTATTCTGGAGCTGCGCAACCATGTTAGAAGTCCTGATAATGTTTTTGCTGACGACAAAACTTCAATCACAAGTAAGTCCATGGTAGTCAACTTAATTATACTTCTCTATTTAATTCCAGACCAAAGAAACAGCTAAAATTGTAAACATGATTGAACCTAATAAAAACGACATGATGCAAATTGAGGTGAATTTTAAATTACCTTTGATATATTTTAAACACTGTTTCGCTTACAGAAAATTATATTCTTGTTGCAAGCCAAACAGCATAAATTAGATTTAACAGCTTGTAAGCTATTCCCACTTAATGCAAATATGTTTCTAAAGGTTAGCGAATTAATACATCTGCTTACATTACATTGTTGTATTAATATATATTTTGCAGCTTTGCGCTACTACCTTGACATATATTGTGCTAATTCAGGACCCAAACAATCACCTGAAGAATTAATCAACTTTAAAAACTTTTTACATATTACATATAATATTGTCCTATGAGAGTGTCATATTAGTTCTAGGGAACTAAAAATGACATATAGGTAACTTTTGTTAATATCTACCTACATCTATCTACTTGAAAAAATTGTAAGTCATATTAATTCATAAGACAATCACTCCTCTTAATAGAACATTTAACACCGATCACTGCCGGACACCTCATCATGTATGTATATGACAATTATGAAACCAATATCTAAAAATTTGATTTATTATAACATTTATTAATAGCTTTTTATTAAGCAGGTTTGTAAAAAACATGATGTGTGGAATATGTGGAAATAACATCTACAAATCTGATTTATTATAAAATTAGTTAATAAGTTTTTATTGTCTAGGTTAGTAAAAATCAATATGATTGTAGAATATGCACTCCATAATAGACATTATACTCTAAAGTGACTGTAAATAAGTTTTAATACTCACCTTGCGTGCCTCAATTTTTTTATAAACTTCCTGAAGTTTTTTGTCAATGATGTTATCTTTCTTGGTGTCATGGTTGACTTTTTTGTAACTGCAAAAATTAATTTCTCTTTAACATAACCTACGCTAGAAAAGCTATTGATTATCAGGCATTTAACTAAGAGAAAATTAATTGTCCATAACTTATATTTAAGTGAAAAAATGTAAAAGCATCTATATCCATAATAACATTTAGGTTACATAGTACACAGTAGGAAATCATCAAAGCTAAAACTTACACGCCGGGTTTTACTAACACATATGTTGTTTGTGGTTCACTCATGTTTTGTATATGGTTACTTCTTTAAAAAGTAAAAACGAAAACAATTAAAAGTGCATTATGTGTTTGTGTGTGTGTGTGTGTGTGTCCGCGTTTTTATCGGTTTAAATTAACCGACATGCTTCACTTTCAAACCCACAGATGAAAGGAAACGGCATTCCAATAACTTCTTCTTTTTTCAATGAACTATCCGATCGACCGCCCAACTTGTTCCACCATGAAAGCCGTATCCCTAATAATAAAAAAATAACCACTAAAGTTTGCAATATATATTCTACAAACAACGGACACTTATTTGGCCAGAGGCCTGATATGGGAGGTTCTTCTTCTTTTTCTTTTACTTTTGTTAACCCAATTTGCTAGGATCATTCGGCCAATATGGGAGGTTAGTTTATACATTTTAAATGAATCGATTATGGAGATGTGCTGACGTGACGTTCTACATCCCTCAAGATTTGATATTTTCATTTTCATAAACTTGTAGGGAGAGCTCGACAAAAAATGCAAAATTATCAAGTCTGTTTTGTTCGAAATGAATTTGAATTGCTTCATTCTATCACAAAAAAATTACCAGTTAAAAGCACATACATTTTTTTAACCGCATTTTTCAGTTAGTTTAGTTGAATCCCCACTTCTTATTGCACCTGTTACTGAATTTTCAAGCTTGTTTTGAAAATAAAGTTTTCAGAAATTCATCTCTTCGTCGAATGAATATGATTCGGGCTAAAGTACTACATTTTTTTGAATAATATTCTGCTTTAGAAGGACCCGAGACTCACAGCGCAAACTGAACATAAAAGTGGTATTCTTTTTACAAAATGTGTTTTATTACTTCCTCTGTTCTGGTGAAAACAGAAACCACATCTACACGTACAGCAATCGTCCATCGTCATAATCTGTCAAAGCCCATGCAGCCACAAGAAAGCTAGGTGACCGTGGAAACAGCCCCTATTTTTCTGTTATTAGATCTAGATACTTAATAGTATAACACTTAATAGTAACACGTTAAAACGTTTATTAAACACTCGCTCCGCTCGTGTCACATAAACTCGTGAGTCGAATGACATTTACCGTACTTGTTGCATAATATACTATTACCTAATTACACACCGATCTAGCGTATGGGAAGCGTTACTTTACCACGTCAGTTTCGTTTCCCACTACTTCGAAACACTTCGGATATTTCCGGGATTTTACAGCACGGGTTTGGGAGCAATCGGATGTTTTCGGAGATATTTCCCACGCTTTGAATTTTGGCGTTTGTCAATTCTGACAGTAAAAACTAACGGTCGTAAAAAAAGCATAGTTACTAGGGATATAGAGACTCTACCTATGCCAATAAAACAGGAATTTATGAAGCAACTACGAAAAAATAAAGAAGTTTGGATGCAGAATATTTAAGGCAGTATTTTCTCATAATATGCCTAAATCTCGTCAAATGTTTTGAGAAAACGAGTCAAGTGTAGAAAGCATCGTTCAGAAAGAAAATGACGCAAAGTGCAAGTTAGTGGGTGAAATGCGCGGAAAATCATTTTCCCAGAACATTTAACGAGGTCTAGGCATATTTTGAGAAAATACTGCCGTAAAGAAGTCACATCCAAACTTATTGACGATTTGTCAGCGTTCCTTGTTGCTTGTGGAATGCCCCAAGATTATTGGTTACAAACGAGTTTTGAGTTAATAACAAAATAAACTGCTAGTATTCTGTGACTTTGTTTACATCGACCATGTATTCCCGCCTGTTTAACGTACTAAGGTTATCTTGTAAGACGAAGCCAAAAGCAATAGAATATCCATTTAAGCATCTGTATCAGAGTACAACTTTGGATTCGGCTAGCGCGAAATTTGGGCTTCTTTCTTCTGATGTGATGTTTTTATAAAGTAGTCAAAATGAAACGCACTCGAAGCAGTATTAAACGATATGTTGAAAGTAGTGATAGTGAGGATGACCCTCCTTCAAAAAAACTGATTTCACCACAAGCACCAAAAGCTGAAAAAAATACAGAAAGCTCCTCTAGTGAGAGCGATATCGAAAACTACCTCCAACGACCAGATAAATTAGATTTAAACTCTGAATTTTTCAATTCGCGTAAAAATGATGTTCCTGATTTTAATAAGATCGAAAATGAGATATTTGCTGGAATAACGAGGCTTAGTGAATCAGATTCCAGCAGTGAAGGTGAAAAAAACTATTCAAATGTGATGCTCGCAGAAACGAGTTCAAAGTCATTTAGTAAAAAACTGGAAACAAACTCCAACAAACGAAAATTAAGTACTTCAGTTGTGGAACCAAATTTAGATGCTCTAAAACCAATTAAAAATGAATGTGATGTGTTAGAACCAACATCTAAGTTAACTTTTGATCAGTTTAAAAATTACACCAGAAAAATAGAAGAGGCCAAAAAAATTGTAGAAAAGTACAACGCCCGACACAGAACAGAAGAAAAAAAAATTGATATTATCAATATTCTCACCGCAGGTGAGATGAAACCCGTGGAAGGGCTATCTATTGAGCCCGGTGATTTACATTCAAGTGATTTTGATTCAACTGATGAGGAAGCAGAAAACTGGGAAGAAATTAGTCCTAACAAATTACTAAAAAGTCAAGATCTTATCCCAAAGAAAAATGTTGAAATTACTATTGGCATGCCCGATGTAGTGAGAAAGAAAAAGGGTAATATAATATTAAATAGTAATTAGCAATTTTTGGTTAGTTTTGTAGAGTTATATTTCATTTCATAACAATTAAATGAAGCTGTATTGTTTACATCACTGTTCAAAAATTAACAATTATCAACAAAGTTTTGAGGCTAAGTCGTGTAATTTCTTTATGAATAAAGTTTTTAAGATCAATTGCCTCGATTTAAAGAAAGTATTTAAGCAGGTTTTTCTAACTTGTGATTTTCAGAAAATTAGCTGTCAAGACAATAATAAATAATGGTTTTTAAAACCAATGGAATTGGCATGTTTCATTTAAAAACTAATTTTGTTTCAGGGATTGATCTACTAGCAGTTATGAAACGAAGGCTGAATCGCATAAGAAAAGAGAACCAAATATTGGTCCACAAAGTTCATTTGTTGTGTTGGATAGCACATGGCAACTATGTCAATTGCCAAATTAACGACACTCAAGTATTAGGGTTGGCATTGTCGCTTTTACCATCAGAACAATGTTATCCTTCAGATAGAACTGATCTCAGTTATTTAGAGCAAATAGTGCAGTGGTATAAACGGACAGTGAGATGCATAGAAAAACCCCAAGAAGATGTTCCTCTGGTTGGGCTACTGCAGCAACAGATTTCCAAGAAAGAGGCGAACAGCAATAAAATGTTAGTTTTGATTTTTGTAGCTGTGCTAAGATCTCTGGGAATTCAATGTCGGCTCATAATATCTTTGCAAGTTGAACCTTTACGACCTCCCGCGAATGAACTTCACTCATTAACTTCGAAAGTTGGAGGACAATGCAGAGGCGGTGATAAAAAACCTGTACACAGTCAAAGTAATAAGGAATTATTAAAAACTGTTGAACCTAGTACTTCAACAAAATCTAAGGAAATAAAAAATACAAATATCAAAACTCAGAAAGGTGACAAAAAGATTAAAGAAAAAATTGTTGAAGGGGCTAAGGGGGTAACAACAAAAACCAAGTTAGGTGAACCAAAATCTGAAGGTAAAAATGTGTCGGCCAAATTACGAACTTGTCGACGTGCTAAAAATACTTCAATTTCAACTTCCACGCCACGCAAAAATTTGGAAAATTGCAACCCATCAAAGCAAAAATCAAAAGCAATGCAAGAGAAAGATGTGAAACTTAAACATTCATCAAAGTCTGTCAAGAAAACACAAATTTCAAGATCTTCAATGAGAGAGGAAAAATTAACCACGCGGAGTACTAGCACCACATCTCATAAATCTGATAAGAAATCAACACAGAAAGCTGTTACACACAATATTAAACGGAAAGAAATTGATAGTTCAAAATTAAAAAGTGGTACCACAAACTCAGACATCCTGAAAACTGGGCCAAGGTTTGCGGATGCGCCTAAACGTGATAGAACCATTAAAACTGCAGCAAGCGTGTCTAAAAAATCAATTCCAAAAGTAAAAATTCAACAAGTTGATGGTGCAAATTGCTCCTCTAGTAGTGAAGAATTTATAATTCCTCAGCTAGATGGCGCCGGAGATAAAAAGAATAAGAGGCCTAATTTAAACAAGTTGAAAGGAGATACTAAAATTTCTGACAAAATTTTGAAGAGAGATGATACAGATAGTGAGTTTGTTGCTAATCTGCAAAGAAATACAAAGCATAAAGACAAAAAAAGTCCCAATCTCGGAAAATTGTCAGAATGTAAAAAAAATGTTCTTTCTAAACAAGTAGATGTCCGAAATGATATAATCGATCTTATAAAAGGTAGAATAAAGGAACAAAAGCACACGGACCAAAGAAAGAAAGTAAAAAAGACGACAAAAGAAAGTAGCGATTCAGACAGTGACTATCTTCCAGAAGTGGTCATAAAGAAACAAGTGGATAGCGAGGATGACTTCAAACCAAAATCCAAAGTGAAAACCAGGATCCCAGGCAAAATGACTTTGATCAGGATGGAAGATGAAAAGAAGAAGAGAACTGGAAATGATTATTGGGTGGAAGTGTTTTTGGAATCAGAAGAAAAATGGATTTCAGCTGATTTGGTGTATGGCCAAGTTCATTGTGTTAAGGAAGTGTATGTAAGTGTTTTTTGAGTATGACTTTCTAGTTTTGGTTAGCTTAAATCACCAAATTGAAAAGAAAAAATAATTTCTTAGCAAAGAGCAACTCACCCAGTGTCCTATGTACTGGCTTGGAATAATGACAATACCTTGAAAGATGTCACACAACGATACTGTCAAAACTACAACACAGTCACTAGAAAATTGAGAATAGATTCAAAGTGGTGGAATGAGTCTCTTAACCCATTTGTAGGAAAATCCACTGCCAGAGATTTAGAGGAAGATGAGGATTTAGCTAGACAGCAATTGGATCAACCTTTGCCCAAGTCAATAGCTGAGTATGTGTTCACAGGTAATTTCAAAAGACAGACTCAAAAGTAAGATTTATCATTCTTTTCAGATACAAGAATCACCCATTATATGTATTAAAGAGGCATTTGCTTAAGTTTGAAGCTCTATATCCACCAGATACTCCAACTTTAGGTTTTATTAGAGGAGAAGCTGTTTATCCAAGAGGGTGTGTCTATACTTTGCATTCCAGAGATATTTGGCTCAAACAAGCAAAAGTCGTTAAACTTGGTGAACAGCCATACAAAATTGTTAAAGCCAGGCCTAAATATGATAAGGTGATTTTCATAAACAAAAATTCATATTATATATTATATTTTTTGTCTTTTTAGTTATCCAATAAGATGATAACTGATCAAATGTTAGAAATCTTTGGCTTATGGCAAACCGAAGATTATGTTCCACCCACAGCCGAAAATGGGGTGGTTCCCAGAAACGCTTTTGGAAATGTTGATTTGTTTAAGCCTTGCATGTTACCATTCGGAACTGTGCATTTGAAATGTATGTTACATAATTATGCTTGAAAGTGGTAGACAGTAATTCAGTAGAAACACTAAGAGATTGTGAACTCCCATTGCCTTAATTTTCTGTGTACATAACATTTGGGGCAGATGTATCACTATCCCTTAGTCTGCGCACGATAACTCTGGTAGTGATACATCTACCCAAAACGTGAAAAAAAATTAATAGAAGTTGACCAATCTCTTAGTTTTTTTATGTAATATTAATATTTATTATATTACCATTTACCTTTTTTATTTATTTTAGTGCCTGGTCTAGCAAAAGTGGCAAAAAAAATGAATGTCGATTGCGCACCAGCTGTTGTTGGCTTCGAATTTCATTCTGGTTGGAGCGTGCCAACAATTGATGGCTTCGTGGTTTGCAAGGAATACGAAGAAGAGGTGGTAGCCGCCTGGGAGAAGGTAAGAAGTTTCTGCGACTGTGCACCACTGAGGTTCAACAAAGTATACCTTAGAATGTCAATAAATAGAATTACTAGCCCACCTAATGTTACTTTTTTTATGGACAATTGGTGATCACTGATTTGAGAATTCCAAAATGTTTTATTTTGCGCTATCTGTCAGTTTCACTTCAAGATCACTAGCTTGGTAAGCTGGTTAGTGAGGAGTCTAGATAACTATGTAATCATAGCCTGCCTTGTCAAAGAGAGCATAAATTCTTTGTTCTAGTAACAATTTTTTGCTATATTTTCTTTGATCTAGGAACAAGCGGAAATGATAAGAAGAGAACAGGAGAAAACTGATAACCGTGTGTATGGAAATTGGAGACGTTTGATTAAAGGTCTTCTTATCAGGGAACGTTTAAAAGCCAAATATGATTTCGGGACACCTTCAGTTTCTGGAACCACTAAAGAGATAAAGAAAAAAGCTAAGGCACCAACATATTGTACCAAAAGAACATAGCTGTATGTAGTGGTTTATGCAGATTGTTGATTGATTAGTATGATCTACTTTGAAGTGGAATTTATGAAAAATGTGTGATAAGTGGTGATTAATATTAATAAATTGTTACATTCTGATGTCTTATTTTGAAATTATCTTGATATTAAGCCAAACTTTTACAATACTTATTTTTACTTGTACCAGTAAGTTTGAATGAATAAAATTAAACCATTCATATGAAGTGTTTTAAGAAGTTTGTGTTATTTATTAGGGAATGTTGCAAAGACTTAGATTATAATAGTCACTGTGGCATAGTGGCACAAAATACTAGTTCCGAAAAAATCAGTAATTTAGAAAAATAGAAACTGAAATATTGAGATAACTCATATAATTGTATTTTGATTTGTATTATTGTCTTTTTAAAACAAAAAATATTTTTTGAGGTTCCTTTTAAAATGTTTGTAAAATTTGTGCCCTTATTGATTTTTCTTTGCACACTTCAATTTCACCAATGAAATGCAATATTTTGATTCAAAAAATTCTCAAGAAAACAGTAGGTTAAAGTTTTAACATCATTTTATTATGAAAATACGTCTAAAAATGTAATATGGCACGTTCGTTTGCGAGAAAGGTATATAGTAGTCACTTTAAAACCTATTGGCATGTACACAAGTACAAAAACCATCGAAAAGCTATAACTAAGAAACAAGTGACCTATAGTTTTTGATACATGTCCAAGTAGGAATTATTTCTAAAATAAAAGAAACAACTATCAAATTAGCAGTCTCTCCAAAAAAAAAAAAAACGGAATTTTTGGTATAGAGCTACTGTTCTTAAAATTAGAAGAATTATCATGGCACGTAAACAGAAGCTAAGCTATTCTAAAGTAAAAGCAACAACCAACTAACCTGGTTTTTGAAAAATAAACAAAAAGTACTATTTTTAAAGCACATTTTATTTACATTATTAAAGTGTGACATTTTTTAATAGCATTAGTTTTTAGCAAATCCATTATGTCATTTCATTGCGATAAGCACGGTCTAGATTTACATTTTCAAAAGTTGTAACATGCTTAATGCTTCTGTAGTCAGTTTCACTAAAAGATGTTTTACTGAAAAATGTGTCAGGAGCATCTTTTTCTACTTTGATAACACACTCGCAATTTATTTTGATAATTTCGCCTGAACTGTCCCAATGAAAGTAAAAAGAAGTTTAAGTTACTAGTTTTTTAAAATTTAAAAAGAAATCATCATACTACTTTATAAGAAGTTTTCGTCTTCTTCGTGCTATTCACCAACATTACGTACTCTGCGCCGGTTTTGCGCGAGTTACAAGACTCATCACCCTTAGAAGCTGCCGACGCCGCACAATGCGGCATCTGATTATCTTGCAAGTTTGTACTTTTCAGTTAGAGTCAAGCTTCGCGCTAATGCATTAAATATTTTGTAATTATTAGAAATAAACAGTTAAAAAACGATCTGCAGCAGTTCAATCATTTAATTCGTTTAAGATCGTTAACAAACGCGGAAAATTCAATAGTGGCACTAACTCTCTCTATCGGAACTGAAGTAAGATATGTGATGGTATTGGTTGTTCTTAATTCACTAAAAATGGATATTTTTGGATATGTGCCATTATTACACCCAGTTAGGGATATACAAAAAAGATTTTGTCCTGAAAACTTTACCACCATTTATGTCAACGGTTGAGACATTCACATAAAACTGCACTCAACAATTGATATATCATAAAGGAACAGCCTGTATAAACCTGGTATGGTCAAATAGCTTAGATAAATTATGGACAGCGTGGTCCAAATGAACTTTAAACATGTATTCGACAAATAATAAAAAAGTTCATATAAACTTATGTTCGATGAATTTGTTTTTGTTTAACAAGGGGCGTGCGTGAGACGTTGGACCAAACGGGCATATAGTGGTCAAAGCCATGGTATGGTGGCGCTGTTTTTGTGTTTCCTTTTTATACAAAGTTTGCACTCAATCTTAACGGCTAAAAATGAAAAAAATTATTCATAATTTGCTCCAAAAATATCGACTAAGTTTTAAATGAAAACAACTACTACTACTACAACTACGTCAAAATGGATGCTTTTATTAGTTACCGGCATATAGCTACTAGAAATATGGAGGTCGTGCCTATGCAGAATGTGCAGGAACTTATGAAGCAACTATGAAAAAATTGTTGACAAGATGTGACAGCATGAGCAGTTTTAAACCTTGCGGCATCTAACAACCAACATGGCCACTGACGTACTGTCAGTAAGTTTGGATGGGCCACTTTTGCGACTGTATTTTCTCAAAATGCTAGACCTAGATCTCGTGAAATGTTCTGGGAAAACAAATTAAGTTTGTCAGTTTGTCAGAGGCCATGTTGAATGCCGCAAGGTCATTTGTTAAAAACGAGATTTTAAATCTCGCGCAAGCATATTTTGACGGACAATCTGAAAATTATTTTATAGTTACTTCATAATAGTGTTGTGTTAATCGTTCATTGTACGAGGACCGAATTAATCAGTGTCCGATTTCGAAAAGGACCGAATCATTTCAATCAATCGTTCACTTCAATACTTTTTGTTGCCAACATAAGCAGCAACAGTAAATGAATCCGAACTGTTCGAACGACCGATTCAGATTCATTTGAATTTGAATTATTGTTGTGTCTATGTTATGTTTTCTGTTCTTGTTAGTATAATATTTAGCTGTGTTCTGCTTTTTATTGAATCATGATTTTATCAAAATAGATGCTACGTATTGGGTTGTACCAGTAATACATTAATTTGTTTAAAACAAAAACCTGTGTGGAAATAGATATTTCATTCAATATTCAATTCAACTCATAAGCAAATCTACCAATCGATGTCGCAACTTAAAAATATAGAGTAATTATAACAATACTTCCATTCCTTTTCCGTGGCCTGTCTCAGTGATGCAATTAAATCTTAAACCATTCAAATGAATCGTATTCCGGCGAATTCGATTTGTACTTCATAAGTTCCTGTATTGTTGACATAGCGCCAAATATATTGATTAAGTTTTAAACCATTTAAAGTTAAACAGGCAATTGTTTATGTACCTCTCTTTATCCGCGCCGTATTTATCTTTATAAGTATTTTAAATCTCCTCTTTAAAAACCAACAAAAAAAATGCGACTTATTATTAATAAAAATAAAAAACGCACAAATGACTTTCGGAACAAATGGAGTTCGGTTTGTCACAACAAAGATACATTTTTACCTAAATATTCGAAATATATATTAAAAATACGTTTTCCCAATCTTTTAAAAATATGAGAATAGCAAAAATCACCCAAATTGATATCAGAATTATTCAAATATTCCATGTAGTATTTTTTTATATATGTCTTGATACGTTCGGAATTTATACATTAGATACTGCTAAATTGTTTGTATTTTTAGATCCTGGGTATCCTATGCCTACCACTCTCCATAAGATATTAAATTCTCTTTTGTTACCGATAGGAATGTTATCTGAAGATATTATTAAACAATTTATACAATGGTTGTATCATCAGATCCTTTGATTAGTTCTGATGAAGAACAAGTTTAACAAAATTGGTAGTGTTAGACAATAAATCATAAATTATTAAAAATCTTCAATACCACTATTATTTTTGTAGTTTGCTCTTATTTTCTAGTTTGTATAAAATTGTTACAGAATTGGCTGAAGACCCATTTTCCATTTTTTTCTTCAAAATTGGGATAATTTCATTGAATTTATTTTTTTGTAAATAATATGTTCTTCCAACAAACCTATCAACTACGGCGTTTTTTTTTGTAAAGAGGAAAATGGAAATCTTTTTTGCCATGTTTATTAGTAAATCTACCAGTGATAGAAAACACACGTTTATTATTTATACTGTGATTGCAGTGAATTTATTTGTTCGATAGGAAAAAATTTATTCAATGCGTCCAATAGAGTCCACCCGTTTGAAAAAAGAGTTCAAAAGAATATAGCGATAGAAATGAAAAACAAAACTGACGGAGGGTTAGTAAAGCCATGTTTGATACATGGGAAAATGTTTTCTTCATAGTACTTAATAAAATTTCATAAATCTTTTACTAGATCCAAATCTGGTATGAAAACGATATACAGAATATCTTCTTTTCCTTTTTGCTGGCTCTTCAAGCTAAACCGCCGCTTCAAGAACTTCAAGGCTATCTCCACCGAACCTGTCCCACTAATACACATTTTATAATCCATGCTTTAACCGTCTGAGCACAGAATAAAACAACCAGCACTGAACTCTAATATCCCCAATTTTTGTTTCCTTTTGACCACAGGATACATCTATAAGTAGTCTGTGCTTTAGAAAGGGAACAAAAGCGACTTCCCCCGCTGCCGCGCCCAGTGATCTGGGTCCATCCGACGTGAATGGCGAAAACAAAAACGCACAATGCAGACATCTCAGTTATAAATCAAAACGTTCACTAAAGCAACAACAAACTAATACTACATAATTCAACCGATACCAATTTTTTTTTCAAATAAACTTCCGCAGCCTGTCTAACTTGTAGGTACACATCTCTAGCATAGAATGCTAAAGAAAATCCGCCAGAAAATGCGATTCCCATAATGTGTTCTCGGTTTTGGTGATCTCAGTATCGTATTTCCTAAGCGATCAAAACAAAACTATTAAATTCTCTATGAGGTGAAATATTCTAATCTGGGGTTAGTGCACCTTTCGAAACACCTGTATATTTTTGAATGTTAACCTTGCCAACCTGTACACTAGACATGCGCACAGGTTAACGTTTCGTTCGGACAGCTTCAATCGCGTGGGCCGCCATTTTGATGAATAGTTTTGTGTGGAAATTGCATTGAAACTTTTTCTGGAAAAAAGGTTGATTTATTGTTTAAGATGTGAACATCAACAACCATTTTCAAGTTTATTATTGGTAAGTAGTAGGTAACGTGTTAACTATTAAAAATACAATTACCGCCAAATTTCGGTAGCCGCTACTATAGATGTTTGTAAACAGTTTTTATAAACCCTTAACTTTAAAATTCATGCCTACATTTACTTTGAATGTATACTGAAATTGTACAGGTTTTTAAATTAAAATTGGACACCCGGTTTCATTTTTTGACAAGGCGGGAATATCTTTTTGCTTTCCAATTGGACAGTAATATTTACCTCTACAAGAAAAATCAATAAATTCTGTCAACTCCTTTTTTTATTTTTCTTACTGTTAGATTATAAAACAACCACATAGGCTGTCCTTTTTTTGTATGCGTCCATCATTAATGAAATTTCAAAAAGTGGGTTTAATATAATTTAATTTTTAACAATTTCAGAAAATTTAAAACAAAATAAATAGCGTACCTATATTTTACTGCGTTTTTATTCAAAAAATTGTCTCTTTTCTTAAATACACAAAAATCCATGAAGAAAATATAACAATATTTTTCCCCTAATGTGCTTCATAAAAATATAGTTAATATCTTTAGTTATATGGGTAAATAAAATAGTGCTTTTAAACTATGAAATGATTTCTATGCGGTTTGTAAAGAGTTATTGTATGATCATCCACTGCGTCTGATATAATTATGTAATATGCAATTTCAGTTACAAGAGGTTTAAAAAAAATGTTTTTCATGCTTTTTTCAGAAATAAACAGATGGACACTTCAGAATGTGGCTGCGTAGCGAAAAACGTGTTAGAACTAGAATATCCTTGTGTACACACAGAAAGGGTCGCCAAAATTTAAGAAAAGGCTGGGCTGCAAAGGCCTCTGCAATATCTGTTACAAAGGTTTCTCATTCCAAGCAATGTGAAAAAAATGCTGCTTGTTTACAGAAAACTACAGTATGTTTAATTTAATTTAACATGCTCTTTGGATTTGAATTTATAGTAAATTGGTTATTCTGTCTGTTTAAAGATGCCTTGCAATTAAACATAATGATACAGATGACCCATCAAATTAATATTTACTATGAATTCCAAATTTAAAAGAAAGCAGCCAAATTTTTATATCACAATTTAGTTGTAAAAGGAAACTTTTGTATTACCAATTACAACTTGTCACCATAATAACTAAGTTTGTACAAGCTCTAGAATTTATTCAAATTTAATAATGTTTTATTGTTTTCAAATAAATTATTAAATTTAGTAAAAAGACAACACAAAAAACTAAACTAACAGTATCATATAAAATGCTGTTCATGTAAAACTCTTCCATTATTTTCGATTTCACAATAATGAGGGTGAAACTCAATTTTCAAGTAAAGTAACCCTTTTAAACATGGAAAAAGAGATGAAATATTAGTTTTTAAATCATTTTAGGTTGCTGAGGAATGTAAGGAAAATTACCAAGCACAGGTGGTCCCTCATTTGTATAATCAATTGCCAGATGGTGACAAAACTGTAGAAACTTTTACCAACATTAATAATATAAGTGATATTACAACACCAAATAAATATTATGAGTTTTATGATGCAACAAGCTCTTATGAAAGGACCACTGAGCCTTCAATTTTAGAAGGCAATCTTCCAAAGGAAATAGAATATAGGTAATATTTTCGGGGATAACTATTGACTTTTACTGATTAAACTTGATGATTGTAGTTCCATTGAATTGGATTCGAGCCTTATTACATGTTCTGAGGCGTTAACAGTAGACCCGTATTTAGACAAAATGCAGTTCAATTTAACTGATAAGAAGTCTTGTGAATTTCAAAAGTATGATGTTTATACTGAAAAAATTTGCGAATCTTTATATTATGATTATCCATCTTTAAAAAATGATTACTCAGAATTGCAAATAGACATAGGCGACCTGAGTAATGTAAATACCCAAGAATTTACAAACATGTTGGATGAAGAAATATCAAAAAATGTTAACATTAATAATGTGGTATACGATTATGCATCCATGTATGGAACAAATATGCACGATGCCAACATGATTGCGAGTGTGCCTCCTCAAGAGCATGATCGATTGGATGCGCAACCAGAGCATGTTGAGGTGGAGGATACTTGGGAAGTTTTCGACCCTTATTTGTTTATAAAGCATTTACCACCTCTTACTTTTGAAATGCGGTCCAAGTGTCCTGCTCTGCCATTGAAGACGAGATCCAGTCCCGAGTTTAGTTTGGTAAGTTTAGGAATTTTTTGCTCCAATTATTTGTTTTCTAATATATGACTTTCCAGGTTCTTGATTTAGATGAAACACTAGTACACTGCAGCCTTCAAGAATTGAGTGATGCAAGTTTTCACTTTCCAGTTTTGTTTCAAGACTGTTCATATACAGTATATGTCCGAACCAGGCCATTTTTCCGGGAATTCATGGAGAAAGTTTCTCAAATATTTGAAGTCATATTGTTCACTGCCTCTAAGAGAGTTTATGCAGACAAGCTTTTAAATTTGTTGGATCCTGAAAGAAAGTGGATTAAATATCGCCTATTCCGAGAGCATTGTGTTTGTGTGAATGGAAACTACATTAAGGACCTGTCTATACTTGGAAGGGACCTTTCAAAAACTATTATTATTGATAATTCACCTCAAGCTTTTGGTTATCATGTAAGTAAACCATTCCGATAATTTACAAATTTTTTTTGGAGGAGTGTCATATCAGAAATTCTTTTTTTTGTGTTAGGGAAAAATACTGTCGGCTTTACATGTTACTTTTTTTAAAATGGTTTTTAATTGTATTATTAAGACACGCCTAAAATTTCACCTTCGGTAACAATTCAAATTAGGAAAGTCTTGAAAGCCGCCAATGTTCAGAATGGTCTAATTCTACTGGTTGATGATAATATGGAGAAACAAAAAGAGAATCCTTTTGAAAATCTGGAATCTTAGATTTTTGAGTCTGCTCTACCGAATTAAAATATCTTAAAGAATGAAATGTTGCCGCATCAATAATGGCATTAGGTGGCATACCCTATATTTTATTATATTTTTAGATTTACTGCCTTCTCCTGAATCTTTTGCTCAATGCTTTCCTATTAAATGCCTCTTGCAATTTTTTTTTTCTGCAAAGTATTTTACTAAAACTTGAAGTTGCCATTTGTAGTAATGTTTTGAATTAATTGTGATAATTATAAAACCCAAATAATGACATTTGCATTAATGTTGTGGAATGTTACACTGTTTAACAATAATTGATCAATTATTAGTATTTATAAAACTTCTGGATTCCTCCTGCGTCGGTTGTTGTTGAGTCAAACTTCAGATCTTAATTGGAACAGTTTCATTTAAGTTATGAAGAAGCCAACAGGATGATTAGTGAAACGTTAGCAAGTTTGACTCAACAATAACCCACACAGTAGGGATCCAGGAAGTTTTGTAATTAGTATTACAGTAGCCTGTGGAAGTATTATTTTTTAAAATATTTGCGGAGAATATTAGTGGAAGTACTCCAAGAAATTATTTTCGTCATAAGATGTAGTGTGTAGAATTTGGAGTGGCTATAACTTGGTATCCAAAGATCCATATATTCTTCGTGTTAACTAGAACATCACAAATCCAAGTTAAAAAAAAGTAACTGAACAATTACTGTTACAATAGTGTAGTACTCAAAAAACAAAGCATCCAAATTAAATTTTAAAAAATAACACCTGCCATCAATCAACGGGTCATTTTTAATATAGCTCACAGTTATTTGGATTTATTATTCAGATCATTTTTATTAAGATAAATTTAAATTTCATAATTGCGAACAACATAAGGGGCAATGGTTAGTGGTTATTTAATAGTAGTAGTAGTACTAGTAATAGTAGCTTGACGTGAAACGTGGGAGAAAACTCGCAGAAATGATCTGAATTATAAATACAAATAATTTTGTGATTTTGTGTGTATGTATGCATCCTCTCCGGTGATTGATGTTAGATGTGCTAGACTTTTTTTTTGTGCTTTGGTTTTCGATTACTGCACTATTAAAGTAAAATATTTTGAATGATGCAAAGTTGCCGCTTCTAACATTATTAACAATATAAATTTTTTTCTTCAAAATTTGAACCTACAGACACTCATTTCTGTTAAACTTATTTTTAATAAAATCGCCCATATGTTTGAAGTAATTTTCGAAATTTTTTCAGCTCAACAATGGAATTCCTATAGAAAGCTGGTTTGTTGACAGAACTGATTCAGAACTTATGAAATTGTTACCCTTCTTAGAAAATCTTGTTCAAATGGTAAGCATATATTTTAGTATTGTTACGTTTTTAAAACGAAACCGAATTAAACATTTATTTCATTCAAATAACAATTAAAGTCGCCAAGAGTATACACACTACTATTCCTAATAATGTATATGAAGTCTACTATTTCAAATGGTCTGATTAACACATAATTTATTTATTACTTTTACAATATTATAAATTTTAAGGAGACAAATCTTCATTTTTCAGTTCAAATTGTTAGGTCAAAATATTTAGACCTTTTTTTTTGTAGTTTTCATTCATATAATTTCATTTTAAAGGAAAAATTTCCAAAGCCATTTAAAATATCTCCTCTCCTAGTTTCAGTAACAGATTGGTCAAAACCATTAAACCGTTAAAGTAGGCAAATATTTTAAATTAAGTTTCGAGCTCTTTTGGCCAGTTGTAACTCAGTGAATGGACATAGTTACTTGAAGTTTTTTTTATACTGGTTTATTTGGCCCTGCAACTCAGGAAATTTGGTCGGCTTACAAATATTAGTAAATAGAATTCAACATCATCAATGGAGGCCCTCGTAACCAAATGGTCTGGACTAGACCATCATCCTCTAGGTTTGTTAACATGTTCATACAGTGGAGCAACTTCTGAATAAATAGTCATAAAATAACGTTTTCTAACGGCTCCTGCAATTATCTCATACGAGATACCCGATCCTATCTGGCCTGGTTACCAGCGTGAATATAAGACATCTGGAAACATATTAAAAAACCATATGCAATCCGCTTAGGAAGAACACTATTTCCCCAATTTATAGGCACTACGCCTCCATTACTTCAGTTAACAAATATACAAAACACAATTTTACATCAAACAACACTAACTTCAACCGATTTAATGGAATCGGACAGTAGCAACGTCCGCCATGTCCAGACCTGCATATAGGCCTATTTTAAGGTTATATGAATAATAGTTTTTATCCGACGCTTTAACGGGACGGTTGACTATTTTTCCCTTCAGAAATGGTGCGTCACAAGTAATAATCACCTAGTTCCCGGTATAACTTGCATAAAACTATGGTAACCTAAACAAAAAATATTTCTCTAATTCTCTTTCTAGAAGGAGGATGTTAGACCGCACATCAGAAACAAGTTCAAATTATTCAGCTATCTTCCGCCAGATTAAGTACAGAATTGCCTAGACAATCTGAGATATTATAGTAAGAGAATACTCTGTTCTTTTTCATTATTAAGAATGTTAAGTTGTTTTAATACTACGTTAAAGTACTGACTAACTGCCACATTATTTTAATGGTTTCGTTTGTAAAAAAACGTTTACGTGCCTTTTTAACAATCGTGTTTGTAGATTGGCCAATTAAATCGTGCAATATTTGTAACCACTTGTGATTGAAAGAGTTTTGAATAAACCACTCTTTGGTTTAGTTAAACATTGAAATTAAATCTGCTGTTCCCGCTCATCTATGTAAATAACGGGATTTGTATGATATCGATTTGTTGGTCAGTATTTTAAAAGTTTTTGTAGAATAAGTGAACGCGTTTTTATGTAAAACAGTACAATGTCACGTTTATCAAACACCAACTGTTTACAGCTAAACGGTGATTTTATTCCCTTTTTTTCAGTTTAGTTGTTTACATCACAGCCGAACCGAATGTTTATTGACGTTTTCCCATTTTAGGAGCTTATTTAAAAATTAAAATTTGGTTAGCCGTAATATTAAACCTTGCGATCTATATGGGTCTGGCTCTCTCGTTATTTTCTCACCATATGACTTAAAAGTGTTTAACTTAAAATGAGTTATTGTTGACTAGTAATAATGCTTTGATTTTTTTAAAAATGCTAAAGAAGGCTAACTTTTTCACTAAAAAAAATCAGTCCAGGTTGCCTGAAAATAATAGCCATAAATAAATGATACTTTCCTAGGGATTTGTTTTAATAGAATAGTATTATTTACATAATTGATCTGTGCAGCTGTCGAAGTGTTGTTTAGTAATGAATGAGACTGGTTAGCAGATAAAGTTACCTAAAGTTTACCTTATATTAGGTTATTAGGTTTATCCCCGTCGTCCTAAAACATCATAAATTTTAAGTTCATAACTATAGGTTTCGGTTTTAATAGCAACAGGACTATAGGTTGATAACCGAAGTAAAACATCCGATTTTTATTTTATCCCGATCTCCACTATTGATCTCATTAAATTAAAATTAAAACATAATATAATATAAACATTTAAATTTTTAAAAATTTAAATTTTGAACTAGAACCACGATTTTAGCGTATGATTATTTTTAGCGAGCAAATCTTTTATTTAATAAAAATAATTTTAGGCAGCTATAAGTAAAGTATCTGAATAGGAAAAGCGTATAGTCTCACACTAGTATTTTAATACACAAAGAGCAAGGTATAGATATTTTTTGTGGCCCTAAATACCCAACATATTTTGCTATTTAATCCTGTTCAATTGAATTGCATATCCAATCTCCGAATGAGGAGGGCTGTAAAAAAGAAGTAAAACGCAAGTTGACATAATGATTCTATCAATGTATCAAATAATATTATTTCAACATAATTATTAGGTAATACAGGATAGATTTTTTTTTTGGTAACTGCTATTTTCCCCAGAACAAACCCAGTTCTGTATTTTCTCTTTGTCACCGCTTTTAAAAATATTAGCAATAAAGATCCATTAAGTTTAGTAAAAAAATAATGAAGTTGAAAACTTGAACTACTTTTAATATAAGCGTAGGGCAATGGAAAACATTTATTATATATTTCCTTCTTATAGCCCTCCGTTTTTCGGACGAAGTGTAACGGTAAAACGTGACATTTACTGCTATTAAAAGTAATGTAAATATATAGGGGATCAAGTAAAAACTAGAGATTTAGTAAAACTAGAGGTTTCTTGCCATTTCAAAATTATAAACAAAAAGTACATAGAATACATAGATGCTGATGCACAAACAAGCATTTTGGTATACATTCATAGGAAAAAGGCGTATTATATACAAGTATTATATTTCTATGTTGTTTGTTTTATATTTTATTATTGCAATTGCAGACCTAATGAAATAAATGATTACTCTCCAGCACATATTACCAGATATTTGTATCAATACGTTATTCAAATCCTAATATCACACTTAACATTTTTCACTTTTCATTATTATAGTCACAATATCTTCACTCTTTTTTTTTGCAACATTATGTAAAACAAATTTCAGTACTTACAGCACTATATTTTGATGAGCAAATTTCAAGTAAACCAACTTGGTGTTACTGTTAGATCCAGAATGAGTAAGATTACCCTAGTTTGAGTTTTAGGACAATTAGATGATTATAGCCACGGAATCATTCACACTAAAATGTACATAACATGTGGGTGTAACAAATCACGGCGTAACTATATGTAAAATCTTCCAGACCTATGAGTTGTGTTGATTTCTTGCTTTCACATTTCTAAGCAACCTAGTAGAAAAAAGGTTTGCATAATAAAACCAAACTCTCGAGCCTTCAGTATGATAAAAAAATTAATCCATTGGGCAAATGTTTTATAGCTCCTTCAAAGATAGGGCTGATCTACTGCGCTTTTTCCTTATTCAAAATGTTTTATGATATCATATATCATTTGCAACTATTTATTATGATTAGTTGTTGGCGTTTCAAATCATTGTACTTAACATAAAAAGTTTTGGTCTATAAATATAGAAGTTAGATTTTCTATCGCGTGATTTTCAAACAGAGAAATTGTTTTTGCAAACACTTTTTTTGTGGTTGCTGTAGGCGTGGTTGCTTCACACTATTTGTGATTTCAATATGGCAAGCAAATATTGAAAATGCCATTGTAATATCTCGTTTTGTATATAAATTTTTGGTAATTAAAATACTTGTGCAAATTTCATGAGAATAATAATTGGAAAATTAACTTTTTGTTTCATGTTACCAACATCTATTTTTCTTTATAATCTCACTATTTAAAATATTACAACCCCATTAGCAGCTCATATTAATATTATAATTTTGTTAAATGTAATTTTTTATATTTGGTGTTATTTTTTTATTCTTTGGCGCAAAGGATTATGAAATTGATTTTATGCTTTAATAAATGTTGTTTATTTAGGTTGACTTCTAAGTATTTGTTGCAATTATGATTATTACAATAATTTTTGTTTTTCACTGTTATTTTGTAGTTTATTCACAATAAATATTATATTTATATTTGGATATTATATACTTTGATTACTCCCATACAGGGTGGCGCATTAATGTGGAAATCCATTATGGAAGTGCAAAAATATATTGGTATGCTTTTATGAAACATTCTGTAGATTTAAATTATTTTTTAATAGGTATTGCTTTTGAGTCAAAGTGCTTATATCTTGATACAAATTTGGGTGAATTAGTGCAATCATTGGGTTAATTTTAGCATCATCTTTTTATTTAATTATTTGGTATGTGGGAAAAGAGACTACTTTTTTTCACGAATCTTATTTCTTTCATATATATTTATTGTTTTTTTTTTATTCTAATATTTTCTAGACACAGTTTTAAAAATATCTCGAGAAATTAAAAATATATTTGCAAGCCATTGGTGTATTTGATGAGTTGCTTGTTCCTATAAATTATAAAATAAGATACATGCTTTTATCAGTACACAGAAATTTCAACTTGTAAAATTATGTTACTTCATAAAGTGCAGTCTGCACTAACAATAATTTGTTCTATGTCAAAAACAAACTTTCAATTGTAATTTAGCGCCCATATGGATGCAATTGAGTAGCACTTTTAATATTGGTTTTTATGCCGGAAGGTGCTTTGTTCATTGTCATTGATTGCGTGCTGGATGGTATTGCGCCTTGTGGTGGAGGAGCACCTGGTCGTCCTTGTGGGGCTACCATCATTCCACCGGATGTCGGATTTGGTTGACCGTTAGGATTTGGTCCCATCTAAAAAACCAACCAATAAACTAGCAGTAGCATACTTAACATATAAGCGAACCTTTAAACCTTTACCCATGCCTACTGCAGCGACTAACAGGTGAGTATCAGAAACACTGGAGTTTTGATGGGTACTTCCACGTGAAGAAGATTCTACTTCCCATTCTTCTCTAGCTTTGTTAACTATATCCCAAACATGTGTAACAACTTTCTGATATGCTGCTATTTGTTTCTAAAATATCTTTCTATTATTCGTAGTTGGAGTGTTAAATGGATTGAATTTTCAATTTGGTACAAGAAAAAATATTGAAAAGAAAATCTCATAGTCTGACAAACATGATGGAAACGGGATTGACTAAACTTAACATAAAACAAAGGCAAAGGGTTAACTGACTGCAACCTCCATCATTCTGAAAAGGTTACCTGAGCATTGTCATATTGGAGATTTTGAGCCTTATGCTCTAGTTGTAGCATTTTCTGTTCTGCCATTGGTTCCAATTTTGTTCTTAAATAATCTGGTACAACATCATGAGAGAAAGTAGGCACCCTGGCTTCTGTAAGTTGAGCTAATTGTTCGTCCCGCTCTGGCGATAGCATTAGCGGCAGAACAGTAAGATTTCGAAGGTTGGGACATTTATCATGACTCAACACTTTTGATAATGATATTAGCTAACAAGAAATTATTTTCAATAATCAAATCCGAATTTATGAATTTGTTAATTACCTGTCCAGATATTAACGCATAATTATCTAGAAATTTTGGCCAGTTCATGGTTTCATATTCATTTTCAACTTTGTATATCAGAGCAGCTAGGGAAGCTTTTAAATCGTTTACACGTAGTATTATAGATTCTAACGCAGAGTCTAATTGTTTCTCCTCTCTTTGTTGCATTTTTCCCAATTCATAAAATAAATTACAATAAATTCATTATACATAACCTAAATCCATTCATTTGATGCAATGGCACCCTAACCCTTGTATAAGTGAAGTTAATTATGCGTTTCACAAACACTGTTGGGCGCGTCTGCTAGGATCATTTGCCCATTGCCGACTTCCGTCGAGGATTTTCGCTTTCGGTCAAAGACCAACACGTACGAAGTTGAAATATAACAAAAATTTGCTCAGCTAGCAAAAAACGATTCTGACCCATACCAAAAAAATGGGCTTCCCCCGCTTCCATACCGGCGTGAACAGGGAAAAAAGACGGGGCCGACGACGAATATCACTTTAAGACGTACACTGAACACTCAAAACACTAAATCCACACCGTGGAAACCGATATCAAACTTTTTGGGACGAATACATGGGATTCTGTCGGGAGCGAACAGAGGTTAAACCGCCGCGTGCAATGCTTCACCACAGAATCAACCCTTGTATAAGCAATCTAATTTTGCATTATCTTCTTTTTCTTTTTGGGGCTATATCAAATATTTCAAAATATTTACAAATTAATTGACAAGTCTTGCGCAGATGGCGTATTTTAACTTAACAAATTTCCTTACCCACAGTCCAGTCGACTAACCAAACCCAAATAAAACTTATTATGTAATAAAAGAATATACATCTAAGTTCATCTTCTTTACTTTCGTAGCCCCAACTCCCAACATTAACAATTACTAATAATTCTCAACGAATAACGGGAACGGGCGAGTGTCCTTGGTGAAAATACCTAATTTTGTAAGTATTCAATGGTTTATTCAGCGGACGTAGCAAAGGGCTCTCGACATTTCAAATTACAAAGCCGTAGCGGAAACGTGCGGTGATATCCCAGTGACTCCGCAGATGGAAACCACTCCAATCAGAGCAAAACCTGTATCCACCCCGTATGTTAGTTTCAACAATTTTTTTTTATTGGTATAATTAGAAAAAATGAAAGGCTTATAACATATTTTCATTTTAGAACTACCAAGACTAGGGAGTCAAAGAGTGGAATGTTTTATCTAGGAAGGTTGACAAACATCGAGTAAGCTCAAGTATAAGAAATTAACCTCTTACGGAATGCCATTGAAACAAGCAAGAAAATCCAGTAGGAAATAAATATAATTTTGCACTTATTTTGTGAATTACAAAGAAAAAGACCAATAATTCAAAAGCATATTTTATTTGATATAAAACCAGATTTGCTATTTGGTGTCTCTCTTCATTTCCACCCTCATCCGCAATATCTACTTCCAGATGTGGTAGCTCCTATTTTAAACATATCAAATATTTCGCTACTCCAAAACATGCTAGATGTGGTAAATTCTAAAATAGACCTCTTATAATAAGTTTGCAAAATATTCTAAGATTAAGTTCCCTTCATAACTCCTTACAGTCTTATCCTCAAATATTCAAATTGGTTTTGCTAATTCTAAACCCATTTAACCAAATTATCCTCCGTCATCTCGTTCTACCAATTATTGATGTAGTAGGTACAAGAATACAAAGACGTTTCCACTTTAACACTTGTTACTTTCGAAAATCCATGAAATCGAATTATTCGAAAGTATCTACGCTCGTATAAAACTGTTATATCTCGGTAACGGTAGGTCCTATGAAAATCGAAATTGGTACAGGAAAGAATACCGTCGAAAAAAATTTTTTTTTTGTCTGTTCTGTGACTATGATTCAGATGTCACTTTCATTGACATTGCGATATAGCCCGCATAGACAGCTAAAACTTTTGTATTTAAGGTTTTCACCTACACAGGGTGTTCAAAATCTGCCGTGTTACATTAGGAAATGTAACAAGTGTCTTAAATTTGCTGCTATCGACTTCAAATTTGGCAGGGAGGTAGAAAATTTAGATTTTTTTTGCGTTATTTTGGTTTCCAGAAAAAAAACAATTTTCTCCAAAACTATTACCCCGATCGGCAACATTCTTTAACCAAAAGACGAGGAAGATCCAGTTCTATAACATTTATTTTAAGCATTTTTTTCGATTATATACAGGGTTTTTCAATTATGGACAAACATCTAAAAGATCTTAAAAATTGCCCCTTTCCGGAGTAAATTAATAGACGTAAAACAAAATTCGTAAAAAATATAGCTAATTGGTTTATACAATATTATAGTGCACATCGATAGTTACAATTTTTTTGTTTACGGTTTTCGTCTATCACATACGCTGTTCCAGATATTTGAAAAAATCAATATGAAAATGACCATTCCTCGGGCTCACTCTAAATGCCATAACGTCATTAACTATTACGGCGTACTGCATAGTTTCAGAAAAAGATTATTTTGTGGAAAAGCATTTACTCTATTGGAAAAATTCTTGGACCAGGAAACGTGGGAGATCCAGGGCTATAAACTTCATTTCGAACATTGTTTAAATTATATACAGGGTGTGTCGTTTATAGGCAAAGAATCTAAAAGATAATAAAATTTTCCGTTTTTTGGGTAAATTATTGGTGATAACTAAAAAACTGTAAGAAATGGTATAATTTCATTTGAACAGTATCGAATACTGTGTCGAGAGAGAGATTCAGTTTTCGTCTATAATACAGGGTGAGCGAGAAAGTTTGCCATAAGTTTGAAGTTTGACGAGATGTGAAAAGCATTTTATACATCGTGCATGCACAATTCAATTATATAGATAAACAACGCGGCCCTTAAGGACAAAAACCCCTAATTTTCTTCTTTTTATAATAAAAAGCTGCTTCGCGCTAGGCACTACGAACTTACCCCGCCCAGCGACAATTTTTTGAAAGCAATCTTGTTAAACCAGCAGCACTACACACAAACAGTAAATAAGATATATCTTCGAAAAAATCTAAATTTCAAAATCAACAACACCCAAACAAAAATAAGACACCATAACCTCTACATATGTCAAAAACGGGGGCGCTTTGCTACGTCCGCTGAATGCGACCAATGTTTAGTTTTTTGTGTGTTATGAACCAGGCATGCTTGAATTGACAGTAACATGAAGTTCTTTTTGTGCAAGTATAATTTATACCACTTTCCTTAAAAAAAAAACAAAGAAAAATGTGAGGTAATGATAAAAATTAAAAGAATCATCTTTTAAAAAAATCTTTTGTGATATGTAAACGTTTTATTTTTTAGACGTGGAAATAATTTTTGTATCATATAAGAAATGCGGTTAAAACGCACAATTCTAATACTTGGAATAATATTATTGGCGTGGTGGTCTATAATTTATGTTTTCCTTATTAATAACTTGACATACAACAGAAATAAAGATTCAACTGGTAGTATAGATGGTCAACTAATGACTTTAGAAAATGGCTTGGAAGAACAATTTGTCATGAATAAAGCTCTTATAAGTGAAGCTCAACAATTTTTAGAAAATAAGAAATATATGGAGAACTCCAAAAATAATTTTCTTGGCTTGCAAAATATTCAAATACCCGTGCTTGTATTTGCATGTAATCGAATAACAGTTACTCGGTGCTTAGATAAGCTCTTACAATATAGAACGGATGAAAATCGGTTTCCAATCATTGTAAGCCAGGTAATAAAAATGTCCCCATTTTAAAATCTTGTTAAACTGTAAATTTTTGTCAATAATATACAATGCCAAGTTGTAGGATTGTGATCATGAAGAAACAACAGATGCTATAAAAAAGTATAGCTCCCAAATTACGCTGATTCAGCAACCAGATCAGTCTGATATACAAGTGCCACCCAAAGAGAAGAAATTTAAAGGATATTTTAAAATAGCTCGGCATTATGGCTGGGCTCTAAACCAAATGTTTTTTCATTTTAATTACTCTTCTGTTATAATAGTGGAAGGTACTTTATGTTCAGTTAAATATTTAGCTGCTTTATTAGATTAGTGAATAAGAATCTACCAACTATCAAATGCTATAATTGCAGATGACTTAGAAGTTGCTCCAGATTTTTTTGAGTATTTCTTGGCCACCTATCCTTTACTTTTAAAAGATGAAAGCTTATGGTGCATATCGGCTTGGAATGATAATGGAAAACAAGATTTGATCAATTTAGATCGACCTGATTTGTTGTACCGAACTGATTTTTTTCCTGGTTTAGGATGGATGCTTACTAGGAAGCTTTGGTTAGAACTTTATACAAAATGGCCCATATCGTAAGTATTCTCCAATGTTTGCACTTTAATGATTTTGTTATATTGTACTATATTATTTTATTATTATTAGTTATTGGGATGACTGGATGAGAGACCCCTCTCAAAGACGAGATAGGTCATGTATTCGACCAGAAATTTCTAGGACACGTACATTTGGAAAAATTGGTGTGTCAAAGTAAGATATTTAGGTTATTCAACATCACCATTTTGATGCTTATCTATTTTAGTGGAATGTTTTTTGAAAAACATCTGAAATATATTACACTTAATGAACAGAATGTGCCTTTCATCAAATTAAATCTCTCGTATTTATTAAAGGTAATGAATTAGGGGCCTACTCCAACTCTATCTATCGTTAATGTTTTCTAATTCCCATTATTTTAGGAGAATTATGATAGGGAATTTGTAAAAAATGTATATAAATGTCCTCTAGTGGATTATGAGGATCTTTATTATAACAAAATCGCTTTTCAAGGGCCAGTCCGTATGATGTATGAAAAAATGAGTGAGTACAAACTAATAACAAAGAAGTTTGGACTTATGGACGACTTTAAGGTAATAAACCTAATATGTAATTATAAATTACTTGGGTTTCTTGGGTTCAATAAAATATAAAATATATTATTACATTCAAATTAACATTTAAATGCTTAGATTAATAACAGAATAATTTATTAATTATAAATTTTAGAGTGGTGTACCCCGTACTGCTTACAAAGGCATTGTAACATTCCATTATAGAGGTAGAACTGTACATTTAACACCCTACTTAGGTTGGAAAGGATATGATGTGAGTTGGAGTTAACCCAGAACTTACTCAAAGTGCACCAGCATGGAGAATGATTTGTTGGTCTTTCCATTTTATCAGAAGAACTGTGTAAATTTATAAAAGTACTTCCACATTCTACATAAAAAATTATTTACTTTTTAAGTTTATGACTTGTGTTTTAACAGTAAGGTCTATAGTTTGCTTGCATTATAGCATTAAGGGTACTGTGACACTCTCTATTTTTTATATATTCATTTAATTTGTTTTTATGCAAGCTCTAATCCTTGAAAAAAAGATGAACATTTAAAAGGCAATGGTAAAGGTATAATTTCTTGTTTTGGTTAGGAAAGGAAATCAGCCTTTCGCCGAATATAAATTGTCAATGTAATTTATCAGAAATGATTGAAAATGATATTGTTCCAAGTTGGTAACAAAAAGGCAAACCAATTGCAGTTGACTATGAAGTCCAGCCATTTCAAAATATCAGCTATAGGACTAGTTTAATGATGTTATGATTTTGTTTCCGATTGGAACTTTCATTTAAAAGAAAAAGGAAGGACATCACAAAGCATTTATTTTCATTTATAATTGTACTATAGATATTTAAAAAATATTAGCCAAAGATCAGTATAAGACTATAATTTGGTGGAGGGGTTGTTGCACATATGGTCGAAAATTCTATGAGTTTTATCATCGGATTTTGTTTAATAATTGGGGTTAGTTATGCATAGAGTTGCTCTTTGGCCATTATTATGGAATGGCAGTAACAAACTGTAAATACTTTTTTTTAATGTTGTGGTTTTGTGTGATGGAGAACAAATAAAGTGTTTTTATTATTTATATCTGGCCACAGGGCAATATGTTTACAAATCATTGTTACCTATAGTATTTATTTTCGTTTGTGTGATATTTGATATACGTTGTTAATATATTTTTAAATATTTTTGTTTAGTTTTTTTTTTGTTGTGCGAAAATTCTCGATATTTTAAAAAAAATAATAATTTAAAATAATAAATTGTACCCAAGGTCCCCAGTACCCTGATTTACTGCTAAATTGTTTTTTAAGAAATGAACTTATTCCAATATTAAATAAGATAAGACATTATAAAATGCACATAATATTCTTTTTAAAACATGAAAATTTGTTTGCCTATAATTCTAGATTTGTTTATTTGATGATTTTGTCCTCATGTTATAAAGTCTCTACTACCGACTTCAGCGCTAAATTTCATTAATATAAAATACCTTCAGCCTGTTTAATGAGGTAAGCTGGCGGTAATCACTGAACGCAATTCCCTGTTCCCTCCTGGATTTTGTGGATCTATTCCGACATGTGCAAGTGTTTATGGCTCTTAATTTTTCAAAAAAACTTCCACAGGCTGTAATATTTTTACAAAACTTCTGTCGAGTCGAAATTGCAGTTTCAGTCAAGCTCTCAAGAAGCCAACAGGATGATAGGCGAAACGTCAGCAAAAACCGACACTGGAGGAATCCAGAAGTTTTGTAAAATGTTTATGGATCTTAGGAAACTGTAGGATTACCAAGGAAAGCCTAGAAACCTACACCTAATATTAAATACACAAAACTTAACAGGCAGATATCTGTTATAAGAGTATTCAAACAAAACAATAAGCAAATTGTATAGGATTAATAGGTCACACACTCCTGGAGTAGTGGTATGAAGTGGAGTAGGTTAGTTTGTTTGGAATTTTGATAAAATATGTTTTATTCAATAAATAATAAGGCTCTTTAAAACATATCCTTTTAAACAATTGATACAATAACTCTTCTTGGGTCATGAAATGTACAGCACATAAGGATCCTGGTGCGCCACTGGAATTTGAAATGTGAAAAGTGTTGATGGCCACCTTGAGGATGTTAAAAAAGTACATTTTATTTTTTGCTTCATAAGGTCTGAACTATCACTTTTCACAATACTGCTTATTTGCTGCTATTGCTATTCAGCTAGCAGATTTTTGTTTTTAACTTAACACAGGCTTCATTAGAGACAATGTAGATTAATCCAACTTCATTTTCGTTTCTTCATATTTCTTTTGCTGTTGATCATCTTCAGCATCAGATTCAACACTGGTTACCTGAATAGGGGCAAATACTTGTTGGATGATAACAAGGGCAAATATTAATGTTAATACATAATTTAGTCTAAATACTGAAATTGTTCCATAAGCATGGCAAAACACAATCAGCCCAATGATAACTATATGCAGTTCAAATGCATATTTCCTAAAAATGTAATTCACTACAAGAGTGCTTTAGCACTGTTGGACATTTTTACCTGTTAGTTCTAGGAAGTTCCAGATGCCACAAAGGCAAAGCGCATATGCTCAACACCAATCCTGGCAAAAATGACACATCAGGTATTAGTATTTTACTATACCTGCAATAAAAGTATATAATTATGGCATTTGATTCAGGAGAATCAAATGTCATTAGAAATTATATGTAGCGGGGACTGGACAAGTCAATAAATAAAAACATGGTATAACTGAATCGGGAACCAGTTGCCTTCGCACTCTTTTGGCAACAATGTTTGACATTGACGAGATAAAGTGATGCTAAACAGCAAGTCCCAGCAAAACGGAAAGCACCATTCATAAATTAATGTGACAAAAATGTGATTTATATGTTGACTTTAAATATTAACTGCTTGTCGGGTCTCCTTTAAATATCACATTCATTGTATAGAAACACAATTGTACAGCTCTTACATGAAATTATGAGCCCATGTCAATACTGAAGGTATATTCAAAATTGTAACCAGTGCCCAGATAAAAAATAATGCAGTATGGAAGAATATTGGACTATAAGATTGTTCATTTGTTACATCTTTGTTCATATTCTGGTTATTAAGATTATTTCTTCCTTCCGTTTCACCTTTTTTGGAGTCTGCCACAGAATTTTTTGATTCCATTAAGAAATGTTTACCATTATTCTGTGTTTGTTCATTTTTGCTTTTAGAAAGAGCATTGTTCTCTTTATGACTTAATGCATATTTGCATCTTTTCACTATTCGCTTAACTACAATCCATATTACATCTTCAACATAATCCTGTGACATTTCCGTCAGCTGAAAACATTCAATTATGGACCGAAAAGTACGCTAAAATAACAAAGTTACTTTAAGAAAATAAAAAACCATTCCAACACATAAACCCAAGCCCCCGCAAGTCGACATACATAGAAAAATAAGGAACCCAATTACTACAAAAGGTACCCTCTGCAAAAATTTTACCAAATAATCTGAAAATTTTATTGTGAATGTAACGGTCCTGGCGAAAACTCTGCAACACAAAAACTTATTTTATAGCATATAAAAAAAATCTTGATATACTTGCCTTGTCACCAATTTGTGTATAGTGGACTCCAAAGCAAATAGTGATAAGTAATATCCACTGACCAAGATTGCAACAATAATGCTGCTTACCATGTACATTAGGATTGGCATTAAAAGAAAATCTGTCAGATCATCACCTCCATTAGGAAAAAGTAAAGTGTCTGGAACTGGCACGTAAGAAAGAACAAATGGAAAACTAAAAATATGTCCACTGCTGAATTGAAAGCAATATTTCAAGAAAAACATTAGGTTCATGGTTTTACCAATTAATCTGACAAATTAATTCCTTCTCTCATTCTTTGTTTAACACAATGATGAAATAAATTGTTAATTTCTGTCACGTTTTAATTTTGTATCTTTCGTTAAAAAGGCAGTCTGGTAGTTTTATTGAAATAATCTACTATAAGGAAAGAAAGTTGCTGATAAAATCGAGTAATTTTAAATTTAAAACATCAAAGAGGTTGCTATTAGTTCCCGAAAAAACAGTAAAATTTTAGATGGATTAGATAGATTAGAATTTTAGCAAAACACGACATCAGAAACAAGATTAAAATATATATAAATTTTGTGAACTTTTATTTAAAACTATTATTAAAATTAAAACTTACTAATTTAAACTATTTATAATTACCTTAACAATTTGTTTATGGCCATAGACAGTAGTATAATGCTTCCATGCTTAACACTCCCTATAAGTGGTGGAAAAAATATAGTGCCCTTTTTACAACTACTTATTTGAAGCAACAGTTCTTGAAAGCCCAACAAAACTACAATGGCAATGTTTGATAGTAGCAGAGGAGAATAAAGTCTAGCCATTTGACCAAACATGCCAATCACGTGGACTTTGGCGCTAAAAATGAATACCATAAGGTAACTTGTTACTGTGATATTGACGACCGCTACCTGATTTTATAAGTACATGTTGGCTCTAAAATTAATTTAAGGTGAGCTGGCTGAGAATTTTTTGGTTTGACTCCTTGTAGTCGCAAATGAAATGGATTGTTCACTTTTTTCCTTAAAAAATGCAAAGGTTAGACTAAACTAATTAATATAATATTTTATCTTACATAAAGTGTTGATGCACATTTTGATTACTCCAAGGAACAATTAATATAATAGTAGCATGGTGTTCTACTGTTGAACAATTATTTGGTTCCACAAAGATCTGATACGATTGTAGCATATTTTTTAAATTTGTAAGATGGATATTATAAATAACTGCACGCGGAGGTGTTTCAAGCACAATTATGTGTTTTTTAAATGGTAACAGTGGTAATGATACGATGCACTTTCGTTCGAAAGATCCATAGTTATCTACATGGAAGGAAAGCTGAAATAAATGAGATTCTGAAAACCTTTGACTTAATTAAAACTCAATTAGAAATATCGGCCTGTGATTTCAGTTTATTAAATAAATATAAATAACTTACTGGCTCTGAAGTAGGCATAGCAGCAAACACAACATGTGTGAGTTCAAAATTACTTTTACGCAGTTTGTGCATGTTGAGTGTGATTAACCGACGTTTATATTTAGCAGAAGGTATAATTTCGGAAAAATGAGACAGATGCAGCCCATTTAAACTAAAAGTAACTTGAGGTTCCACCTGTTCCAAATAAATAAAAATAAATGCAATTACCATACGCGGCTTGCGCCTTTTGTATAAGCGGCATTACAAGCATATATCCAATTTTGAGTCTCCATGTTTACAGCTAACACTGTCAACATTTCATAGTTAGGCTGACTGGTCAGCCCTATCATATGCCAGTGAGGTTGCCTTACACCTTTCTTCCATTGTACTGAAAACTGTTTATTCAGATTCTCTATCCATTCCCCATTAGATTCAAGGTTTGTTTGCTTTGTAAGTTCTGACCTGAGATGAACTTTTGTACCGCTATTCTAAAATCAAAACCTATAACAAATTAATACTAATTTTCAAATGCAGCTGACATACACTAATTAAATGATGTTTAAAAATGTTTTCTATGCTTGTTTTGTTACTGATAATTTTTTTAGTTTTAAAATCCACAATATCAAAAAGTGCTCTGTTTAAAGCCAAGACTGTTTGTTTACACCAAACGATTTGGACATGACCAGCCTCTATCCATGAGCGGGGAATATTAGTAGTCTAAAAAATGTAGTTCAATATCTTCTTAAAAATCATTTAAGCAATGTTATGATATTTACCACTAAATGTATTGAATGATTGTCATTCAATTCTGTCAAATAACTTGGAATTAAAAAATCGCTGAACCCACCAGCAATGCTAAAAATATTTGTATTATCGTGACTATTTTGATACATCCAATAAAAGTCTTCCAAATATTTATCAAAAATAATTAAAGGTCTTTGAAAAGGTGCTGCTAATGTTATGACCATAGGAACCACATTTGAACCAATGGGCAAAAGTGAGAGAACTTTTTCTGCTATTACACCGCCCTAAAAATTAATTCAAATAATATTTAATGTGTGGTAAACATAGGAAAACAGATGCATACTTACTATGGAGTGGCCAATCAGAATGACCTGTTTAGCCCCATTTGCATTTTTGCCATACAACTCTAACACTCTATATATAGAATGATTTACATATTCTAATTGGCAATTTAACAGAGGACCATAGACAGCACTGTACTCTGAATTAAAATTCACAGTAAAATAGTCAAAATGATAATTTGTTCTAGAGTTTAATGCTTTTCTTAAAGCTACTGATGCAAGTGACCTCACTAAAAGACTGGTACATAGTACGTAACGCATTTTAAAATAAGGTTGTACCTTGCTGGTAAGAGCCCGAGTTACCAGGAACAAATAATATGGGAATCCCATTGAAATCCATATTCCTAGCTTTTGCAGTAGTTCTACCTTCGCCATAAACAAAAAGGCCATAATTGGGATATTTTCGATCAATACTTTGTGAAATTCTCTAGAACATATTTGAAACTTAATATTTTTAGGTGCTGATTCAAGTATATCACGTAATTACAATGTACTGAGGATATTCGAACATATAAGTCATTTGACAGTTATCGTGCGGCTCATGGTCGGATAAGAAAAACAGCACGCCGAAAAAATAAAGTAAGGCCACAATTGTAGAAAGCGAAATAAAAATTCCGGCGAATTTCATTTCTTGCTGCTTTTATTACACTTACATTTTTATTATGCAATAACCTCAAAGTACTACCAAACGAAAGCGAATTTCTTCTTATTTAAATATAACAACAATTACATTTACATAGAACACTCGCGCATTACCGACATATGTCGAGGAACTTTTCCATTTCGGTCTCGGTTTACTCTAAAAATTATAATGCGTTGCGTGAGTCAGCGGACCGTAAAAATAATTTACACAAAAAGATTTGGTGTTGATATTATAGCTCTATTATAAAAAAATGGTTTAAATAAATAGTCCATGTACCTATCCTTACCTATCCTCCAGTTGAAAAAGCATGAAAAGGAAGAAATTCGCTGAAATGAACATAGCTATTCGCATTAACCACAACCTCATTTTTGAAGGAAAGATATACTTAAATTATGAATTAGTGCACGTTTGCAAATGTTTTGCGATTAGCAAAAGTTATTTAAAAGAATTGATATTTTAGCTTCCAGATAATTCCCATTAAGTATACGATGCCTTTAGCCACAGAATTAAATGGAAATAAAAATAATCCAGCAATGTTGAAACTCCATATTGCACGTAATTATAGCAAAATTGACTCCGTTATTAGTTTTAACAAAAAGGAACGTGAGTATTAGGTCCCCGGTGGTAAAGTTATTCTAACTTTAAATGTTTTATTCATATATTTTAGATCCCACTTTGGAAGAGAGTAAATGGGTGCCTCATATTAAACTGGACAATGATAGGATAATATTTACTCCTAACGCCGCACTTTGGTATTTATTTCAGCCTTCAACCGAATATTCAGATAAAGTGAATGAGTATCTTGAACTAGATTCAACATTATTGTCACCAAGTTTGGCCCATGTCTTAGGCAGTAATTTGGAATCTGACAAATATAAGAGTTTGTTAACTAATGTTCTTAAAAAACTGAATGCTGATCTCCTAAATAAGTCTGTTCTTGTTGGAGTAAGTAAAGTGCATAGATTTGGATGTTTGGGTTTAATCACCTTTTTTAGGATGATGTAACAGCAGCAGATATATCATTATGGAGCACTCTGTTTCCTTTATATAGGTCAGAGAAGCTAAATAAAGATTACCTCTCAGATAATCCTAACCTAGTGAGTTGGATTCAAAAATTAGAGCTCATTGCTGAATTTAAGGTGAGAAATTAAATTTTGGTCATACCTAGTTGAATTTTGAAAACTTTATTTCCTGGTAGAATGCTGTGTCTGCAATTTTTCCACCCGGTTTCAATATTGGGGAATCCTCCTATCAAATATTGCTCCAAAGCAGTAAATTCTTTTTTTCAAATTTTGTAAAACATAAAAAAGAGTTTTCTTATGAGACAGATGTTCAGAAAAATGAAATTGATTCTATCTCAGTCGAAGAACTTGAAGCTGCCGCGAAGGCTTGGCAAAAAACAGGAGATCAATTACCCAAACTAAAAACACCAGAAACAATAATGTAAGCAAAAATAGCTAAATTTAGTGTAAGGAAAACCTTTATTCTAGCCTATTCTTTTTTATAGCGTTCCTAAGACAAATGAAAAAAACATTTTTATCACCTCGGCACTGCCATATGTAAACAATGTCCCTCATCTAGGTAATATTATTGGATGTGTACTCTCCGCTGATGTGTTTGCAAGATTCTGTCGATTGTGCAACTACAACACAATTTTTGTCAGTGGCACTGATGAATATGGCACTGCCACTGAAACAAAGGCCTTAGAGGAAGGATTGTCATGTCAAGCAATTTGTGATAAGTATTACAAAATTCATGAGGAAATCTATAAATGGTTTAACATCAGTTTTGATACTTTTGGAAGGACATCAGCACCAGAACAGAAAGAGTAAATATATTTAAGAGATACCTATATCCAGCCTGTCTTTTGTTCACAAAAAATTTTAGTTTAATGTACAAAATGTAGTGCTTTAAATACAATATCTTCATTGAAACATAATAATAGTTGAGAGTAACAGCAAATTTTTGAAGTCAATGGAAATTGGAAATGTTATGTAAATAGTCTAATAAAAATGTAATGATTTAGCTGATACCTGATTGTGTTGTTTAGGTTAGTTCAGGAGCTATTCTTAGAATTAAACCACAATGGTTTTATGTTTACTCAGTCAGTGGAGCAGCTACATTGCGAGAAATGTAATCGTTACTTAGCTGACAGATTTGTAGAAGGTGGATGTCCAAATATTGGTTGTACTTATCTGGATGCCCGTGGTGATCAATGTGATGGCTGTGGAAAATTGGTCAATGCTGTGGAATTGAAAAATCCTCGTTGTAAAGTTTGTGGAAATACTCCAAAATTGACAACATCCAACCAATTTTTTATTGACTTACCTAAAGTAAATGAACACATTGTTACTTAATGAATTTATGTTCTTTGCTTATGTATTGAATTTTTAGTTGGAACCACTGTTGCATCACTGGTTAAAATTTTCCAGTCCTGGATGGTCTTACAATGCAGATGTTATAACTCGATCTTGGTTAAAAGAAGGTCTTAAGCCTAGGTGTATTACTAGGGATTTAAAGTGGGGTGTACCTGTTCCAATAGATGGATATAGGGATAAGGTAAAGATTCACAAACAAATCTACTACTTTGTAATAATTTCTTAATTTGTAGGTTTTTTATGTGTGGTTTGACGCTCCGATCGGATACATGTCGATAACAAAATCATATACCAAAGATTTTGAAAAATGGTGGAAACCTTCAAAAAATACTGAGATTACATTGTATCAGTTTATGGCGAAAGATAATGTTCCCTTTCACTCAGTATTGTTTCCCGCAATGTTATTGGGTGTTAATAAAGGATATTTAACGGTGTCCCATATTTGGGCAACAGGTATGTGTATTCGTAAAAGTCATATTTCTATACATTGCATTTTTGTTTTTTGTCCGTTAGAGTACTTAAATTACGAAGATGGCAAATTTTCAAAGTCTCGTGGGGTTGGTGTATTTGGAAATGATGCAAGGAATACTGGAATACCCAGTGATGTATGGAGATTTTATTTACTTTCTATTAGACCAGAGACGCAAGATTCAAGCTTTAGTTGGATAGATTTAGTAACAAAAAACAACTCTGAATTATTAAACAATTTAGGAAACTTTGTCAATAGGTATTTAATTCCAGTTTTTTAGTCTTATCATACTAATGATACTCTACTTGTTTAAGGGCTCTTGTTTTTGCTAAAAATAGTTTTGGCAAACAAATTCCGAACATGGAGCTGACTCAGGAAGATTTTTCTTTATTGGCTCTTTGTACTAGGGAATTTAAAAGCTACACGTCGTCTTTGGAAAAGGGAAAATTAAGAGATGGTCTTAAGTACATTCTTCAGATCTCAAAACATGGAAATCAGTATATACAAGTGAACCAGCCATGGGTTTTAGTTAAAGGGAGCAAGACAGATAAGTAAGTAACATAAAACAAAATTCTGCATATCTGAATTTTTTCACACATCTTCTGGATATTCTCTGCTCCAGGCTTTTCCTGTTCCTGAAAAGAAGATATTTGGCCAAATTTTTTTAGTAGTTTTTAAAAAATTTGAGACATTGAAATCTGTTAATTTATGTTGGTTGATGATATAGGTCAAGGGCTGGAACAGTGGTTGGTGTATGCTGCAATTTGGCTTGTCTTATTGCCACTTTGATAGAGCCATATATGCCAGATACTAGTGCAAACCTGAAGAGACAGTTGAATTGTAAAAGTTTTGTTATTGATCCCAGGTGAGAAAAAAAATATTAGATGTTTCGTGAGGTAAAAAGTATTTTTGTGTAGTCCATTAAAGAACTATTATTTGTTTCTCAACCTGTTTTATAACTGTTATGGTTTTATTTAGTTTTAATAGTAATTGCACCAGTTAATCTCTGTATCAGTAGTAGTTTTATATGTGTAGCGCCTATTGCACAAATCAACTTTTAATTATACAGGATGTTTTAAAAAACATGCGCTAACGCTCCTCCGGAGATTCGTCATTCAAAAAAACGGAAAAAGGTTATATAGGTTTTCCAGATTTTATTTTTTTGCTTGAAGCAAGGCCAGATACTGTACTTTTAGTGCCTGATACAAAATAAATAACAAGAACTCTAAAAAAATGCGGTACTATTTGTTAACTATTATTTAAAAAAAACGTTTTTTTTTTTAAAATAGCTCTTTCTGACCTACATTTATGTGTACTTTTTCGTTTTTGTTGTATGACATATCTTGCTCTTTTGGTTTGCCCCCAACTTGCATAGGAATAACATATATTATTATAAAGTAATCCAGAAATAGTGAACCTTTTACCGGCTGGTCATCAGTTAGACAATCCTGCACCCTTGTTCACCAAAATTGAACCTTCAGTGGTTGAGGAACTGAGAAAAAAATTCGCTGGAAAACAAGAAACTAAATTGCCTTCTCAAACAGATGTTGATATTGGAAACCTCGAACAACAAATTGTTCTACAAGTAGGTATCCATTTCTTCATCAATCAATAGAATCTGAAACTGGGACATTTTTGGAACACACTAAATCATGTCTTTAATGTGTTTGTGTGCCAATGTGTGATTTTAGGGTGATAAAGTTAGATTACTTAAATCAAGTGGTGCCGACAAAAGTGTTTGGCAGCCTGAAGTTCAAACTTTGCTTGAACTTAAGAAGAAAATGGAGACTGTTAAAAAACAAACAAAGTCGAAAGTGATGAATAATACAAAAACTGAAACTGTGGACGGACGTGGGAATGATATAGAAATAGAAAATTTAGAAGAGAAAATTGCCAAGCAGGTAAATTGTAGACCTGGATGCTCATGCATTTATTTTTTCCGCTTGAAAAGTTAATTTTTATAGCATTATTGTTCTGCTGATGCTCTGCAATAATTGTTTACAGCTATGTGAGATAAAAAATTCAATATCCTTTAATAGCAAAAGATAAAAGAATAATTTGCTTGGCAAAGCATTTTTGATTGTTTTGCACCTAAGGAATGCAGGTTTTGCAATTTGCAGCATTAAAGTAATTCTAAGCATAATCAAAAATTATTTTCTAACTGTGACTAATTTTAATATTTTTTATTTCTTCTTTTTTTTTTCTTCTCTTTTATGGCATGCATTGACTTTTTTAATTTTCGTTTTGGTCGGTTTTGGTTAGTCAGTGGCAGTTATATTCCTGCCTGTTGCAGTTGATTAAGGGATAAAATAAAAGCCCATCCTTTTCAATATTGTTGTTAATATTAGTGCTTTGTTTGTAGGGTTCTGTAGTAAGGAAACTTAAAGAAAGCGGTGCTGAAAAATCAGTGTGGCTGCCTGAGGTTAATAAGTTGTTGGCGTTTAAAACTGAATTGGCTGCTGTGACAGGTGTTCCCATCCAGGCCAATCAGACTAATAAAAAAAGTAAAAAGTAAAATCAAAGTTTGATAACGCAAAACTTGTCAAATGTGTTATATTGTAACTTCTATAAAATAATTATAAATATCAATTTTAGCATTTATCGCCGTAAATGAAAAGAAAAGTTATGACAAATCTGGAAATTTACAAATGGTTGCATATTTTCCTGTTTTTTGTTCTCTCGTTGAACACTGTATTAATGAAATTGGTGCTTTTGGATGTAACATTATTTATTTCCTTTTCACTATTTATTTGATTGTCAATTTTGTATGTAAAGCCTTATGTCGATGTTTGTGTTTTATTGCAAGCCCCAAGGGTATAGTATAATTGCGGGATGGCGGTACCTGATGGAATACATGGATATACATGAATTAAATATTTGTATTAATAATAATGCATTTATTTACAAAATCAGTATAAACTGGAACACAAACTATGTGAACATACATCCTCAAACAGTAAGGCTACTTATGGCAGCAAAAATATAGCCAAATTGTCTTAAATGGCAAAAACGATTCAACTTTTTTAAAGCCTTCAGCGCCCTCCAAATACTTTGAGCAAACTCATCATTATTCTTTTTGTATATGGACATAGCTTATAAAATTTCATGCACTGATATGGGTATTTCACCAAATTACCATTTTCAAGCGACTCACGGAGTTCCTGACCGGCATATGACGTTTCGTTTACCGAATCTCTAAAATAAAAACATTAATTGAGTAATATTCCAGTTTTGAAGAGCAGTGAGTCATGGACTGCCATATGTATTATTGGTTAGTATTTGGTTATTTTTTAAATCTTAAGCATTTAACTCATAAAAAATAGAATTCATAAGTTTTCTATAAAAAATATATATATGGTGAGGTTAAAATTTTAATGTCTTAATTGCCCGTGAAAACGCTTTTGGTGACTTGTTTTCATGTGATCATTGCACAAAATGTCCTATACAAGCCCGGAACGTAGCATTTATTATATTTTCTAGTGAATACTACTTTTTTTTATTTAACTTTATTATTATTTATTTAATTACATAACTAACTGGTTTAGTCATTTTTTAGATACTACTGCCGTGCTGCTGCGAATTATCCTTGATTTTTATTTTATTTCTTATTCAAGCTATACATAATTCCCAATATGCCACGTTGCCAAGTCGTTTCCTAATCGCCAAAAAGGTTATGCAAAACAACTTTTGACACGAGCAAATTAAATTTTATTGAATGCGAATCTGTGAGAAGCAACTAAGAAAAATATATAATGTGGACTTATGTGGACAAATTTTTGCCAGTCATTAAAAATGTTTTACTCTTTTACCTGCTTAATTTTAAAATAATTCTTTCTTCCTTCGTTAAATTTGATTCTTTGGATGCAGCCAATTGACATATAAAGCTTCTCGCGCAACTTGCAGGATCACGTGATATCACCAATCCCCAGTCAATCTTCGATTTGTGGGAATCTTTGATCTCTCGGACTGACCTCCTATTGTAATATTGTATTTCCTGTTCTAAAAGGCAAGCGTTTTATTTAAAAACCAATTTTTATTAACATAAAAATTCTCGTTTGGTCCTTATTTAACAGAACTCACCGCCATAAGCAGATTGCTCTTGTTGTTGCTGTGGACCGCTGGATAGCCCCAAATTACGAAGTAATCCTCCACCACCTAATCCATTAATTAGTGTCGCACTTCCTAATCCGCTAGTACTGGTACCTAGGCCGCCAGTTTGCATGATACTGTTTAAATCCTGAGCCAACGTATGTATCATCCACAGTCCTGCCAAGCCCAGTCCTGCTAGGATTACTAGCTTTACAAAGCTATAAGCTTTTGCAACAGATAAGATGACAAAGAGGACCAGAAGATGTAGCAAAGTGCGCATCTATAAACAAGTTGTTACAGTTAAATAACATAAAATTATTATATAATTTACAACTTTCAGAAATAATCTTTTCACTTCTCTGGGTTTTGTAGTCTTTTGAAATAACGTTTTTTTTGTTATTAAATTGTCTTGTGTTCTACGACCAGAGTCGCTTGACTTTTCTAAATTCGGAGTGTTAGGTTGTCTGTGAATACATCTAGTTTTTTTCGTGCCATCGAAAAGCGTGTGACGTACCATGAACAAAATATTAAATTTTTCCGACCTCTCAGCTTTATTTCAAGTTTCTGATCAAATATAGTATATATAAAATATAATTGTTAGTTGCTACACGACACTTTTTTTCTAATGTCATTCCGAATGATCAAAAGAGAACAATCCAACAAGTTGGTTTCAAAAATCGCCATGTATATTTGAAGAAAACTGTAACAGCCATGGTTTTATTCGAAACTGGGCAAGCCATAATAAATTATTTATATTAGCCTAATGAAAATAGTTATAAATGAACAAAGGTTTAAAGGTTTTCTTGAACATTATGTATATCGGGTGTTTCAAATTCGTTTCGTACCATTGTTATTCAGGAAACGGTAGACGGATTTGGGGAAAGTTGTGTTGAAAAAATTGAAATATCTTTGTTACGTCCGGATATATAGCGAAAAAACGGCTTTTATAACGTCGAAATACATTTCCATTCAAATCTTTTGAACTTGTTTTGACGAAGTAAACTATTCCGTTCAATGTTTCATTTTTTTTAACCATCATCAACTTTAATTTTTCTTCTGGATATTGGATGTTTTGAAAGGCTCCTTTTTTATGCTTGCTGCTTAATACACGAATTAGTGAATCAGTTTATCAACATTTTGCATTATTCTACTTTTTCTACAGCCACATTTTAAAACAAGATAATTTCAAACACGAGAATGCTGACCCAGCGGAGCATTTATTCAAATAAAAACGTTATTTTTTTCATTTCCCCTGGATTTAGGAAATGGAAATGGTCATCCCTACAATTTTGTGACGTACACAATTTTCAATTTGAATAGTCGATTTCGAGGCGTAAAGATTGAAAATGCCGAGTGATTGGCGAATCATCTACTAGATATCGATCGACAAACGAATCATCTGGAATGTTTTATAACATTTTTCGATTAATGAATCACTGCGTTAAACATTGCTTTGCACATTTCCACATGCACATGTTAATCCACATCGAAATCTATATTTTTGTTCAATTCTCACCATCATTCTCTCAATAAATGCGCCATAAATGATTTTCTTAGTCGCGTTTTTTTATTCCTTCCGCAAGTAAAGATGAATTCATCATCAACATGCGTTTCGTTAACATCATTGGCTTTTCAGACAACTAATCTTATTAAATCGATATGTTATGCAGCGCAATTTCTAAGCAATTGGGAATCATGCGGTACACTTTCTTAGGCTGGGTGGAGGTAATTTGAACTGCTTTTGTTCTTATTGCAGCAAGTCTGCATTGCGCTTTCCTCGTTTACGTAACGTTCCGATTTATTAATTTATGGTAAAGAGTAACACCTCGGTGGACGCACGAAAAATTAGAAGGAAACGGGAAATGCATAGAAGAACAAGCATTTACATTAATGCATTATTTTTTTGTATTTTTGTTTTCGTTTTTTTTTCTTCTTATTACGCGACGTAGCTAGTGGCTAGCGGCAATCAAATTACGCTATACTTTCATTATAAACTAGATTTTACATTTAATAACGCTTACGAGAGGCCACTTTCGCCGAGTTATGATTTTTAAAGCTATAGGTATCGTTAGTACTTAAAATATGGGAGGTGTTTTATATAAGTATAGTAAGTAATAATACTTATTCACCGGCAAAATTTATTTATTGTTTTGATAAATTTTGATAGCACGTATTTTTTTTCTAGCGCCTGTTTAAAAAAGTGAAATAGAAATAGAACAAGAAAAATGTGAACGTAAATTTAACTTCTCTTCAATGAATCAAAAATAAACATGGTATTCCATAATAAAATTTGAAAATTTGATTTTTCTGTTGATAACTATTAAACTTATGGTTTTAAAAATATATGCATACCGTTAAATTTCACGTAAAAAGGTGCTTTGGAAAGAAATATAAAATTTTACATATCAAAAAAGTTTCAGCGAAAATCAGCGCTCCGCGCGCGTTTGTCAAACTTGTTGCACAATTGGCTATTTATAATGTTAATAGGAAGTTTTACTTATTGGCAAATGCAGCTATTAATTTAATTTAATTATTAATATTAAGTTCAATGATGCCCCCGGAAGGCACTTGAACTAATATTTTCTAAATCTGGTTTTTATTTTGGAACCACGTAGTGATCATTATAGAAATTGATTGTGGTTATTTAATAGTTTATCCGTACAATATAACAATTTTTATGTTATTATAACGTTAGTGTTTTTAAACGATTTAGTATTTTCAAATTTCATACTACTGTACTGACCTAATTCTACACAAAACACTTCGTTCGGTTTCAGAAACAAAATTTATAACAAAATCAAAAATTAACAAATAATACGAGTTGTGTCCATGAAATCTCGGATATTTTGATTAACTCAGAAACTGTGTGTTTAATTTGTGTGCGGCAAAACTACGCTTGCTGCAAACTGCAAACCTTCCGCTGGTTTCAGTTGAAGTTTGAAGTCGATAATTCGTTTGGTATGGTGTAAAGTTAGAGGGAGACGATTGTGAAGGTCTGCTTGTGTTTTATTGTCAAATTTCAAGTACTTATGTTGACGCACCTCGTAATTTATCTACGCCATTACTACTCACGACAATTCATCAATTGATATTTATTTGACAGATCGCAAAATTAAAACGAAAAAATAATTGTGGTGTACCAATAGCCTTTCTATTGGGACTCTTATTATGCCCTTGTCATGAGCTGAGAGAACTTAAATAAAGCTATGTTGGAATGAGGTTCTTCTCCATAGCGACAGATATATAAACTTCTTATCTTCCTGCGCCGGTTTCTACCATTTCTTTATTTAAACTGTCATTTACCTAATAAAGTCCCTCCAGAGTTTATGTTTAAATGTTACACTTGGATAAGGACAAAGATTTACCTACTATGCCTCAATGGACGTATTGGTCCTGGGATCATTACTAGAAAAACGAGCAGCGTCCATTCAAATCCAGATATCTCCACTTAAATGTGAATCGAACAGATTTAAATATTAAAATTAGCAAAGTAAATATTTATAGTTCAGTATAAACCAAACATGGTTTTCCATGTTTTTCTTGAAAATAATACGTAAGGATATAGTATCTTTTTTTTAGGAACGTTCCTCTTATAATTTAAAAGGAGTTTTAACTTTTCCATTTTTCCCCATTTATACACATAATAGATAACGGCAGACTCCCTCGTAACTACGAAAATCAAGTCCAATATTTCAGTTTTCTGCAAATAGAATATTTTCTTGAAAATCGAAAAAGAGATATGCCTCTAGAAATAATCAGAAAGCAGTAGCTGAAGAAGGGAAAGTGTAATTAAATACATATATAAAATCATTTTAGGTCCGCATAGAGCAACAATGTGCAAACGTTTATAATATTGATACTATCTGTGCTGCTTCCAGTTAATGTTGATTCAGAATTTTAACGAGAAGATTTAAATTTAGATAAGCAGTCACCATGAGTTGCATTGTTTAAAATATTTATATCAATCTGTAGCTCTATAGCACCGTTTGATATGTATCTATTTGATGTATATAGAGAGTAATAAAGCTGTCGAAATTAAGATTAGTTTTTTAGTAAATCGATACAACTTTCCCAAAAAAAAAACGAACCTATGTGCATTTTATAGGGTCTTTCAACACGAATAGAATATCAGCATATTCTTTGTATAAAAAGATTTCAGATTTGTCAACAAAGGTCTAACAAAGTTTTGCTTACTTTGGTTTTTCATTAGTCATACTAATACTTCTTTCTTTTTCAGTATTCAGTAGCAATTATTAGTGAGTTCATTTAAGTAATATTCTTAATAACAAATTAATAGTCGGGTATTACTTGGTCCATATAAATGTGTAAATATCTTGAAAACGGTTTAAAACACATATTGAAGGACCTTTTTTAGTTACTTACTTATTAAATTTGACAATGTACAAAAAAATGTGATGGTATTTTTGCAAAAAAGTGTGTGCACGAGGTGCTATCTACAAATTATTTGGTTACAATTATTTTATCTACAAAACTGATTACACCATCTAATTTCTAATTCCCGAAAACCTTCACATCGGAATATTCATGCCTATATTTTTAAAATTGTGAACATAAGTAATAAAAAAACAAAAAAGGAAAATTACTTTAATCACCGCAAGTTTTGACTTTATTTGACAAATCGCAATGTTTTGATACAAAGAACATGCTAGTATTCTATGATCCATTCATTTTCATTTTCAAACACACTGTAAGTTATTCGGCATAATTTTCTGTCGGGGAAGGAATACTAGAAAAACGGTTCAAAATTTAGTTATAGTCCTGAATATTTTTAAGACGGCTATAATCTATACCTATATTAGGTGCTAATTTTTCAATTTAACTGGAACTTCTAGACATATGAATTATATAAGATTGCTGTCTCTCCGTTCATACTTTTAAAAATTACACGCAAAATGGAAACCCTAGTTTCACCATCGTATTTAGGGTTAAAAAACGTAATATATATATATATATATATATATATATATATATATATATATATATATATATATATATATATATATATATATATATATGCAAGGAGTCTCATGGTCATAGAACATTAGACGTTTTGAGAAAACGAAAAGTAAAAATTTTTTGAAAATTTCAAGTCAATCTTAGAAAAATATTACAACAACTAAAAGTCATACCTGTGCAAAATCACATGAACAAAAAAATTGGGTTGAGATTTCAAATGAATTAATAGCATATTTAATAAAATAATTTTATTTACCGACAATAAACACCAATTAGGTAAAATCACATCAGTTTATCAAAAGAAGTTTCAGGGAATAAATTTTATCAATAAAAATAATAAGGTAGTTGTTTCTGGCTGTAATATATAGGAGGTACTATTAAGGTAAAAAAAGTAAACTTACCTTGATTTAATAGGGTGGAATTTACGTTTGATTGCGCAATTACTTTTAATCAGAGCACTAAGAAACTACATTTTGATTACGGAATTGCTCAGGCCCGATTTATAAGCTCGGTTTGCCGCCAAGATAGCTGGGAAAGTAGCGAAAGTATATTCTCATGTTTTAAACGTTTAAACAGGAATTCCAGCTACCAATGTTCGCTATGTTGTAAACTGGTGATTTGATAACGGATAACGAAATGAAAATTAAAGTAGTCCTAAAATTTGTTGCATACGACTTACAATCACCGTTGAGTGGTTTGAAAAAAGTCAAAATTCGTTGCAATTTTGCATCAAGATGCCTGGGAATTTTTTGCATTGTCGGTGAATCTGCCAGAGTACTTGTTTTTACTAATTTTGAATTAGTTAATAATAAAAATAGTATAGTTTGTAAATGTTCAAAATGTACTAGTTACTTAGTTATTGTTGTTTGCTAAAAACAAATAAAAATCATGAAAATATTATAAAAATGAAAAATATTTTTGATTCTAATGTCCGTCACTCGTCATTGTACAGTTATATTTTTGGTGATCTAGTCGTGTTGTTTAATTAAGAACAATGACTGTATGGCAAATATGAGAGTTAATAATAACAATAATAATAATTGTTTTTGTCAATCTGAGAGCACTTCAAAATAAGGCTTGCATCAATTTTCGTCTTTCAACCGTTTTAGATAAAAATCTGAAAATGTGTTTACGGCTCGTCAGTGCAAGTTTGAAAGAAATTTTAGTGTAATTAGCTTATAGTACATTTTATTTGTTTTAAAAATTTGTCCTATTGATATGTATTTAAGTAGAGTTACTACTACTCCCTTCTTTAAAATACGAATTATACACTAGCGAGGGGAAAGTGTAATTTTTGTTACCTACGGCTACGAGCCACTTCGGATATTTCCGGGATTTATCCACGGGTTCGGGAGTTTTCGGAAATATTACCTACGGTTTAAGTTTTGACGTCCGTCAATTCTGACAGTCATGTCAGACGTCACTCGGAATGTATTAATGTTAAGTTTGGTATGCAACATGTTTGATTTAAAAAAAAAACTTGTAGATAACTCTAGCCGTGAGTAGAATTCTTTTCGCGTATCCGGGTATATCTCGAGATATTTTTCGACGCTGAAGAGCTTCGTGGGGCCCCCGCTGCTTTGATGACTTCAGCAGAAAAATATCAACATCCGCTACTGTAAGTTTAATAGGCAAGTGTATAACCATGCCGAGGAATCAAGAGCAGTATGACATGGGCAACGCCGCTACAGAAAAACGGTAATTGTTGAACTTTAACGTTATTTAGTTCCTTTGTAGTAAACACAAGGTATTACAGTATATTTTGTCGCCATTTATAGGGTTGTCCATTAAAAAGAAAACGACATTTACTTTTTCGTTTACAATTGTTTACAAAGCCTTATCACTATTATATTGGGTTCATATATTATTAAAACAAGTGAATTATGTTGACAGTCAAGATAAATTTTTTGGTTTTTAAGAAATCATTTCATACACCTTGTCAAAAGCTGTTTTGACTTGTTTTTTTTTTGGTAAGTATATTTCAAATAGCAGTGAAATTAAAAAACATTTTTCCTTCCCAGGGAAGGCCTTTTGATCAATTTAATTTTTATTAAGTTTTTCAGAAAATCGGATACCCATCATACTGCTCGGCAGATCGATATCTATCGGTAAAAATTGTCCACAAAGAACCAGATCCAACAAAAAAGATTCTTCAATTTAAGCGACGTCTACAATTTTCCTTTTCTGGCTATCAAAGGTTTTTTTTTATAGAGTCACAATACCTCTTTTGGCTGCCTAGATATATGGGACTTTTAAACAAATACCCTTTTTGTACTCCCGTCTGTAAAATACATAATTACACACTGATCTAGCATGCGGGAAGCGTCACTTTACCACGTCAGTTTCTTTTCCCACGGATCAGAGCCATTTCGGACATTTCCGGGATTCTACCGCACGACTTTGGGAGCAATCGGATGTTTTCGGAGATATTTCCCACGCTTTGAATTTCGACGTTTGTCAATTCTGACAGCCATTCAGTGAATGTATTCGTGTTTTGCGAAAATGTACCCAAAAACTAACGGTCGTAGAAAAAGTATAGTATGCAACACGTTCGGTAAACTTTCTGACTCACTCGTTTATTAAACACTCGCTCCGCTCGTGTCAAATGCCGTTTACCGCACTTGTTGCATAATATACTATTATATATCTGAAATCAGAAAAAAAAAAGAAATAATGTTCGCAGATTACACAACCTGTCAAATTTTGATATTTTGAACCAAACATTCACTTACGACTGAAAAAATATATATGGAGGAAGTAGCGGGGTCGATTTGCTACCCATACTTAATCAAACTGACCACCCTTTAGTTTTTCTAGCTATACTTGTCGACTAATCGCATTTTTTCTATTGTTACAGAGGTAGGTGGATGAGATTGTAAGGGTGTTCGTGCGAATAATACTTTTTGGTTAGTGTCCCCGTGGGAGGGCCAGTAACCATGAATTGAGTAGTGGTGATACTTTTTGGTTAGTTATGGTGATTTTGGTTAGTGCCCCCCGTGGGAGGGCCAGTAACCATGAATTGAGTAGTGGTGAAGCTAACAACCCATATAATCTAATAAACTTATGGTGCAACGATCCAACTCATACAGTACCGGTCGGTAAACTGGGTGGTCGAGCAGGCGCTAATCGACCGTCAGACAGCGAGTGCGGAGCGTTACTTGTAGGAAATCAGGCGAGTACAGCATGATGGAAAATAATCACAGGGAACTAGATTATGACGCACAGAGAAACAACTCTCGTCACCTAGCAATAAAAAGAAAGACAAGCCACAGTAACGGCTGCAGCAGAACTTGAATACCTGATTTGGGAGAATGAAAACAAAAGAATAAAAGAAATAGCCCAAAGAGTAAAAAGAGGAGCAGAAATTTTGTAATGTCAATCCACAGAGGACTATTTTTTGGGACCTCGATAGTCTAGCGGTTAAGGCCGGAGTCTCCGGTTCGAATCCCACCGTCGCGACGGATGTTGCTGTGATGTGCTTGTTCGACATGTTTCAAATGAAATACGAATCGTTCTGGCAAACTGCGTAATAGCAGTACCAAAAATATAAAAAAAAGTAAATTTTTTTTGGGAGCGACAGTTAAGGCCTCCCGCACAGGAATAACTTTTCTTTGACACTGCACGTTTGTACCATTGCGTTGTATATTTCTTAGAAACTGTCGGCAACAGTTGATTCGCCGGCGGAATAGAATGTCTCAATTTTTTAGTTGCTCCTCATTCATCCGCGGGGTTCCATATAAACCTCTATATTCTATTTCGGCAAGAAAATAAGTTGCCACAAAAAGTTGTTCATCGATGTTTGGAAAATATGTGTGAGTTTTGCGATAATAACGGTGTAATGCTGCCGTGGCAGTCCCAAATCCTTTGTTTTAAATCCTAATGTGTGATATTCAGATAGCACACAACATCCACTAGATATATCAAATTAGTAAAGAAAAAACAACGCGCCAAAAACGTTATAACCCGTTAATAAGGGTAAAATTTCATAAGAGGTGCAAAAAGTTTCTATATTAAGTCAATAATTTTAAGCTGTTTTCGAACACTATTGCAATAATAATAAATATTATTGAATTAAATTATACTTTTAATATCGTTAAAAAATAAAATAAAAAAGGAGTAATAACAATAAATAAATTAAATAACTTAAAATTTATTAAAAAAGACAACAGAACGGCCATACAGAGAAAACTAGACATGTATAAAATCATATGTTAATCAAATGCAATACACAATTAAAATCTCATTTAGTTATTTTTGATTAGTATCTTTCTTTTCATATCAAGTTACATAAATTGACCAAAGTAAATTAATAAATAGAAGAAATAAAAACACAAAAAATCTGAATATTGTAACCAACCTTACGATGTTTACCAACCAACATTGCCGCTGACAGATAGTTAATGCAATTTACAGATTGGATATATTTTGTCAAAATATGCCCAAGTTCCAAGTTAAATTTTAAAAGTAAATAGGAAAAGGAAAATAAGGCAGAGGATCAGTGCGTGAAATTTAGCGGCGTGCAAATGAATAAATAAAACACCGTCCGTCCATTCGACGCGTGAGACTGAATCGACAAGTCGCTCCTTCTGTTTTTAACCTAAGAGTCTAATCTCAACTTTTCGGTTCAAGTAGGTCTTTTGATGTTTTCCAAAGGAAACTAAGAAACTTCGTGTCATTTTCTTATCACGAATTGAGAAAATGAGACTTCAAAAGTGAAAGACAAATATTTTATTGATGCTATAGAAAACGTGTTTTACAAAAGGTTTGTTAAAATATATTATAAAATTTCATAATTCCAGTAATTACTCGGTAGTATCTAATCTATTTTAATAAAACATATGTACCCTTGTCTTTGGCAAAAATTAATAAAAGATTTCCCTGCATTGTTTATGAAACCCAATCAAAATATTTTAAGAAAAACGATTATGAACACTTTGAGAGCTTAAAAAACTTTATAAAAATATATTTTGCGAATACCAGTAATAAAAATCAAGTAGAATATCACAATAGTTACACACAACAAACGCGCTAACATTCGAAAGAGTATTCCAGTTCAGCGAAAATTATTTGCAGATATTTGGTGAAAGTAATTCAGCTTAAAATTTGAATTCAACAGTAATATTTTATCCAAAAATTATAAAACTATAAAATTAAGTACACAAGTAATACCTCCTATAACACGATGTAAACGATTATATTTTACTTAAAAAAAAAGAAAGCCGGAAAGACAGTTAATATGAATATGTGTAATTTAAGTGTGAATTTAGTCCTTTAACTTGGACTCTTTTTCTTAGTGTATTCACTGCTACAACTAATTTAAAGGAAATTTTGACTGACCAACATCACCATCACTCTTTGGACATAATATTGATTTAAATTTCAAGACCCTTTATCTATTTCCAAATACGCTTTGGTTAGTTGTTTTATATAAAATGATATATGCTCCATTAAATAAATACAGTTAAATATACATTTAAATTCTAAATACATATAAAACATTAAATGTTCTTTGAACGTCCTTAGCTGGTCTAGAAATAATAAAAAAACAAAGCAAGTGCATTTCTGAAGGAGTTTCTGGTTAGTCGGTATATGGGGTTTTGGAACAGTATATATACCGGATGGCACGCAGCCGTTAGAACTATCTGGCGAACACATCAACTATCACTCTAAAATATTTTCAAGCATTCAGTGGTACCTCCTGTATATTATTTCGTTTTTAGATTCTACTCAAGAAACAAAATAGATGTTGTTCAGGTTTCTCTATACCTATGTCTTACAGTTATAGAAATAAAAGATAATTTCCTAAAGTTTTTAAGTAATTTGGACCCAAAGAAATCATCCGTGCCTTAATTAAACGCAAAGTCGAAACTTTTCCAGACAGGACCTGGATGTACGGCATTTTAAAAATAATATGTTTCCAGAAAAAGCGAGAAATAGAAAGAAAGTCAAAACATCAGATTTTACAAAGCTGATTCTGTCCATGTGCGAAACTTTCTTCGTAATGTAAAAAATTCTATATAAAAATCATGAAAATAAATTAGAGTAAGAGTTAGGTATAGGGAAATTTGAACATGTGAAAATTGTGTTTCCAGAACTTACGTACAAAATCTTATTTTTAAAACGGGAAATATCCGGGAACTGTCTGGAAAAGTTCGACTTTTTGCTCAATTAAAGCGCGGAACTATTAAGACTTCTTTATGGTTCCAAATTGCTTAAAGGTCTAGGAAATTATTTTTTTTTTATTTAATCTTGGGGGTGACGTTTAAATTAAGCAAGATGTTGCCACGTTTATACAGAAGCGGCAACACTGCATCTTTGAAAACGTTTTAAAGAAATAAAATACCTCTAACATCATCTTGTATAATTTAAAGTTCGCCAGATACTTCTAATAGGCCATCCACTATGCGCTACCCGGTATCAAATACAAGCACACGGTCCCTGTTCTGTTCTAAAGCAAAATAAACGCATTTTTGAGTACCTTTCTAGTGTCTCTGTTATTATTTTGATAGATGGCTTTACGAAGAATTCATTGGCCTGCACAAAAATTTTGTTTTTGTCTGTCGTTTTATGTTTTTAAATTTTATTTACATTTAACAAAAATTTTAACAAAAATTGGCGATTGTGTGTGATCAGTAAAAATGTATGTTGGGATTTTAATACACAAACGGTAGACTAAAAAATATTTTTTTTCTTTGAGACAATGAATAACATAAGACATTTATCAGGAGTTTTTTTTGTCTTTAAAAGGCTATAAAGCTACATGGTGCCCTCAAAAATATATTGGTATGTAACTTAAAAGTTGTCATTAAATTTATAAAAAGCAGTTCAATGATACTTAAGTTATAGGAATTCAAAACTTAATTTTGCTTACCATATTCAAAAATCATCAACCTTAATATAAATTACTTTTTCTTATTAATTATGTAAGTTTATTATATGATAACCATGTCTTCTTAAGGTGTTGCTGCAGAATTTCAGTTTGAAATATATAACAGCGCTATTAGTGTTTTACGAGTTCTCACTATGCAGACTTGTAGTTAACACCATTGTGTTTATTATTCATATTTTTTTTAGGATTTATGTAGATATTTTCGTGACATTTCAAGTTCTCATAATAGACATACAAAATTGGGTTTCTTCTCAGGGCTATATGAGGGAGATAATTCGCGAGCTTATGCCGGTTTTTATGAGCGAAAATCTACAAATTTATTAAAAATAACCTATTTGCAATGCTTTAATAATTATTGTTAACATATCGGAAATACAAATACAAATAACCGCAGTGATTTCAGTAGACAGTTAAATCCTCTTTTTATCTGTGGAATAATTTTAAAATTTCGAAATACAACTCCATCGAATTATCTTCTCAATATGCTCTCGATATAGGAAAATGCCAGGAAAAGAGGAAGAAAATATGAAATGCCCTATTTTACCCAATACCAACTTTCTTTACCTTGAGTTTTTAAAAGTCTTTAACGCTTCATTAAAATCTTTACAAGTATTTTGTCTACAGTCTTATGGTCTACAGATTAGTCTTACAAACTCCAAATTTTATGAATTCTTAAGTAACAAAGATTATAAATGACTATTTTGGTAAATCAAGGTCATTACATCAAGTTGCTGACAACTTAACTCCTGTTTTGATCCCATTTATTCCGTATTACCGCCAAATAGAAAGTGAAAATTAGAACAGTTTACACTTTTCTTTTGGTCAAAAATGCGTAAAACGAATTTCGATTTATTGCAAAAGGTGCACTACCCCAAAAATGCAACTTAAAATTGAACCTATATTCATTTATACTTACTTCAATTCAAATTTATTTAACAAATAATTTAAATGCTTTCGTTTTATTTTTTGCATTGAGGTAAAAGTTGTGAAATGCATTAATGCATGACAACCAATTCGTCAAAGTTTAACAGCTGCAAAACTTCACAATAAGCAGAACATATATCACAAGTTCTAATCTCTACTGTCACCATAACACAGACATAACAAGTTATTCGATTTATGTTTGAATGTTTGACCTTGACTTGATTATTTTGTCATCATAGTTTAGCGCTAAGCTCCCTATTAAGGCAACTAAAGTTCGATCCAGCCAGGTTATAGGGTTCGGGTAGATAAATCCACCTTCATAAAAACCCAGATGACCTCCGTGCATTAATTCGATATGAGCAGTATTTGGTTTCTCCACTAAAACAAAAAAAAAAGGTCAAAGCAATCATTTTTGTACTTTGAAAATAGTTTATTTTAGTATAAACTCTTAATAATTGGAGTGAGGTGGCTCTTACTCCATGAAAAAAAATTTAACACAATTAAATTAGAACAAAAAATGTTCAGATTTTTACAGTTATTTATCACTTTATGACAGTTGTTTCGGCAACATTGTGCCTATATCAAAAACAAAATATGACAATATTCATTCTCATACACATTTAGTTTTTTGCTTTTTGATTATGTAAAATATCAAAATAACTGTCAAACATGTGCATTTGTAAATTTAAATAAATGGCATAGTTAGAATCCGAACTTTTATTTAGATACGCTCTTTTATGTTCGGTAATGCATTTCAAGTTCTACCTGTTTGTCCTATATAAATTTTGGGACATGATCCACATTTTAAGTTGTAGACTCCGGATTTTTGAGTTTTTCGCATTTAGTTTTGTTTTTTAAAAAATGTCCTATGACGTTTTCAGCTTTTAAAGCAATCTTAAGACCAATTTTAGATAGGTGTTTCGAAATTTTCTTGTTAGGTTCCCATATGTATTTCATTGTTTCAAAAATGCTTTTATCCACAAAGTAGTTTGTGGATAAAAGCATAAAAGGCAGCCATTTTGTGTATGTAATGGTGATTTGAGTTATTATGTATTATTGTGCCCGTGTGCGAGGGTTTATGGTAAATGGAAAAATCTAATTGGTTCTGTAGTATAGTTACAGTTAAGTCGAGAAAGTTTAAAGAGTTATCTACTTCTGTCTCTATGGTAAATTTTATATGGTTATGTATGGAGCTAATATGATTTAAAAAGGACCGCAGTTGTCTTTCCATTCCAGTGAAACAAGCATCATGTATCTATACCACCAGAGAAATCAGAGATATTTTCTAAATTGTCCATGAAAATTTCTGCAAGTAGTGGACTAAGTGGTTTCCCAAAAGTAATCTTTCTTTAGCAATATAAAATTGACCATTAAATTCAAAATAATTTTGATCTAAACAAACTATTAAACTATATAGCAAGTCTTGTTTTATGATAGGGTTGAGTTGTCTCCGAGTAAGATTATTGTCTATTATATTTATTACGTCAATCAGTGGAATGCTAGAAAATAGATTTTGGACGTCAAAGCAAACTAGAATTGCCTTGGGAGTAATTTTAATATGTCTTTAACGTTGTTGATTAGTTAGTATGATATTCTAAAATTTTTATTGATTTTGTTGAGAATTTAACTGATGGTGCTGTTACAAAAGAAGCTGCAGGCATATCCTGTTTTTGTAACTTTCTTAAAGAATATAACTTTGGAGGTTGAAGATTCATGATTATTAGCTGGTATTTTTTCATTGTCATTAAAAAGTGATGAATCCGTAATTACAGTTTTGATTTGTTTTTGATATAACTCGGTGGGATCATATTGTATACTTTGGTATTTGTCTGGTTTAAGAAACTGTTTGGTTTTTGTAATATTCTAGAGAATCGATAGCAATGACTGTCTCTCCTTTATCTGCTCTTGTAAATACTACATTATTTTGGGAAGCCTTATTTTCAGTTGATTTTACCATAGACGGACGTGAAAGATTCTGATATTTACTGCTAGTTGTAAGTTGAGACTTTATTAAATTAGCTAATACTTGTTTGTTTACGATATTTTTCTTATGACCGTTAATAGCAAGTGGGCAATCAACCCCTAAAAAATTTAACTCTTTATTGATGTTTGAGTATTTTAAATTAAAATTTAAACCTTTTTTCAGCAATTCGGGCTCTTTATCTGAGAATGTAGTACTAGAAAATTGATAGATATATTGTAAAATTCATGATTTCAAAGGAGCGTAAAAAAATAACAGTTCGCATTCCAACTATGCCATTCATTTAAATTAAAAAATGCACAAGTTTGAACAAAATTTTGATATTTGACATAATCAATCAAAAAGCAAAAAACTAAATTTGTTGGCAGCAATGGAGGTTAACAAAATGAGATGTTCGAATCTATCACTTAATGACCAATTTTAATTTAAATGCTTGTTAAATTTAAATTTACAACCCTACAGAGATAATTCACAATCTATTACTACCTGTTTGTATATATAGATGTTAGAATATTGTCATATTTTGTCGAAACAGCTGACATAAACTAATAAATAACTGTGAAAATCAGAACATTTTTTGTTCTAATTTAATTGTGTTAAACATTGAAAGCAATACATGACAAAGAAATATTTACTTGAAATATCCCTAACTGGCTGCAATAAAGGTTCTGGTACAATTGGATCATCTTTGGCGTTAATAAATATGACGGGGTGTTCTATACTGTTAATATAATTAATACTCGAACTCCACCTAAAAATGATAAGTAACTGTGTTCTAGTTTCGCCAGCCGACGGTACCACACCGATGTAAGGTGTCCGAGGAATAAACAGCAGAGCAATATGAAGTAATCACAAAAACAAATCGAATTAGTTATTTTGCAATTCCAAAGAATTTCAGATGAATTCCAAGGAATTATAAGTGTAAAAGGAATCATGATGTAGACTATTTCCTCTGCGGTTTGCTCCTCAAAAGGTGACAAAACGGAACTGGCGGCAAATACAAATAAAAATAAGCAAGGTCACTACTCAACTAAACTAACCAAAACTATACCAACTTGTAAAGTTCAGACACGCTTCCAAATCCATGAACTCTTCTAGTATAAGCTTCATCTAGTTCGGGTAGTGTGGCAGCAGATATTATTTCGTTTTCAGACAAGTTGTGACGTTGTTTAATATCTTCATTAAGTAACATTTTACTATGTCGTAGAATTATGTTCTTCATATTTTCCGTCATTACATATAGATAAAAACGTCTGAAGTTTTGCCAATTTAGTAACCACTTAGTACCTCTAAAATAAAACCAATCCAATTTAAACGAAGCTTTTCTCTTAATCTTGAGATTTAATTAATTATAAATTGGTTTTTCCAGTTTGCATTTCAAATCTAAGAACATGTTTAAATATCGCATCACCCGATCACCTAGTGAAACTTACATACCTAACACCTCAGCTGGAGCGAGCTACCCCCGAAATCATTCCCCATCAGAATTTTTAATCCCTGTAGCTCTAGAAAATTTACTGTATCTAAAATCATCATTTATAATTCTAAACTTGCATTTGGCTTATTAAGCTATTACTCATTTTTTTTATTAAGAAATTTTTAAAAAATTATATATCTGTACAAAAAATTGCAGACAATTAAAAATTTAGTACACTACTAATATGGAATTTGAATGTACTATCCACTACTACTTAACTTGCAAAATTTAAAGTTCTTTTAAACTATAAACACAATTCAACTTACTCAATAGCATTGTATCCTTGACATATAGAGATGCCACCCATAATGTTAGGATGCTTGATTTTTCCTGATTCTCCTAGATATTTAGTCACTATATTACCACCAAGACTGAAGCCCACGCAAACCAACTTGGTATTAGGATGTCTACATATCAAGTTTAGTAACATTGCGTGGAAATCATCTGTGCTGCCTGAAAAATGAACAATATATGGGTTCATTTATAATTTACAAGATATTTCTCAAAATAATATAAATAAGGCATAAAAATAAAGTTAACTAGACTTCGGGAATTATCATAAATTTTCCAAAACAAAATGCCAAGTATCAAATTACCATAACTGAAGATTCTGGGCGCCGTTACAGGAACTTTGGACAAAGCGCCGACATGATTCAGCACAGCACATCTGTAACCATGACATTGTGCCCAATGAACAAAGGTGCGAATGTAAACGCTTTCAGACGTATTGCAAATACCAGGGCAAATTGCTACTGAGACATCGTCTGCAACAAAACATAAAATTACATATGCTACGATCCGATTTTCTAAATTTTAGATCAATACACAATACACAAACGTCCAGAATTTGTTCGAGTAGATAGCCATTTTTTTCTAAATATTTAACACAGATTAAATTACCCCGAAAAAACTTCCGATTGTTGTGGTGATCACCACTACAAATATTCAAAACAATTTTTTAAACGTATAGCTTAGAGACTGCTGAAAATACCAATAAACAAATAGATCAGATAATTTCACGTATTACTTTTTAATTTTATTATTTTGAAATTAAGTTCGATATGTCAAAAAAAATAACCTAAAAGGTAGTAACTATTTTGCTAATTATATCCCAAACTTTCAAAATTCTCCAAAGGATCCAAAAAATAAATGGTGCCGCCGAAGCAAGATGTAAAACATCAATGTAAAAAGGAGATCTGATAGAAACTTAGGGTCAACACAAACAAACAAATATAAATTATGTGCCAGTTTTTTGGCTACAGAATGTGCTTTTAAAAAAGTGGTTTTAGCCAATAGAGTTTATCTCCACTGGTTCCACGACAACTAAGGCAAGGGTGATTCCAAGCGGTTTTTTTGCAGACTGAAAAGGTAAAACCATTGGGTGCGTTTTAATGCGTTTAATAATGGTCTATTTAATAAGTTAAAATACAACAAAGAATTTTTATTTAGATTAGAATATTTATGTGCTTCTAAATGCAAATTTCCACAACAGGAAGTAATAAATTTGAAGTCTGTCAATGGGATGCATGTGTGTTTGGAGTCTACAACATTTATGAAAACAGATGTTGGAAAAAGGATATTCATAATTTAAAGTGTACAAATACTTATGTTGAACTACTATTAAAATTAAACGAGGAGTAACAAAACGAAATGAACAACTTTCTCCTCTCAGTTAAAAGTAGCAACCAGGGAAAATAATAAATACTATTTAAATAATGGTTGAATGTATGTCAAATGTATAACTTAAACGAAAAGGCAAATACAAATTGCTGCGTCACTAGTTTTGGATTACCTGCAAATTTGAATTGAATTTGCTAACCTGCTAACCGAATCAACTCACGAATTTTAATTACTGCTATTACTGTAAATAAAAGGATAGAAAGAATCCAGAATTGATGAGCTTCATATATGTGGTTACTCTAATTGCAGAATAATGCAAGCATTCCTTTTTTAATATAAATAAGGAGGTCTTCAAATTCAATAAGCTCAATTTAATTTACAATAACTGGCAAGTCACTAGTAATTAAGATTACTTAAAAATATATATTTCTTATTTATTATTAAAACATTGGAGCAAATGGCAATGTTCTTATTTAGTCGCTAATTTTGCACACGCAAAAGCATACACAAAACACCTCTGACAGATAAAATTTACCTGGAAAACTTGTGTCCAGCGGTTGATACAAATCATATGTCAAAGTGGTACCATCTTGTAAGGTCAAAAATACTCTTTCACCAATTGGCCATGGACACTTGACACGGCCTATGACGCTATGAAGGATAGTTTGAACATGACCACTAAATCCCCATAGTCTTGTTGGAATGTATCTACAATTTTTTTTTATTAATTACAGATCATATATTAGAGATTTTTCATTCACTTGCACTAATGGGGCACATATACAATTGTAATAAATATGCTGTATGAAATATTTTAATATTTTCAATATTTCACTTCAAAATATTCTGAAACATAAAAAGGAATTAAAGATATTTTTGTTGATTGTTAGTGTGTAGATTTTAATATCGATTGTGGCTGATGTCCCTATAAAACTTGACAATTTACACGGTGTTTACATGTTTGTTAGCAATATATTTACACAAAATTCGTTTGTGTGAAGAAACCCAATGTAAAATAAGGAATGTTTGGTTAAAGTGCAAATTCAAATTAAAACACATGATAGAATCAAATAGGGTAGAAGTAGTCTTATGTCCTTTTTTGGTAATAATTTTGTATTCATAAAATGAAAATCTCCATCTATTAATACAATTCTAACTATGAAATGACAAATAATTTTAGGAGAATTCTAGTCAAATATTCGAAGTAAGTTTGTTTATACTAACAAATAAATTTTACAGGTGTAATAACGTATGTATAACACAGAAATTGCCACTAGTAATAGAAAAAAATGCAATTAATAGACCTATTGTGTTCATTTGGTAGATTTGAAGCAACTGATTACTTGCAATTTGCCAACAGAATCAATTTAATCAGAAAAGTTTATTCATTTAACACTGCCAAGTAGAATTTACACATATACATAAGTTGAAATGAATAACAAATAGGTTTAAAATACCTATCAGACCTCATATCAAACAAACAATGAGTCACAACTTGTTTCTTTAACATTGACGAGAAGATGAGTTAAGTTAATCTCCAAAAAAAAAAAATTAGGACACGAAATAGTCAAAATTCTTTCAAAAATTTTGCTTTACCTGAAAGTCCTGACATTCAAGGAAGAGTCGAGTTAAATCATTAATGTACAAATTACATAATCCCATCTTCATAACTACATGTAGGATGATTACTAATATCCCTCACAAGGCAGTGCATTTATGACGTGATTAGAAGCTGATTGATTGAAATGGAATGTTACATTATGGATAATTGTAAAGTAGCAAGTACTATGTAGTGAAAATATAAATTCGGACAATTACGCAAATATTTGGAAAAGTAAAATGTGATTTTCAAACGTTTATAAAAGAAATTTGACACTTCCTTGTAATCGACTCTTCTTTTGTTAAAATACAAATGGTATTAGGTGAAAATGCGCATTATGGCGACAGCAAATTATTAGATTTCCTTTCACACGGGTTAGATATCAACGTTTTACACATTAAAAAACACAAAAAAAAAGAAAAGAGTGCTGAGAGTAAAATTATGTGAAGGTTATGTGATGTTTTGCTCAGAAAGTACTTACGGTTCATTTAATAAAGGAGATATTTTCAATATGTTTTCCAAAAAATTGTTGTCGCCGCACCAGATAGTGGGCTTCTGAGGCTGGGCACTGACATTCAAAATTCGGAATAATATACATAAAATAACAGCAACCGCGGCCAAAATAGCCGTCGACATAATAGCGAGAAAAACCTGCTTCTCCTCTTATGTCAACACCGACACGTTATTTTATCAACTAGTACTAAAAATAAGAATGTAAGACAACTGCGCCTATCCCACCTCCACGCTTCTATTTGAAAATATATTAAACGATGTGTAATCGGATAGACAGCATAAAAATGGTCAGCTGTTTGACAGGAGTGGGTGCGCTGTTGCCAAGATAACCAAAAAATCTTGTTGTTAATTGAGCTGTAGAGTGGATTCAGCCTATAGCCTTTGATTCAATTTATAGTATTTATTTTAACTAATTAACAAAAACCTGACATTATTATTAGCATTAGAAGCATCACCTGGTCTAGTATTGATGGGATACCTATCTGGACAAGTTGACCTCCGAAAATTATGGCGACCAATGAGATCATCATGATGGCCGAATGTTGTCGACTTAGTAATTTGACGTGTTCTGGGAAAACAAGTTAAGTGTGTGGAAATCGCTGTTCAGAAACAAAATGGAGCAAAGTGCAGGTAAGTGGGTGAAATGTAGAGGCATGCGCGGAAAATCATTCCCTTCTACAAGAAAATAATGCAGGCTGCGGAGCATCAACTTTTACTGTAGTAGGGGCAGTATATTATCTAATAGCCATATGGGTTAGACCAATAAATAATACTATTCAAGAATAAACTTTCACACAACACCCAAAACTAAATGTTCGTGGGTCAGTGCAGATCATATAAAAATAATCAGCAAGATACTGTTTAAACTTAAAATATCCTGTTTAAATATCCAAAGAAAACAAAGATTAAAATATTCTCAAGACCACTAGATACGCACATTAAACAGAAGTTCAAAGTTAGCCTAAATATTTTAAGTTTCTGCCACTATCGTGTATCCAACTCTCAACGACAATTTAAATTTTTTTAAATGTATTTATAGCAGCAATATAATCCGGAACCATATTATATAGCCTCGGGGCAAAATAGTTACTGGCACGCTGGTCAATTGTATTTGAACATGTCATGATATAAGTCGACCTTCCTTTAGTCTGGTAGTTTTCTTCCACTGACTTTAATAAAATCTTTTTTTTGTATACACCCTTCAGTAATATAAAATAGTAAAGCTGCCGCAAGTCTAGCAGTCTGCTCTAAAGAAACAAGGCATCACTAGAGTAATCGAAATCTTTTTTATTTGTTATTCTAATAATCCATTTTTGTGTCGTTAAATTGTTTAAATGACATTCGGCAACTGCAAGCAAGAATTTCGTAAGAGGAGTATCACTGAACAATATATAAGTCTAAAGTTGTGAAATGTTAGAAAGTTTGGCAGGTATCTAAAACGCGGCAAAAAGCCCCTGATATTTTTAACAACATTCTCTGTCTTTAACTTCTCGGTCATAATTATTCCCAGATAGTTTACGGATTCGGCTTCTAAAAAAATTCGCCAATCGTGGCAATTGGAGTCAAGAGGTAATCTAAATACACATGACAACACAACATTTGATACTAAGTGCACCGAAATCACAACACAAATATCACGAAATGGCTCTCTATGCATTACTTTAAATTCTGCCAAGTATTTGCCTTATATACTACTTCAGTATCATCAGTAAAAGATCGTCTTTTGTTAGGTTATAAATACCTTCGAAACCCATAACATCTCGTTTTATACAAAAATCTAGTCTGGAGAGATCCAAAAATACGGATATTTTAGGCTGTTTCGAATCTACTGTATCGTAAATCTGCTCTAAAAGATCACAAATTGCGTTCTGAATCGATCTTTTCTCCCTAAATTCATGCCGACGATTTTATATTATATTTGTCTATAAAGTTCACTATTCGTATTTTTATTATTTTTGAAAATACTGATAACAGCGAGATAGTTAGAAATTTTAGTTCTGTCTCCTCCTTTGTATTTGGGCTTGATTATACCAATCTTCAGATAGGCAGAAAAGCACTGACCATTTATTAATTAAATATTGGTGATATTTGATCAGTCACCTTCTTCACAGTTTCACTTTTTAAATTATCACATCCGGAAGATTTAATTGGTTTTAAAGTTTTAATAATTTGTTTTTCCTCGGTAATATTTGTTTTGTACAAATGCAATTGTATTCTGCATGAAAGGAATATTTTCTTAAACATTTGATGGAGCAATTATTCTATCTGTATATTTCCTGCCAATAGTACATTAAACATTAAAACTGTTTGAAATATGGATAGTATCAGTATGTTTTTTTTAATTTATTATGATGTCTCTATTTTATTTATCTTAACCCTTCGCCTTACACTCGTATTCATAGTCGAGCGCCAGCCGCCCGCTGGCTTCAGATTTCCTGAAAATGTTCATTCTTATTTCGTAGTGGAGCGCCCCCCGAATGACGCCTGCGCAGAACGGTCTTTTAAAGTTCTCAAGTTCTCGCCCGCGGGCGATTGGATAAGTTTATTTTTTTCGTTTCATAGTCGAATTTCGAGGAAAGAACACATGCGCTGTTTAAGCTGAACCGATTGTCTTTCGCCGGGCGACTGGAGGATGTCCCGACATTCTCCGGGTGACTCGCCAGTTGAATTTAAGAGCATAGACTTGCTATAACTGTTATGGAAAACCTTTATAATATTGTCCGACTAAATGCAGAAATCGACGAAAATGATGACATTAACTTAAGAATGCCTAAAAGATATATTAGAGATATGCAAAACCCAGTTCAATTTTACAATGATTTCGAATTGAAACGTCGATACAGATTCAGTAAAAATGTAGTTATGGAACATTTAATTAAATTAGTGGAACCAGAACTATTGAAAGTTAACCAGCGTGGTTTACCAGTTTCGCATTTAATAGCAATTTTATGCACATTACGATTTTATGCATCTGCAAGTTTTCAGGTAAAGTATTTACTAATATCTATTATAAATATTAACAAGTTTTGAAATATAGTATTTCATCTTTTCGTAACTTAAAAAAAAGTTTCAGTTTTCACTTTTTCTTTCTGTTTTTATTTCTGTATAGTAAATACATTTAAATAAATGTATTTTTTTAATTGTATTAATATTTAATTTTTGCAGCTTACTTGTGGGGATCTTGGAGGAATCTCACAGTCAACTGTGAGTAGAATAGTAAAACAAATTTCAACAATATTTGCAGCTCAATATAATTTAGGAATTAATTTTGGAGAGAACCTAGATGAAGATGAAAACTTACAAGTAAGGGGAAATGCTGAAGGTTATGGAGTTCGTCGTGCATTGATTGCGCGTCACTCTACAGAATGAAATAGTTTTATTATATTATGCTATTATACATATATAACTATATTGAAACCTGTTAACTGACCAAAACTAACTTTATTACTAAAATATATGGCATATTAACAATTAGGCATCACTTAATATAATTTAGAATATTTTTTTAATTAATAAATTAATAATAAATTAATCGTTTTTTAATAAAAGTTGACGTAATTCCACCCTTTTTATTGATAATTCCACTTCCGCTATTTGCCTTATAATTGTCGCCTTTTCTCTTTTTTCAATAGCTTCTTGTTTGTTTATTTCGTGGATGTCTATTAAATGCTTCCTTTCTAATTTGACATTAACAATCCTCTCCTTAAAAAGAGCATTCAAGTTGCCACTCGATTTAGCAACAACCACTTTTTCTTTTTGCTTGTTTAATATTTTTTTCTCTTTCCTTTTACGAGAAGTAGAATCGCTGTTTAAAGGTGTCGATGGAACTTCTATTTCAAGTGAAGCTAGGCTAACAGATTTTGTCTGGATGGTGGAGGATGTGGATGGTGCATCTTCTGGTAATGGTGACTGGTCTTTTGTTATTGTATGTGAAGGTCCGCATATATCTAAAATTATATGTAATCTAAATTCGATTTTTTAAAATAATTTTAAATAAAAATAGTTGCACATAATGAATTTAGTTTTACCTAGAAGTGTATAATTTTTTTCTGCAGATTCAAACTTGCCATCTGAATCAAAAGGATTTTCCACATGTTCCGTTAAGTGCGGAACAACTTCATCAACATCAGGAATTCAAATTTTATCAGGCATGGATTCGCCACCTCCTGTAAGCATTCTCGAACGTCGGTCCTCAGCTAATTCTTCTTAATTTTATCCCAACAACGTTTTAATTGAACACTAGTGCGCTAAAATTACATTTGGATTTATGTACAATTTATAAGAGTATTCAAAGTATGCTTTTGAGATTTGTGAGATAATACCCAAGTTTTAAATACTATGTCCATATTTAAAATTATTTGACGTGGTACAGTACCTTTTCTGTAGTACGACTTGCATTAAAGTCGTCTGTAACACTGGCCCATGCCGCATTCTTTTTCTTAATTGTTGATGCATCTGTTCGCTTATCTTCAATGATATGATATTTTTTTATAATTTGAACCAACACGTCTTTCTCTTCTCGAGTATAAGGAACTTCCATAATTGCACAAAAATTAAAACAAAATTGAAAACTTTTAAAATGACAGGTTCGTCCTAGAATGATTATCGTCGACTAACTGATTTTATTTAGAAATTATTCGATGCATTAGGTATTAAGACCATAACGAAAAGAGGAACATCAAGACCCATATATTTCAACACAACCATAAAAAATGTAAACAAAATTGAATCGCTGAATATGCGCCATCCTCTTCGCCCGTCAGCGATGCGCTGGCGACTGTCTATGAAAAGACCAATATTTTCTTTCTTCATCCAGGCACTCGCCGGAAACATTACCAGCGAGCGGTTCTTTTCGGCGATTCGCTGGCGTTCGACTATGAGTACGAGTGTCACATAGTCCTACTTAGCGGTTTTTACTAAAAATCTAACTCTGTTTTTATGGTGCTCTTATCACCATAAATATGTTCTCATTTTTCCTCTTCTAAATCTGGTCTTGAGTAATTGTAATTCATATAAGTCTTGAAACCATTTTTTTTTGTGTTACACCGCACACGTTTTCAATAATATATGGTTTTACATTTATTTCTGTTTTATTTTTAAGAAAAAAGTGGTTAAAACATGTACCAGTCGTGGGTCGAGTTATAGTATTGATGAATGAGGAAAAACTATATGTATTTAAATAGTATATTATTCACCAAGTGCGGTAAACGGCATTTGACTCACGAGTTTATTTGACACAAGCGGAGCGAGTGTTTAATAAACGAGTGACTTAAAAAGTTTGCCGGACGTGTTCATACTATGCTTTTTCTACGACCGTTAGTTTTTGGATACATTTTCGTAAAACAACACGAATACATTCACTGACATGACCGTCAGAATTGACAAACGCCAAAATTCAAGGCCTGTGAAAAATTTCCGAAAACATCCGATTGCTCCCAAACCCGTGCGGTAAAATCCCGGAAATGGAAATGGAAGGAGCTCGGATTCGTGGGAAACGAAACTGACGTGGGAAGTGATGCTTTCCGCACACTAGATCGGTGTGTAATTAGGCATTTTACAGACGGGAGTAGAAAAATGTTTTTGATGTCTATTTTTGGCGATTTACACACCAGTTTTTTTTTTGGTGCAATAATGAATATAAAGCGAAATTGTCAGTTTGTTTAGCGAACAACGACTATTAATAATTATGACCACGGCAAATAGGTTATTATTGACTATTATGGTGGAAAGTCGCCCATAAGATGTATGGAATTATGGCTTAATTATAATAATAAGTGTAATGATTCTCAGATGACGGAGTCAAATTGAGTAGAAAAAAAACTTGTGTGTGTTACTTATAATAGTACTGTACAATTTGGAACCACCTATACTTTTAAAATACTATGAAAGACAAAGAATAACTTTATTTTAATTAGCAAACCCTGTATATTAAAAAAAAATTAAATTCTTCAGAAAATTCTAGACATATTTCATATACAATAAAGAATATCTTTTGAGATTCTAGGTACCAAAATAATGTGATGATTGAGCTCAACATGTCGCTGGCTTCGAATATACGTTCGAAGTTTAATTTTTTTTATGAATTCTCATTAATTGAGAAAAATTTTATAGTATAGTAGTATGATGATAAAGATGGGCAGTTTTAAGATTTCTTTTATCTGTCGAGTTATAGTTGAAACATAATCAAAATCTGAAAGAATGTGCAATGCGTCAGTTTGTCGTTAAACTTTGAATGCCGCAAAAAAAAAGGTATTCCACCAGGTTTCGTTCCCGATATAAAGATTGCGTAGAATCTAGTACACATAAATCAGTATATTTTGGACTAAAATATTAGTGTTTTTTTTAGGCTGTTTCGAATCTACTGTATCGTAAATTTGCTCTGAAAGATTACAAATTGCGTTCTGAGTCGATCTTTTCTCCCCAAATTCATACTGACGATTTGATACTATATTTGTCTATAAAGTTCACTATTCGTATTTTTATTATTTTTGAAAATACTGATAACAGCGAGATAGAAATTTTAGTTCTGTCGCCTCCTTTGTATATGGGTTTGATTATACCAAGATGGGCAGCTTTAAGATTTGGATTACGGATTTGAACCTTCAGGGCGCTATAGTTTTACCGTATTATTTAGATAAATCGAATCATGTTTCTTTTATCTGTCGAGTTATAGTTGAAACATAATCAAAATCTGAAAGAATGTGCAATGCGTAAGTTTCTAGTTAAACTATGAATGCCGCAAAAAAAGTTATTCCAGCAGGTTTCGTTTCCGATATAAAGATTGAGTAGAATCTAGTACACATAAATCAGGTATATTTTGGACTAAAACATTATTGTTTTTTTTTCTCTTTAAAATGCTGCATTATACTATTCACTTCTGACGTAAACTAACCCTTAAAGTTTGCCATGGGAGTTATAGGTATTAAATTGTCGAGAAGCAAAATGAAACAGGCATCTTAGTTAGCTGGACTGGTAGATATTGGGATACGATATGTTTCGATATTGGATAAATTATGGTTTGTTTAATCGAATGTCGTGTGAATCTAGATTTTTCATTTTCTTCATAGAATAACCATAGTCTACGATGCATTTTTGATTTTCTCAAGTTAATCGCAGTTCACACACGATATTTCACATTTCGATTAACGATTTTGTTATAGTCTTTTCCTGAAACGGTTGAACTAGAAAGCGCCGCAACGTGCAAAGCAAAACCCTCCGCCGTAAATAAAGTTCTTTGTTCATTTTCAACTTCATTCTTCAAGAATGTCATTAAATTTGTTAGCCACTTTTCTAGTATTTGCTCGCTTGAATCTTCCTTATTCACGCTCTCGCCGACTTCCAGTCTAACTGGTGGTCTTTGCCAAACTCTCAACAGATCTTCTGGCAAGCACGATTCTATCAGCGTATATAACATAGCCGACCATTTTTCTAAAGTGATCCTTAGTGTTTCTATTACCCTGATATGATTTTAATGAAAATGTCGGTTTTGTTTTTTGAAACCGCGTCAAGCTTGATTATTTTCCCTGCCCAAACGCGACTGCAACGCTTCTATCATTTTGAAATATTTGCTATCTATGGTCGAGAAACTGTCCACTAAATTTCTGGCTCTGTTGTCCTGCAATATTGCTTCTATTAGATACTCTACTTTCAACATCATTCAACATCATCATATATTTTACGAAATTTCTCGCAAAAGGATAACCAACAAGTACAATTTTTTAAACTGAATTGTTTTCCCAGTAGTTGTGCTTGCGACGTTCATAAAGAACCTTTAACTCTGTGAATTTTGGGTAGGAATCCCAATTTTATATCGCTGCCATCTTCTTAGTTAGCGTCTGCATTCAACATAAGCTATATCAAACGGTGTGTTAATACAAAACACTTTTTTTGAAAAAATTGTGATTAAAATTTAACGCGAAAAGTACATATAAACGTGAGTCTGCAGATCTTATTTTGGAAATAATCATTGCATGTTATATTAAAGAGGCAAATTTGCACACTACTTATATTGTTTTTTTATAATACTAAATTTAGTAAAACCAATTAGGACAAATAAAATGATTTGCTTTAATAGTAAATTATGATATTTTAATCACAACTGACGTATGACGTGATCGTCAGAACTGACAAACGTCAACATACCATAGCTAAAATCTCCCGAAAACATCGAACAGATAGCTCCCAAATCGGCCTTGTTTTAAATTGTCACGCATGATCCGTGAAGTATATCAAAAGCGATAGTGCTGGATAACATTTATAGCAACATTTTGACTTGAAATTAACCAAACCAAATTAGAGTTTATTAGATTGGGAAGATTATGAATGCATAACATTTGAATAACATTTTTTGCGTTTTCGCTATCTTAAAAAATATTTGTATTTTTAGAGGTTCCATTCAAGATTGTAAAATTAAGTATTAATAGATCAGTTACACTAATTAAACTAACAAACTTTCAGTTAATTTATTGGGTTTAAATTAGTTAATACAAATACATATACAGTGGTTTAAAAAAGTATGAGAATTATTGCACTCTTTACATAATTATCGTTTTTTTTTTAATGGTATTTAGCCATATTTTTTGATGTTATAGAATTTTCAAATGAACGTTGGAAATAATTATGGAAATTTTTGTTATTGTTATTGTGTTATTATGGAAAGATATTAGTATTTTGTTGCATAGTCTCGAGCATCTAGGCATTAAATCAACCAATTTTTGAAGAGTTTTTGCAGCAATTTGCGACGACTCTGATTCAATTATACTAAAAAGTTTCTGTCGAGTGAATTCGAATCCGCCCATCCAAGGCACCCTAAAGATGTTCAAAGGGTTTCAGATCCGGCGGTTGGGATGGCCATTCAAGTACAGTTATGTTTTTTTCACTAACTTGAATGTGTGTTTCGAATCATTGTCCTGTTGAAATCTGTATTGAATTGGCCCATTCTACCCTGTACTTGAATGGTTTTTGTTCCAGATCGAGACAAACATCCCCATGATTTCACAGTAGGAATTTAGTACTTTGTCATGAATCTTGCGTTAACCCGCTTACTCATTGTCCGCCATCAGATCTAAATAAGGACAATTTGCTTGCATTACTTCAACAAACTGTATTCCATTCTCTCTTGACCAAGATAGATGTGCTCTAGCAAACTTTTTATTCTTTTTTTTTAATGTGCTTGGAGGTTTTTTGGGAGTCTAGTTTCCATATTTTTAAAATAATTTTATCAATCCTTTAGGTAGTTTTACGAGGTTTTCCCGATTTGGACGCATCACCACGACTGTCATATTTTTGAAATTACCACATTGGAAATAAATCTACAATTTTTTGTTTAAAGTCAAATGAAAAGTAACGCGACTGGGCATGATAATAGTAATGCCACAAGTGTAGTAAACAGCATTTAGCTCCGCTCGTGCCACATCAACTTGTGATTCACGTGTGACTTACAAAAAAACACGAATATATTCACTGACATGACATGAAATTCAAACCGTGGGTAATATTTCCGAAAATATCCGATTGCTCCGAAACCCGTGTGGTAATAACTCGGAAATATCCGAAGTGACTCGCAATCATAGGGAAGGAACCTGACGTCGTAAAATGACGCTTCCCGTAGCTAGATGGGTGTGTAATTGGGCATTTTAGAGAAGAGATTAGAAAAGCATTATTAAAAGTTTCCATACTTTTTTCCCCCACTGTATGAAAAAATTAAGTATAAAAATACTCTACTCAGTTTAGTTGAGGGTGTTGCTAAAAATAAATTTGCTTGACAAGAACGTCCGTTTATTTCATTTTTTTAAATACATTAATATAATACAAGGATAAAAACAGTGACGACACATTCTCTTATATGCAACTCTCTTGTATCCGATTTGACGTCGTGACGACTTCCGGTCCTCGATACTTGTGCGTCAGTGTTTGTGAACTCGACATTACTTGCAGGGTACCGCTGGAAGGTGTTCGGTTTGGCCTTTGCAAGCTTCGGTATATCTAGCGAAATATATTCAGGTTAAAAAGTACAAAATAAGTGCAAATAATAACCATCTTGTTCCCCAATGGGTTAAACACATATATTTGTTTATTCAAAACTCTCTTTTTTCTTTAAAGTGGGCGAAACATTTTCATGGGTGAAATATTCTTTCATAGCGGAGTTCTATGAGATATATTGCATAAGAAATTATATGAAACATATCACACACAAATATTTCATATCAATTTGAAAATATCTGAAATAAGAATGAATTGAAGATAAATCTCATTGAAAGGTTAAAAGTTCAAAGTTGAGAATTCAAAACCAGTTTAAATTTAAGAAGTTTAAAAAATCTCAAATTAATACCTAGCAGTAAATGACAAATTTGTGAAGTTAGTATTTCGAAGAAAGATATTGCTTTTAACGACTTTAGCAATATACGTAACAAATGAAAAATGTGTTCTGTAATTTACAAAAGATGATGAGGTGCTCACCGTTTGGTTGGGAACGATTGATTCTTTGGCAACGTGTTTGAAGGCGTACCCCTCGCCCTCGTCTTCGGGGTCGTCCTCTTCTCTACACCCAGGCGGTTCGTATTCATATACCTTCATGAACCCATGTAGTGGTCTTCTTTCTGGAAATGGCTCATAAGAAGCAAAGGATATACATGGAAATACATATAAATAGCTACTAGATTAATTTTATATAGAAACAGTAAATACGATAAAATTATTATTACAATGAGATTTTTGTCCAGATTCTTAACATCTTCCGCGGGTGGGCATACATTTACTTTTTATTGGGATGTTTACACTTAACTCGTTTTTCCCTACAAATCTATAATGCGCATCTACTGGAACTCACGAAGGCTGAAGGCGAAATTGTAAATGAGATGCGTATTTGCAGATTGAAATCGTTCCGGCGATTTTTGCGGCGCTGGTTGCGAAAATACCAGTGTTATCAGAATGCCTCACAGTTGTTGCAATGTTAGACGTTTGGGAAACACGGGAACTGAAAATTTCGTCACATTTTTTTTTGACTCTCTATCAATCGAAAATATTTTGAGTGTGGCAGTGTTGTAGCTGGTATCCTTCATTAATTGAGAATTTCTGGTTGGTCTGTCTTTTAAAGTTACGAGACCAGCATAGTAAATACGAATGGATTATGTTGACTGACTCTTGCGTTTGGTAAATTTCCTATAAGTCACAGATTTGGTCTTGAAATACCTGAGATGGGCCAATAGTTTTCTCTTAAAGAATACAAAAATTGTTGGGTATCGCAATGCATGAGTCGGATGTGCTCTTCTCTCATTATTTACGTCCAATCGTAATCAATATCAGCTTGTTTTAGTCTCTGCTCTTATTAGACCGAAATTGCCGGCTTTAAACATAAATGTTTGCTAGAATATTCTAATTCTCGATTGCTCTCGAGGTTAAGATAGTCTTTGAAAATGCTTGTTTTTAATCAATTGATATAACCCACGTTGCAATTCTAGAGGTGTAAATGGCTCTAAATTTTTTTAATTAAAATAAAATCGATAACAATATACAATTGTTCTTTGCATTCAGCAAACCGATTTTGAAAATTTGTCACGGCGTGATAGAAATTCAGGTCCTTGCCAATATCGCTTAGAATTAATAAGATATATGATCTATTGACTAAAAGTCGTATACAATTGAATTGTTGCCACAGGAAATGAAGGTTTTCCAAAGACTTGGACAGCCGTTCAACTAATATAAAACTATTGGTGAATAGCTCCAATAGAAACGCTGCAGTTTTTCCATATGAAGAGAATCCATAACCTTTCGCATCAAATCAACTAATAAAATTCCTGCACAAAGTTCCAAAATAGGTAATGTATTTTTTATTGGAGCTACTCTCGATTTTGCGCAAAGGAAATTACTAGAAAATGTAGGATTAATGTTTGCTTTGCAACAAATATTATATATACAGGCTCCGTAGGACTATTCGGAAGCGTCCGCGAACCTGTGCAGTTTAATTGAATCGAAATTGTCAACTGTTACTCATCTGGGAATGCTTAATTAATTTAATGAAGTTGAAACTTCTTGGTCCAATTGGAATTCTTTTTTCGAAAGAGTTTGGAGTAATATTTTAGCGAGAATTATAACAGGCTGCAATAGACCCGGAGGATCGAAGATTTGGCTTGTGGTGGATATGGTAGTTTTCGTTGGTTATTCGATAAAACTGAAATGTAATCAATTCTTCTACCAACGAAAATTTTGATAGATACATCAAATGACGGAGCCGTTAGATTAATGTCACTTGAAATGGATATTGAATGAATCGGTATGTTTTGGGTGATTTTTGGAATAACTAGACATGTGATAGTTTCTATCTAATTGTTAATGTGAGAACCTTTGCGGTTGTTGCAAGCTCTTCTAATTCTCCTACACCGGCGATGAAATAATTGTCATTTACCGTTATTATTTTTAATTCATCAACTAAGTCTCTTGTAATAAAGTTGCTCTGGTTTCCTGAATCAAGTAAAGCTTGTGCATAATGAGCGTCGTTATTATACGTATAAATCTTGTAAGTGTATTTATATATAGAAAATTGAAGTGAAGAAAAAATCACTGAAATCGGCGATTAAAATGTAAACATTTCTACAGGCAAAAGTTTCTATTCGTAAAAACTTTCTCAGGTGCATGCGTGATAAATAGGGATATGTCTGGTTAAATTTGATCTGTGCGCCCTCTATAAATTATAAAAGTTTTTTTTCTACTCCCTTTTCTAAAAGACCCAATTGCGTTTATTAAGTACTCGTGACTCAAATTCCATTTATCATACTTGTTGTATAATATACTATTTCAGGATTTCATTTAAATATTCTTCATCAATTTCAATTGTCAATCTTTTATAAATATATGTATCATAACATTCATTGTTACTTTATATTTAAAATTACCATTTAGGGATAGGAACACGATATATGAATGCAAATCGCCTTTAATGAGCTATGAGAATATTTGATAAAAAAGACATCATTTATTCCATTTGAAACATGAATTTTCTATTAGACTTAAAAACTAACTAACCCAGCAATATAATTTCAAATTCGCATCGGGAATATGGAAAATAATTAATATGCTAGCCGCTAGAGATAGGTATTGGGAAATATTTTACAAACATGATAAGTGACAGCAGAGAGAATACTGGATCAATATACAGGTTGTCTTATTTAAAAAAAAGTTGTTTGCACTTTTCGATACGAGCAGTAACACTTCATCATTGGAAATATTTTATACCGATTGAGGAGAGTCAAAAACCAAAGTTACCAAATTTTCAGCAAATTACTACATACCGTTTTCCGAAAACGTCTAATGTTTCATCAACTGTGAAGTCAAAATAAATAAGAACTAAAAGTTCAGATTTTCACGAAATTATATATGATGACATGACAATTGTTTCGACAACACCGTGTCTTTATCAAATCAAAAAAACAAATCAAACATTTGATAAAGACCCGGTGTTGTCGAAACAATTGTCATGTCATAATATATAATTTCGTGAAAATCTGAACTTTTAGTTCTTATTTATTTTGATAAACGGATTTTCATCAAGAAAAAGCCACCTCAGTTCAATTCAACTGTGAAGCTTGTATGCTTTATATACTAACCATATTGATTTCGTATTATATCCGGGTCTGTCGCTTCAATAGAGTTACCATTTCGTATAGCTTCGGCTGTGATTCCATGATCGCTTGAGCTATTGGATGTCCTTACTCCGGTTATGGAACCGTCTACGATGAGATCGTCGGCGTTAATAACGGCTTCCATCGGTACATGTTTCGTGCCGCTTGTGTCAGGCCTATAACGGGTCATTTGGTAGGAGTAGAATAAACACAGGTAACGAAAAATTTTATCACACTTTAAGTTAAACCTCTGGTCTACCAAAGATTCTACCGAGAATCAAAAAGAGCAACCTAATGTTGTCAACATTTTCCAACTCGCTCGAGTGAGTGACAGTGTGTTAAAATTTTTCCTTATCTGTAGGAATAGTATTGACTAAATATTTAATCAGCTTGTCATTTTCTAGTGCTCTTAAAATCACAAAAATATTCCAAAAACAAAAATTCATCGTCAAAAAGAGAATTGGATATAATACGGGTCGGAAATATGGAAGTGTCGAAAGGTTAGATAGCAGCTTCTTATTCTATTCGTAATTATGTTCAGTAAATAAAAACAATAGTCTCTATACAGGAACGTTTAACTTGCACATTAGAAAATGTTGGTAAAATAAACATACGAAACGTCAATGCAACAAAGGTTTAATTGATTCGAAGAATTTGTTATAAGTAGTTGGAGAAGTGAATATACACACGAATTCACACTAAAAACTTGGACTAAATTAACAACGAAAATATTCATTTCAGTAATTTATCTAGATATTGCTCGAATTACATATCCGCTTAGTTTTGTTACTCTAAATTACTATTGCATCTTCAGAGGCTTCACGTCCTTGTCACTTGTACATGTCCGCACTTAGTTTAAACATACCCATCTTAAACCGGATTGATAGGCTTGTTGTTCGCTAATTTTCATTTATTTTTCATTTGGTCTCTTACAGGATGTTTATATATTATGTATTAACAATTTATAAAATATCGTTAATGGCTAACAATGAAAAACCACTAATTTAGATTTCCATTACTTTGAATAGTCGTGATTTTATTCTAATATTCTGAGATCCCCGAACAATCTCGAAGCGATTTTTCCTAATTTGATGTTTGCATAATTTTCATTTAATCAGTTTCTTAAACTCTGCCCCAAGTGGAGCTAAACGTAGGCCAAAAATTCATTTACCTACGTAATATAACTGAAAAATAACGGGGGAAATTTAGGTTTTCATAGCAATTTATAGAAAAAAATGTCAACCCAAAAAAAAGTTATTGCATTTTTTTGTTACCTACACCCCTCAAACGTTACGCCCCTGGCCAATATATGACATTTATAATTCTAGAATCAGATTCAGCATGAAAAAATTATCAAAACGTTAAAACTTCAAAATTCTCTCTCCACCTGCTTCGGAAATCTTAATAACAATTTTTCGGAACACCCTGTATAAAGCGGGAGGCCAGTAACGAGGTTACTGGTAACAAAAGAGACAACGTCATAATTCGGGATCGCCCCTGAACAACAAAAAGTGGAACATGTTAACTGTTTGAAGTGTAATGGCTATTTATTGCATAAATCAATCTTTTGCTTGTGATTACAAGCTTCATCAGGATTATGTAAAAAGCAGAAAAACATTTCTTCACAAACCAGAAGGGAAAAAATAATTCGGACTTACAGAAAACTGCCAAACGGAACTCTATACCAACAACAGGAACAGCACGTAGCGGGACCAAGGTACAGCACGTAAAGGGCACAAAGCATTTTTAGGATTACTGTTATTATTGTTATACAACAAGAACTTAGACACTTATTTAAAAGTTATAAAATATTTTAAAAAGAACGCAGACCTGCGAGATAATTAAAAGCGTAAACTGGTATATACAAAGAAACAAGACGACAATGCAGATGGCTTATTTTTGTTCTTATTTTAAACTCAAGTCCAAAGTGTAGGGTGAAGCCAAAAGTCACAAAAAGCAAAGAACGGAAAACCCAGATTATTAGTCGATGTTATGGTAAGCTAATATACACAAACATATTTCACTTTTTATGTTTTCATTTCATACGAAATCAAGTGAAGCATTGTTTATTGTTTTCTATTTATATCCTATGCCGAACATTTTAACGGTGCTAATAGGCCGGAGTAGTCGCACCCAAATTATTGCGTCATTTATTTTGCACTTGATTAACGCTTTCTGGAAAGTGCAGAGCGTGGTCTCTCGATATTAGTTATTGTAATTTTTGTGGCATATTTGGTGTTGGCGCTGAACTAGAGGAGATGATCTCTCTTTATTTTTAATGAATAATTAATGTTACTCTGCTAACCGTTCTCACATCCATATATTATTATTTCTACACTATACAACGGCTCCCCGCTCTGCCGCTTCAACGCGCATAAACCACATGTGTCCAACAGGAATACGTAAAAAGGCAAGAGTAATTTAAAAACATAAGAACAATCTCATACGTAACTAGCACGACGTGGCGTATGAATTACCCGTGACAGCTAAAGTTTCAGGTAACAAAGAACCACTGACCGCTAGCATTTCAAGTGTTTACAAGCGTGTCGGGAAATTTGCCTTAACGCGTAAAAAAAAGTTTGGGTCAAACAAATCGTTCGCTCGTATACCTGTGACAAGGTCTCGCATAGTGTTTTCTGCAAAGGGCGGCCAGAACGAGACACACACCGGTTGCAAGGATTCCTGCAGTTCCCAGAAGACCCATGATCAACGGACTGACCGGCATAGTAGCAGTCGCCCCTGGAAAAAAGTTTGAACGTATAGCGAAACTAGTTACGCAAAGTAAATTTGCTTTTCTATTGTTTGCGGAAAGGGATTCGTTCCAAGTAAAATTGAGGACGCTCCTAAAGAGCGAAAAGTTTTTTTAATTTATTTTTAACATTTTTAAAAGCGTTGGCACTGGTTTAAAAACATATTCGGCCATAAAATATCCACATGTGTGCTGGTGTATTTTAGTAATATAGATAAATGGTAGGCTTTTTGCATTTGGGTGAGCATTGAAACAATTAATTTGTAAATAGTACCTACTAAAAAGAATCGATGACGTATGTCAAACTTTATTTCTACTTTTACGGTATTGTTGTGATTAATTGTGTATCAATAAATAATGTTTTGGTTAATAGGTCGCCACTGTACCGGTTAATCGGTTAAAATATCTAGTTTTTAGTTACCAACTAGAAAAAAAATTAGAAGGTTGTGTTTTTTACTTTTACAGTTTTAATGAAGTGATATAACATTATAACAACAAGATAAATAATAAACGATTCCTATTTAAAGAAAAACACTACCTACTGTTAATAATTTTTAACAAAATTTGTCTGTTAATAAATTAATAACCTTTTTGAAACATAGAAACTAGATACGTTGTTGAAAGTACATACAGCTGTTTTCAGTGTTTCTTATTAAATTGCAGGAAGCTCTTGCTCAGACTTTTAAGATGTCCCCATAAGAAAAAATTCCAAATTATTTAAATCTGGGGACCGAGGAGGCCATTGTTGAGGGCCGCCGGGACCTACTCATGGGTTATTAAATATGTGATTTAAATATGCTCTTACTGCAACACTAAAGTGGACAGGCATAAACAACATTTTGTTCCTAATTAAATATGGTATTTCGTCTAGCAATATTGGTGAATGCTCTTCTTAAAACCGACGATAATTATGGCCATTTAGCCTTTCTGGAAAGAGAAAGGGTCCAATTAAGTAATTTTCAACAATTTCAGCCCAAACATATACCGAATACTGTTTAAATTGAAAAACTGCATGGAGGTTTTCATCGGCCCAAATATTGTTATTGTGAAAATTTGTGCTTGCATTTCTGGAAAAGTTAGCTTGACAATGACGAACATTAACACGAAAGGAAAAATCCAAGATGTGCGAGATATTCAGATTATTTCCAATTTTTCAAGTGTACTAAGTTCAGGATTTTCTTTCAATAGAATTTAAAACTGCTCTTCAATTTATGGAGTTCTTACAGTCCGATGGGCCAAAGTCCAAAGTCATTTTAACGATATTGTTATGACCAAGCAGAGAAGAGGTTTTTATTTTTTAAGTGAAAACCGTACATGGGATTGAAAAAAATGAAGAAATTAAATTTCTATAGAAAAATTGGAAATTGTAAGAATAATTTACATTTTAAGAGAAATCAGTGTACCATCAATGTCTGCCAAAAAGGTTATATTGAAATTTTGTACGTCCGCCACTGGTGTATTTAAAAAAAATGTGGTAAACCAAATTTCATTAAAATATATATAAAATGAATAAGTGGTATTACAGATGTTAAAAAACAATATTTTATTTTTGAAAACTTTACCTGTATTTTAAAAGTTGCAAATCAAAGCAGTTACCAGAAGAACAGTAGTAATATCAGTGAAATGGCTAAAATCTAAATTTATTGACTCTCCCAAAGAAGCCCGGCGCGAAGATCTGTGGCGACTACCATACTATTAGCCTGATGAATATGCGAAGAACAAATAGCCCCAAATCAGTTTCGATTTGTGAACGCCGTCGGCACAAGTGTACAAGTTTTATTTCAAAAATGTAGGGACCTGAGCTGCGATGTTTTTGCCTGTCTAATAGGCTATAAAAAGGCGTTTGACCAGATGATATTTGTCCTAAAAGAGACCGGTATAGCAGGAAAATTCTAGCTAATCTCTATTGGAACCAGTCCGCAGTCCTCAAGGTAGATGGTGAGCATACCGACCATGTCGAAATTTTGCGAGGTCTTAGACAGGGATGTATCATTTCTCCCCTGCGATACGCAGATGATACAATAGTATTCGCGGATAGAAGGCTTGCAAAAGCTAATGGGTAGAGTTACAGAGATAAGTAAACAATATGGACTTAATATAAATACCGGTAAAACCAAACTTATGATAATAAAAAAGGCATCAATGGAGCAAATCTATACATAAACCAAACAAGAATCCAAAGGGTTTCACAATATCTGGGAACTATAATTAATGAATCGTGGGAGAATTCTTAAGAGATCCGGTGAAGAATTGGAAAGGCTAAAAGTGCTTTCTTAGTTAAAGGTCAAGTATTCAAAAGCTACAGCCTCTCAGTGGAAATAAAGAAAAGAATGCTAAAGTGTTACGTGTGGTCGGTTCTTCTGTACGGTGTGGAGTATGGTCCTTAAAACTGCAAGCCTTTGAATGCTGACTGTACAGGAGAATCTTGAAGACATCATGGACTCAGAATGTAACGGAGAATGAAAACCTCCATGGAAATAGTCAACATCGTCAAATGCCGCAAAATTCAACACCTGGATCACATCATGAGGAATAAACAATTACTCCAGTGCATCCTTCAGGGAAAAATTCCCGGAAGAAGAGCGCCAGGACGAAGGAGATCTGGCCAATCTTCGAGCATGGTTTGGCAAGTCTTCCATACAACTGTTCAGGATTGCAATGAACAAAATTTTTATAGCCAGAATGATCGGCAACGCTCGTAGCGGACAGGCACGCTAAGAAGAATTTAAAAAATTAAGACGTTTAGGACATATGTTCATATTAATCTTTATTTTTAAAATTAACCCAAAAGCCGCCCCCTTAATTATTGACATTAAATAAGAAAACACCCTGTATATATACATATACTTATATATATATATATATATATATATATATATATATATATATATATATATATATATATATATATATATATATATATATATATATATATATATATATATATATATATATATATATATATATATATATATATATATATATATATATATATATATATATATATATATATATATATATATATATATATATATATATATAATTTATTTAATAATGAAGTTTTTCTAATCCCTTCTCCAAAATACCCAATTATACACCGATCGAGCGTGCAGACAGTGTGATTTTATGACGTCAGTTTCATGTCTTAAGGCTACTTTGGACATTTTTGGGATATTTGGGGTTTGGGAGCAATTGGATGTATTCGGAGACATTACACACGGCTTGAATTTTGATATTTGTGATGGTCATGTCAGATGTTCCTCGGCGAATGTATTCTTGTGTACCCAAAAACTAGTTGAAATTATTTAAAAATTAATTGAAATATATAGAAATCGGTTGATGATGAAAGTTTAATTATTTATTTAAGATTTAGAACATGGTAAGTAAACTTTTTTTCTATGTACGGCGTTTCGTTGCTAAGAGATAATAGTCAATTTCAATTTTTTAAATATAGAGATGCTTTTTTTTTGTCTGTCTGTTGTATTTTAAAGATGATTTAAATGAGGCAGATGAGTAAAAAGTTGCACATTGTAATATGCCATTAGTTTTAGGACAGCTCTCTAAGTACAGATTAAAACGTATCGCCGATACACCGCCGATATACTGTCCATATATATTAATTAGTTGAGACCCCGTATGATTCAGTAAGTAATTTAATTAACTTAATAATTATGCAGATAATGTGCAAGATTTTCGCTTATCGACGCTTTGACGGGTAAGTCAATTGCCAAAGCAGCCCGTATCAGCCACATATATGCAAACCGAACATATTGATTGCGTATACAAAAATACTCATTATTATTGGTAATTGTGTCGATATGTGGGTTCATGCCAAAAAATATGTAATGTGTTAAATACTCGGCGAAATTTAGGTTTGTTTTCGCTCAACCAGGTGAAGTGGTGTGAACGATATTATCCCGGGCTTTAAAAATGTTTATCTTTTCAACTTAATTGGTCTTCTTCTACGCCTCTAGCTAAGAAAATGGCACATGTAGAGCTGTTGGAAACAAAGTTGCAAAGTTCAGATCACGGTGCCCTCAATGAGAATTTCAGTGAACAGAGGACAATTAATCGAAAATGTAAATTCCGCTACGCCTTGTCACTCGTAGAGGACTAATTAAGGATATAAAGATCAAATCACTGAAGGGGATTTTTACTCAAAAGCGGCACTTTATACGGGCGAAGAATGACAGGTTGGTCAAGATATTAAACGTAAAAATAAGGAGCAAAGTAGTAGGTATTTCTGGCGAAATAGTAATGAGAACGATCCTCACAAACGATTACATAGTAACATTTGTGTCAAATGTTGCAGATCAGGGCATGTCAAAAATAATTGTACAGAAGGTCATCCAATCTTTGATGGAAAAAATTGAATGCACCGCAGATCATCTTACTAACCGGATCAGAAAGGGTAAAATTCCTAATTGTGAGTTAAATTAAAAACGAACCTGCGTAAGTTGCAATGGAAATCGCACCGCCACATAAGAAAAATAAATTAATGAAACCATGAATTTTTACAATTTATCTTTGAAACAGTGGAATTGCTCCCGAGATTAACTAATGCAACACACGTTTTTTATAATTGTTGTGTATGTTAGCTGAAGCATTGGCGGGGCTAAAAAAACAAAGATGCTCTCCTTAGAGTGATATTAATGCTCAACGAAACATTACTTAAACCCAACACTAATTTTAAAATAGCAATCTTCTGAAACTCAACAACAGAACTGAAACCAATTTCAGTTAAGCTCTGAAGAAGCTCACATGATGATTGTTGAAACGTAGGCAACTTTGATTCATTAACAACCGACGCAGCAGAAATCCAGAAGATTTGTAAATAGTAAAATGTAATATCCTTGACTTAAGCAGAGTCGATATACTAGATAGAATTTATTCTTGCAGAGATAAAGGATTTTTTTATTTGTTGTACATACATTTGGTGAAAGCCTCTATTCCTCTTTATGTAGTGTAGAAGAGTAGAAGTGATAATATT